TGTCAATTTCCATGGTTCCTTCGTCCTACATCTAGGTTCGACAGATTCGTATGGTTTCAGGTTCCGTTTGCAGATCTCAAGTCCAGGATTCCCCGCGATGCTAGAAACTTTAACATGCGCGCATGGTGATGTGTCCTTCTCGTGGGTCGTGATCGCAGACCATGTGGCCGAGTTGACGCAAGGGATACTACGGGAGTCTTATAATCCATGGCTACGCCGAACGCCATTGCTCCCTTGGCGACTTATTCCCCGAATTACTCGCCATCGGGCCAGCAAAATACGCAAAAGATTCCCAGAGCATGTAACCTTGATCAGAGCGGTGGCCACCACCCAAGCCACTTCCCATCGGTCGTTCAATACTCGTCGCTGCTTGAATTACCTCGCAGGTGGCACTGGCACTCTATATCATGAGAGATAGCGCAGTGGTACATTCGATATCAGTTGATGTCTTAGAGGCTACTGATAAGGCTACTTACTGGCAGGTGTGCAATTGGCGGAAGGGTACTTATCAACCAGCAGCGAAACGGTCTGACCACGCGGTGATACCCTTTCCACAAACCTTCTCAACCTAGTGTATCACCCTTATGCAGGTTGCATTGCGGTCGCAGTAGGACTTGGGCCGAGAAAGGCTATCATCAAGTAGCCCAGGCAAAGATAAAGCTGGGGGCTTATCTGTCCTAGCTGAACTGCTATTTGGGGTTCGTGCGAAGGGTACGGTAGCATTAGCCACTAGTTGCTGTCCAATCTCTATATTAATACCCCCTGGATTCCTTGTCTTTCTCGCTCGGTACTTCCCGCCCGAACCTACCTTGTTTTCCCTCCCTTCACTATGAACGAATCCATCATTCCCCCGCGGAGTTCGTCGGGAAGTATGAAAAAGACCGCCCAGCCCGCCACCGACTGGGAGGTTGACATCGATCATGGCGCCGAAACCGACCTCCAGCGGACGCTATCCACCCGCCACATCACCATGATTGCCCTGGGGTCATCGATTGGTATGGGATTATGGCTAGGCAGTGGAACATCGCTCGCAAATGGTGGCCCAGCGGCCATCTTTATCGGCTATCTCTTGAGCGGTACCATGATCTGGTCGGTCAGCCATTCCATCGGTGAAATGGCCGTAATGTATCCTCTGCCTTCGGCATTTATTCAGTGGACGTCGATTTTTGTTGACCCGGCTGCGGCATTTGCCCTGGGATGGGCATACTGGTTCTCCTACTGGATCACCATCGCCAACGAGTTACAGGTATGTTAGCCATAGATGCCTCTCGAGCTCTCAGAGCCTGACCCGTCATAGGGTGTCGTGACGGTTCTCAGTTTCTGGACCGACAAGGTGCCCACGGCAGCGTGGATTACCATCTTCTGGGTAGTGATTATTCTCATCAACGTGTGGGCTGTGAAGTTCTTTGGCGAGGTGGAAGTCGTTTCATCGTCCATCAAATTCGGGTGGATTATCATTGTCATTATCTCTCTGATTGGTGAGAAACTGGCACAAAGATCTTCCTTTTCCCCTCGACTGACATGTCACAGTCGTATCTGCAGGAGGCGCCCCTGCTGAGGGCCCCATCGGCTTCCGGTATTGGAACTCGTACGCCTTCACGAATGGATTCAAGGGCTTCCTCAGCGTCATGCCGACTTGTATCTTTGCCATGTCTGGATCTGAGAACTGCGCCCTAGTTGCGGCCGAGACCTCCAACCCTCGAAGAGCTGTCCCCAAGGCGGTGGGGTCGATCTGGCTACGCCTTTCTTTGTTCTATATTCTAGGCTCTCTCATGATCACCATCACGGTTGACCCAAAGGACAACAATCTGTTCGGCGCTTCGGGAGTCAACGCCTCGCCATTTGTCATTGCCTATCGCAATGCGGGTCTCGAGCCTTTGGCCCACATAATGAACGCCGTGGTCTTCATCTCGGTGGTGTCCACGGGTAGTATTTCTGGATATGCCGGGTCCCGTGCTCTCATGGGGCTGGCACATGTGAAGATGGCGCCTAAGGTGAGTACCATACGCCCTACAAATGCTGGTTAGACGCAGATGGCTAATATGCACTGCGCCTCGCATTGCGTAGATCTTCGGCAAAGCAGATCGGGTTGGACGTCCTCTAGCCGGACTCTTTATTACACTTCTCATCGGAGGTGGCCTGGCCTACCTCAACGTGAGCAACAGCGGCGAGGAGGTCTTCACCTGGTTCTCCAATCTCACATCGCTTTTCACTCTGTTTGGCTGGGCGATGATCTGCCTATCGCACCTGCGGATGCGTTATGCCTGGAAAGTTCAGGGCCGCGATGTATCCGACCTGCCGTGGAAAAGCTGGACATTCCCCTACGCTGCGATCTGGGGGTTGGTATGGTGTATCTTGCTCATCATCGCAGAGTTCTATCTGAGTGTCTGGCCACTTAAAGGACAGACCACGGCGAAGAATTTCTTTGCCAACTATGTCAGTGTCGTTGCTATTGTTGTCCTGTATATCGGGGCCAAGATCTACTATCGCGGGCCTTTCTGGGTGGATGCCCGGACGGTTGATCTTGACGGTCTCCGACGGTTCTACGTCAAGACTGACGATGAAGAGTCCGTGGGGGGGAAAACGGGCGCGGTAAAACATGTCACCAAAGCCGTCCGGTTCTTGTTCAATTAAGCCTTGAGGGTTTGCTGATATTTCCATTCATGATCATACTGTTGTATATATTGTCGATGAATACTGTTTCAAGAACTTATTGGATGTTTCAAGTTCAAGCTACTGCTGTAACGACGACATTGACAAAGAAGTCCAAAGTTCGGGCGAAAAGGTTTGGGCTGCATTATGATGTGTAAAGTTTCCCCCACGTATATCGAATTGGGGATGTGGTTTAGTGGTATAATGTTCGCTTAGCATGTGAAAGGTCCGGGGTTCAATTCCCCGCATCTCCATATTTTTTTTCTTTTTACTTTTCCTTAATTTGCGCCATGAGGGTGTGATATTATATTCTCTTACGGAGTACCGGACGTCTCTTGAAGGCCCAAGACCTTTATTGTGTAGAAGTCGTCATAATCACGCTAGTATCCATACATGTCTGTAGATATTTCCCGAAGTTTTGTCAACCTGCAGAATGTCCCCAGTAGCGGAATATATATTGGCAGGGAAGGATGGGTGAATAGTTGGGTGAACTGGAGACTAGTGGTTGGCACTCAACAAGAAGATGTTTTCTACATTACATCATTGAGGATTATCAATGGAAGCAGAAAAATTCTTACATCAATATTAGATGCCATCTACTATACTGAAACGTCGAGAGACACTACTCGTTCTAATTCCTGGCGATGCGATGCTTGCTCAGTGCGCAGACCGCCTACCTCCAGGATTCGTTTTGGCCGGCAAAAACAAAATGACTTGAGCAGGCGGTGGGACAGAATGCGCAAACTGGAACGCGAAGTGCGAATGACGTCATTGATCAGGTAAAAAGTCAATTCATGAGATATGTCAATAGGCACCGACTTCACTCTCATCCAAAGTTGTCCACTTCATCAAAAACGCCTCCACGTCATGTGCATCTTCCGTCTTTACATAGCCCCCCTCGTGAGAAGCAACTGGCTGTTTCGGGTATACTTCAACTGCCGGATTCCCTATCCCGTACTGGTGCTGGATGATCGGGCTTGACGTTTCCGAGAAGGGGGGTCCAGGGGAGTAGGGTGTTAATGGGAGTATTCCTGCAGCCATTTCATGGGCTATGGCCGGTTGTTGCACATGGCCCAATGAGTTGGATGGCCGTTGGAGTGGCGCAGGCTCGATATACTGCTTCTTTCGCTTCGTCATCTCATCTTCAAAGCTCCGTAACCTCAGCGGGTTAATAGTGCCCCGTTTACTGCCACTTTCTGAAGTTGAGGCAACGTAATCCACATTTGTACGCCTGCTTCTTATTGCCCCCTGATCCAGTTTGGAAGAGGTGCATACGGCATACTCCTTGCAGAGCGCAGAATATTGCTCCCGGAACCACTGTGCAACTCGCTGACCGTGACGAGTTTCGCAGTGGCTAATCTCCGAGTAATAACATTGTAGAATGTCGTCTCTCATTCGACGATACTGATCATAATCAATTCTAGACTGATAGGTGTCAATATCGGACAGGACTTTCTTCACTAAGGCGTCGTACTCTCGCAGCTCCGACGGAAGTAATTCGTTCGCCAATGGAGCATCATTGTATGCAAATGTCATGGTAAGACAGGTCGATAGCTGGGATTCGTTCGGCTGGTTGTCCGTAATCTTGGCAGACTCCAAGGCCTTCTTCAATCGTTCAAATTGAGTTTCGTTCGTTTTCTTCTCCCCGACAAGTGTGCGAATCAGCTCTCGCTGCTCCTCGAGGACGCTCAATTCTGCTCGACTAGCCAAATTGGTCCATTATTATGCCAAGCTCGTCGGACTTCGACCAAGGAAATTCTTACCTACGCAGCTGGCCAGCATACATGATTACATTGAGCATCAAAAGCATGGTTGATTTTAAGCGCTCCAAGTTGACTCTGAGAACCTCCAGGTCTTCCTCAATACACAGGAATCCGACCTTTCTTGCTGCCTTCTGGAGAAGGCCTTTCGTGGCTTTCTGGTCAGGATAATCCACCGCATCGCTGATTCGTTGGAACACCTTTCTACATTCTCCCAGCACTTGTTGGGCTGTAGAAAATGCCTCCATAGAATAGAGTTTAGCATCCTCGTCCTGTTGGAGGCTGTCGCCTAATTGACGTAGAACATTACACGTCAAGGCAACATCACTGGACAGGCTTTGGATGCGTTGGTCTGTGTCTTTGAGCCTGCGGCAGAACGTATAGAGCTTAATCGAGAGATGGGTGCCAAGCTCTACGACCTGGAGAATGCTGGCAGCAACACCGATGACTTCTAGTCCGGACATAGCATAGCCCCCGTCGTTGAAATCAATCAATTTGGAAGGTGAAGTGGGAGAGAACAAGCGTATCCAATTTGGTTGCTGAGTGCAGGTGAGGCTGTGCTCCTCGTCCGCCTCGTGATCCACACGCCATGATTGGTGCAGGTGGTTGAAATTTTGCAGCCAATCATGATTCATTGCGGACCGAACGATGTTATTTTAGGATATCTCCTGAGAACCTGGAAGCTGACAACAACATCCAGGAGATACGACCGATGCAGCATACATATCCACGGGTGATTACTCGATGGGGGCTATGGAGTGGAAAAAAGCTGCTCGATTGAGTTCTCGGCATCGGTCGACAGCATAGGAACTTTAAGAGATGAGGAGACCAGCTTGGTCATAGGTCGCATCGTATCAGTATCACGAAACCAGTTCATACTGACATATTACCGCAGCTTAGATTAATTCAAAGGAATTGAGCAGTAGTGAAGAGACGCTTACTCTTACGGCACTAATCGTTGAGAAGCGGTTATCTATCAAACAGCTGGGACGTACCGCGGCAATCGCGAAGCTGCCCAAATAGCTTCGAAGGCAAAAGCCGATGCGCTGTTAACTCGAGGAAATCAGGAAGTCTCCGGGAAACATTGACCGGAGTAAGAGGACTATCTATGACGATTTTAACTATGATGTAGTCGCCTGGGCTATGGCATTATCTTTGTCGTTGGCTAATATGCGTTGGTGTCGTAAAGCGTACACCGACTGGGTATGCACTTTGGTGAAAGATGGGTAGTATCACCCAACAAACGGCCCGAAATTTTCCCAGCGGCCCGAGGTTATCGCCTTAGATATTGGATACCCCTCGTTCGATTGTCAGGCACGACCAAAGAGAGGGGATGAGGCAACGTGGTTGTCCGTCCGGAGTGATGCGGTGACAAACATGTCCGAGGTCTATGCTGATGACATCGTCATAATAGGACATTCGGATGTCGGGAAAGTAATCCCCAGCAGATTCGAAACTCCACTGAGAAGGAGAAAAAAGGGAAGAAGTGATATTGGTGGAGCCCAAATGCCGGTCAACGCTGCAGGTGAATGGTGGGCTTCTGTGAGTCACACGCTTTGTTTCCTGAATTGGGGCCTGTTCATAACAAGGAAAATATTTTCTGCAGATGGTACCAACACAGGCCAGCTACACTGCACCAGTACCCCTGAGAAGGAGGGGTTGTAGTGGACCATGCTCTGGTGGGTTGCATGGTATGTTCCGGGAGTAGTATAGTTTGTATAGGATAGTGCCAGTGTGCGTGGTCGTAGTCTCTGACTGTCTGCCACAGCAACCCAAAGTCCCTCAGCAAGTGAGTCACTGCTGTCGAATCTGACGTCTCTTATTGGTGGGGAGGTAGGCAATATTTTTTTTTCTACCTAACCAGCCACTTCCTTTCGTTATGGTTGTTCGGATGTTTGTTGTTCATGGGTTTAGTCAGATAGGCGAAAAATAATCCTAAAATTCTAGAAATTCCGTGAGTGGTCACGGGCCGCGGGATTATTAAGCCGGACGATGTGGTGTGCGTTCATTGGACACGAAGCACCTGACTGCGGACTATACTATTCTGGGCGACCAGCAGTTCCATCCTCGTCCATTCAATCTGGAACTAAAGCATGCCTAATGATTGACGGTGCCTAAGAACGAAAACGTACAGGCAGGTTTATGCACCTTATCCATGGTCTGGTTCCTTGCTCATGCTGTCATAGGTTGTCTGATCTGAGCAGTCCAACGCCTCAGGGGAATCAGAATAGAGCGTTCAGGGGAGCGTTTCAGCATTGTTTCAGGTCTCAGGGCTTAGTTTCTTCAATGATGCCTGCCCTAAGAACCTGACATGATCTGAACCCCGGACAACTCAGACGCTTTGACGCGGTACGCGAACGATAACTGGACTGGGTGCATTTCATATGAAATGGAGACCCACTCGACAAAGTCGATCTCCACTTCCAGAGATCTTTTAGTTACCCTTTAGTGTGAGGCGTGGTGCTGCCAAAGAGCGGTGAATTCGCTTCATCTCTGATCTGTCATCTCATCATAGGTCTATTGCCACTGTCGCTTGTTCGCCTGCCTCTCATGCCTTACCGCGTCTGCTATTCTCGTGCACGCATGGCAATTATCGTGGATCAACCGGAGATTTTCTTTCCCAAAGACAATGATCACAAGAGATGTGTCTGATAAAAGGGGGCCCAGCAGCCATGGGCTGCGAGGGGGAACTAGAACCATATCTTCTACTATTATCCTATTCTATCCTCTCTACAAAGACACTTGAATGTTGAGAGCGACAGTTCGCAAGATCTTTACCTTTACCATACCTCCCTTATACTGCTTTATGCTGTCAACGTTACGAGGCTTCCTCTCGCAGTTGTGTCCGTGCCGCAAGATGGAGTGCAGGCAAAATACTTCCCGCTTCCCCTCGCTCTTGTCGAGCTTATGGGGCCCTCGACGGTCGCAACAGTCCCTCTCTGTTTCCACATCGACACAGACTCAGACACAAACCCCGCGCGCGCCGGCACCAAAGATTGATATCGCATCTACATTACAGAAGAAACGGTCCGCCGAACAAGATCGAGTGAGCCGTGAGACCGCTCAAAAAGAGTTGGTGGGCGAGATTGAGAATCTGGTGGGACTGGAGAACGTCAAGCGCCAGCTGCTTGGGGTGCAGAACTGGGTGCAGATCTGCCGTCGACATGGTCGAGAACCCCGCAATGAGTGGTACAATATAGTGTTCCAAGGGAACCCAGGAACAGGTGAGTTTGTCTACATCGGTCACTGGCGAGTTCCGATACTAATCACATTGATTTCGTAGGCAAGTCTACCGTTGCCCGAATTTACGCCAAGATGCTCTACGCCATCGGCATCTCCGACTCCAACACCATCAAAGAAACATCTGGCCGAGACCTCGCCATCAAGGGCCCTCAGGGCGCTCAGAAATTAATCAAAGAGATGGCCAACTCCGAATCTCCCTCCGCACCGACAGCCGGTGTCTTGATCGTCGACAACCCTCACACCTTGATGCCCTCCAAGCTCGAATCACATAAGGAGATCCTTGACTGTCTCCTTCAGGCGATGGAACGGAAGACCGGGCGGATCATCGTCGTCTTCATTGGCCATGGCCCCGATATGGACACCTTCCTCCACGAGAACCCCCGAGTGCAGCGCCGGATGTGTAGCACCGTGAATTTTGCGGACTTCGACCGCCATGAGCTTCTTCGACTCTTAGGACGCCGCATCACGGAGGAATACGGCGGAAAAATGCAGGCCGAAGGCGGGCTCGACGGCCAGTACATGCAGGCTGCAGCTCGCCGACTTGCCCGCAGTCGCGGTGAAGGATTCACCAACATCTATGCCGTGCGGCAACTTGTGGAGACCATCGCACACCGTCAAGCTGAGTGTCTGATGGAGCAGCAGGACATCGGAATGGAGGATGTAGATTACTTCTTCTTTTCCAAGGACGATATTCTGGGACCCAACCCGTCCGACATCCGGTCCCAGAGCGCCGCATGGACATCTCTCCAGTCGTTCGTGGGGCAGGAGCTCGTCAAGGCCTCCGTCCGCGAGGTTTTCGGCACGGTGGAGGAGAACTACTGGCGGGAGGTTAAAAATCAGAAGCGGTTGTTGGTGCGAGTGAACCGTGTCTTCGCTGGCCCACCGGGCACGGGCAAGACCACTGCAGCAAAGCTGTACGCGCAGATCCTGGCGGATCTCGGTCTCCTCAGCAATGGCGAAGGTGAGTAAAGTTGAACCCCCTTAGACATTACCAGTAGCTGACTGTGCGGCAGTGACTGTCAAGCCCCTCTCCGCGTTTAATAACATCTCTGATACCGACGGCATCCTCTCTTCAACGGTCGGAAAAGCTCTGATCATCGACATGGACACCCCAGAGACCGACGACAATGATTTCCAAGTCTCCGATAGTGTGCTGGATATGCTCATAAAAGAGCTGTCTGCGAACAGGGAGAATCGCTGCACCATTCTTGTCGGCTCCGACCATGCCGTTGACACACTGCTCCCAGAACTTAAGGAGGCGTCAAGGATGCTCGAACACCAAGTCGTTCGATTCCAGCCACTCACCCGAGAGCAGATGGAGGAGCTCTTCCAGGCGAAACTGCAAGAGCAAGATGTGGACGCCACTCCCGAAGCCTTCCAAGCAGCCATGGATATCCTCGAGAGCGCCCGGATGCGCAAAGATTTCGACAATGCACGCGGGATTGAGCGTCTCCTGACGGCTGCCAACCGCAATTTCGACCAGAGACGTTCTCGTGCACCCGACACGCCTTTGTCACAACGTGTGCTCGGGCCCGAGTACTTCAACGCCGAATTGGTGGGCGGCAAGGCCGCTCTAGCATTCCGGGAGGAATTGCGTCACTCGATCGTCCCCGACGACATCATCTCTGTGCTGAAACGGTATCACAATGAGATGAAGATCGCCTGGTTCCAGGGCCATGATCCCAGAGCACGAGTCCCGTGCACACTGGTTTTCAAGGGCGCCAGTGGTAAGTTATTTCTAGTGCTTCTAGTGGAAGACGATTATTGACTGACCGTCACAGGAACTGGAAAGAAGACCGTCGCCCGCCATCTAAGCGCCTTGTACTATAAGATGGGGGTCTTGAAGACTTCTGCCATGGTTGAATGCTCGGTGTCTGATCTCGTTACCACGAGTGTCAGTCACACATCGATCCGGACTCGGTCGCAGTTGGAGCGCGGACGCGGCAAGCTGCTGTATGTCGAGGATGCTCATCGATTGGGAGACAACGAATACACCATGCAGGCGATGGATGAGCTCATCTACCTGCTGCCTAAGCTCTCCCAAGAGATGGTTGTCGTTCTCGCAGGACCTTCTCAGGAATTAGACCACCTGCTCGCCAATCGACCTCGCCTGGCAAGCCTCTTCCAAGAAGAAATTCCCTTCCGTAATCCAACTCCTCGTGAATGTCTCCGCCTGTTGGACCGACGACTCGAGGAGGAAGGTGTCCGGGGCCCTCGCCTGTTCCTGACCGACCCGCGCGAGGTAACTCACCGGGAGTTCACCCGAGCCATTCAGATCCTCTCCATGTTCCCCTGCTGGGGTAACGCCCGAGATATTGGGCTTCTTGCTCGGTGGATGGTGTCCGTCGCTGTCAAGGATATGCCGCTGGACGGCATGACTCTTCCCGAGGTCCGTCTGACCGACGAGCAGGCGATGGCCTGCATGATCAAATTGTTTAACCTGAAGCGCGACCGCCTTCGTTTCAACCAGGATCCCAAGGCCCGGACTCTTCCTCGCATCCTCTCTCAGCCACGGAGCACGGAACGTGGCGGTGTTCGATTTCCCGTTTGACACAGCAGATGATCGGTACTCTGACTTGACCGTTTCTATGCTTTCCTTTTCTATCTTCGTCCTATTGATGCTCATTTAAGATGTATCAACACACGTTTGTGATCCAGCCACACAGATTGACCATGATATCGGCTTTCTTTGACTTTAGAACTATCATGACTGGCGTTGGGGATTGTGTTTTGAGCGATGACCTTCACCGAAGTTTCCTTTGTATATTTCCTTTCTTTCGGTTGATCTCCTGTTCAGTTTTATATTCCACGAATGATGTTTGCACTGCATGATTACAACAACGTACTGCCTTGCATTGTTTGTTTGTTTGATTACTATGAAAACATATGTATGACTTCAAGTCTGGTACTTGGACTCAATATCACACCTATATACGAGGTCTTTTCTCCTTTCAGCGTCTCCATATTGTTCGTCCTCCGCCTGTCATGTACAATGCTGCATCTCCCTTGCATAGAACAGATTCGCATAACATGGATTACCATTTGCCATTTACCACGTCACCACGACATCCCTCCATAGATAGCATTAATTAACAACGCATAATTCCACATCCACATCTCCACTCACACCAAGACTCCTCGCAACCTTAATTAGGCTTCAGAGTGATCGACAACCGACATGAACCTTGTTCTGCCCGGCATGATAAGAACATTGAGTGGTCTAGTTTCTAATTACAACGAGTCACAAGGAAGGACTAGCGACTCCCTTGCAGCAAGACGCAACCCCGCAAAGGTGGCTACGTAGTCCTGCATACGAGGGATTGCTGAACTGGTCTGAACCGTGGTCTTGCTTCCAGTGTATGTATGTACTTATGCTATCGCTATGGATCAAGATGGCTCATCATAGGACCTTCGCCACAACAGCCCTCTAACTAGGCTCGTGAACTGCCATAATGTAACCCTTTACCGTATCCACGGCCGCTGTTCTCTTGGAAGTCTTGAACTCAAAGTGTTATAGGACAGTCACCAGAGTTAAGATTGGCTTTGCATATGCAAGGACGTGATGTATGATTAGTTGGCCGCTCGCCTCTTCTTGTTTTGATTTGTTCTTGTGATGTGAGGGGGATGGTATTGGGCTTTTGGGTTCGTGGCCATATACTTGATATCCACGTACTATGGACTGCCTCTACTGATGACACTAGATACTGGTTCAGGTGGAATTTGTTGGAGTAGATAGTTGGATCAACATGGATGAAGCAGGTTGCTTGGCTGGTTTGAGGTCTATTGGGTCGATCGGAGATTAGATTGATTGGACTGCTTGTAGTGAAGGGAGGCGGACATGTTGATTCCGACGTCCTACCTACGTTTTGAACTGTTGGAGGATGCTGGATAGGGTTGGTGCTCCCCAGACGTGGAAGTGATATCAGCCCTTTACCATCGGTCCGCTGGAGGTAAGGATCCTTTGGCACGGAATGATAAAGATGAAGAGTAGATACTGTTAAGATAAGAGAATAATTCTTGACATTTTATCCCCATAGGATTTCCCTAATTTCTGATCCTACCTGTGTAGGACGATCTGTAAGAACGCCAACTAGCCGGAAAGATCATTATACTCAGACTAAATCGCCTTTCAATTTGTGACAAGCTAGCCTGGAATCTTGTTTATAATCCTCTTAGAGATGATTACAAGTAGAATATCTCATTCTTTGCTCATGGGAAGCATATACATAACGGCAGGAAAGATTTGTGTATAGACTCACAGACCCCAACCACCCTCCGGTCGCTTTTCCTTGTCCAGCGTTCTCCTCGAACCCACCGTGTGGCTTTTGATCCTGCCATTCCAACAACCGCTTCTCACGTCCTGCTGATTCAATGGATATTCAACGCTGATTTCCTGATGTGCATTAGATCTGGGGTGGTGGTAATGTATATCTTTCGTGTACGAGGTCGAGGGTGATCTGCTGAATGACGATATTATCGACAAATGCTGGTATAACGAGTATGCCACAGTCGCGCAATGAGCTACAAAGACAGAGTGGCTGTTTAACAAAGGAATAAACGAGAGAGGAGCCAATGCCGAAACAGTTTCAGCGACCGTCCCGTACGTGGCTATAGGTAACATCGTTCGTGGGCTACGGGACAGCCTTCGGGGATGGTCGTCCTACTTTCTTCAGCCGAACCTGAGCAACTTGGATTCACTTTCGAGTGGTATAGGCACAGCTCTTGAAGCAGAAAAAAAGAGATATACACCACCTGGAGATATACATTTGTTTAAGCTAAGCTAACTCCATGTATATTTTGGAACCCTAACATATTTATGTCACTTCCGCAAAATGGTGGTTGTATGCAAAATAATGTAGCGCTGTAGACCCTCGGCACCATTCACACATGGCGACGGTTGCTTTGGGGTTACGGCCACGACAATTATGCTCTCTTCTTCAGTTCCATAAAGGAGTCCGCGCTGCCGGCTGGGTGCACGCAACCCACAATTTCCAAGGGTGGATCGATGGACATAAACAATGCGTCCCAGTCCTCGTAGGATCTTTCCTTGCTTCCGAACTGAATCATCATCTGCATGTCTAACGCTCTCATGACTCGCTCGCGCTGCCAAGACGCAGTTCCAGGGCTTTGAAGAATTTGCTCTGCCACGAGGATGGATGCTCCTGACTTCATGCTATCAGCAAGAGCCTGCAGGATGGCCCGGCAATCATTGTCATTCCAGTCGTGTAGAATGTGTCGCAAGAGGAACACATCTGCCTCGCGACCTAATGCCGACTGTGGCCTGAAAAAGGAGTGAGGCAAGAAGATGACCCTTGACTTCAAGTGGCGAGGGATATTGTCATCGGCACTATCCTTCAGCTTGAGATTGTCCTCCACGATGACGGCTAAAGTAGGATACTCTTCTGCGAGCCTTATCCCGACGAATCCATCTGCCCCGCCAACCTATAATCATGAGAATCCTATGACAGCTTTTGACTGGATACATCAACACTCACATCGACGACAATGGCTTTTCCCAGCTTCTCCCAGGCGAAGCCCTTTAGAATGTAACTCACATCATGGGCCCCACCACTGGTAATTAATGCCATATACTTTCCGTAGTTTTCGATCAGTTCCGGTCTTTTGGAGGCAGAAGTCCACCACGTATCCATAGTGTTATGAGCTATCTGATATGCGCACTTGTGTTCTCTGTCACCGTCTTTCAACCAGTCCAGAAGCCGGACCATGGACGGTAAACAAACGTCAAGCTGGTAAGTAAGCAGCGGTGACAGCCGGGGTATCTCCATGGAGACGTCTGTCTGCGTAACACAGTCTGGCTCCGGTTCGCTGAATACACCGTAGGTCATGGCCTGTCGCAAGATCCGGCGGAGAATGTCCACAGGTAACCCGCACTTCTGCGCGAGTTCAGATATAGCAATACTTCCACTGAGAGGAACGATGGTCGCAATCTGGTAATGGTTGATGACCTGCAGGGATGCAAGATTCTGTCTGTCCTTTGTACATTCGGTTAGCCAGCAACCATTCATAGGGTGAGATTACGGCTTCTTACAATCAGTGCCATCTCTTTGAGCATCTCAGCAGGACTCGTAACGAGAGCCAGCATCCTCCGACAGGCCTCGATTACATTTACACGCGCGTTGCATGTATGCTTTGAAGACTCATCCTGCAGCATAGGGACTGACTGGGAAATGAAGTTCGCCAGCTCCATGAGGCTGGAAGAGGAAGGAGGAACAGAGGCCATGACGCTATTCCGTCTGGCAAGTGCGGATGAAGATGAGGTCGCAGGTGGAAAGAAAGAGAAAGCAGAAGATGGGAGAACAAAGTGAAATGGGAGGGGGAAGAGAAGTCAAGTGAAGTGAATGAAAGATTGGATGGGTCACTGACATCACGTTGTCCGCATAGCCCTTTCAGGAACTTCTTCTTTATCTGGCACCAGGTCAAGAATACATCCTATTCACCGATTCTCTAGCACCCACTCTCCTTTTCCCCTTCCCCAGAAAGGCTACAAGTAACCTTAAAGAAGACACATCGTGCCATTCAGAATATCTCTCTTGAAGATAGCCACGGGATATTGTGGAGATGAGCTGTTCCATATATGCGGTGCCAATATATTGCATGTTCAATGATAAAATAACATAACAGTCATTTAGTAAAGAAACTGGGTATCAACTCTGATCTGGTGAGCCCTTAAGGCAATCGCGGTATGGTTCACATCGTGTAGTGGCCTTTTTAAGAGCTATTTTTCAAGAGGTCTATTTAGAAACATATCCGACCAAGGTAGGGTATGATCTCAAAGAGAGTCGGGTAATCTCATAGTTATACCATGCTAAATCTTGTGTTGAATCTTGATTCAAGCTGAACTAGTACCTTCAGGTCGAGGCACAAGAAGGAGGACTATATTAACATCAAGTATCCTTATCCATCTTACCTTTGATTATCATAGACGGGCTTTACACTGTCGTATGGCATGCGAACAGAGTACTTGGGAGATAATCAAACTTAGTGTTCTATCAACATCGCCAGAATGCCCTGACGGTGTCCTGTTTCCCAGACACCCTCAAATATGACCATGCAAGGTGGAAGTCTAGCTTTCTCGTCCATTGCAGAAGCCTGGCTCTGGCTAGTATAAATGGCAATTCACGTTGATCACGCGGGGCTTCTGATCACCTCCTGGTCCCCATCGGACACTGCATGGATCTCCATCCCTTTTACACTAGATACCAGGTTTAATATCAAGAACATGATATCCTAGACTCAATGGTCCTCTTACCGGCTTGTCCTTATCACATATCTCCCAAAGATCTCTGTTCATACCCCGTCGCTTCACAAGGCATTGGTCGGCTTTCTTACCCATTTTGCAGTGCTTGATCTAGTTAGCCGGATTCAAAATGATTTAAAATGTGTCCTTGGTGGCTGACTAACCCCTGTATCAATCATGTGCATAGGGTCAACGCCATTATGAGGATCGCCTTGCAATGCTGGCAGTTTCCTGTCGGGATAGGCGGGTTGCACTGCAACTCCAAAGCCGAAAAGAAGCAGGGTAAGAGGAATGATAGAGAGCGTAGTAGTCTGCATGTTGTTCCGACCGGGACCTAAGGATTACAGGCCAGAAAATAATAGCAATGATGAGCCTGGTCTCGTTAGGAAAGCTAATATTATGCGAGAGGAAAAAGCTCTTTATGTATCTTAGCCTTCAGGGTTGATAGTAGTTATCCTTCTTGAAGGTCTGTAAAGGTCCATATATTCTCCTTTGCCCATAACCTTCTTTGTATGACTATGCCTGGATGGTTAGCCATGAGCATAAGACAAATCCCGTCGGGCGCAGCAGACTCCTGAACTTCTTTGTCGCTCTAGGGCATGTTGAGATGTCCAGCCCACACTCGAGAACATGACACAGGGGTGCCCGAGATCCCGTGCCATTGTGAGAATATGCTTACGACAATTGGACTGCCGCGCACAGGCTGTGAACTCCTACTATTGGGGTTTCCTCACATACAGCCCTGGTCCTTCCCCTTAGACGCCCTGACTAGGGCCTCAACAGGTGGACCGCCTGGTGTTACATGAGATTTCACAAATAGAACCCCTGACAATGCGACAGGCACAGTATCAGAACCCCTATATTAGCGTTACTCTAGCCGAGGGACATGGCAGAGACACTTACATCTCGCTCGACCGGGGCGGCGCTGTGCCGACCAGAGCGGATACGTCCCGGGTTTCTTCCTGAGCCGTCCACTTTACTGTAAACCTAAAATAACATAGAAGGGGAGTAAAGGCTTCGGCCTCGGCTCACATTCATAGTGAATAAACACGAACATGGTTCACTATCATGGTTGACAGTCTCTCGAGATCTAGTAGGAGCTGGGAGGGTATGCGGATGTTCCGTTCCGCGAACGGAGTGGATCCGCGACAAATGTACATCTCCGAGAGTAGAGATGAATAGTATTAAACTTGGACAGTTTCGTGAGCACTTGACATTTATTTTCGTTGATTAGTTTCTGCCAATTGCTTGTTCTTGTTCTTTTACTATATCTTTCAATAATATCAAAAATGCTGAGGCTCGACGGAAAGGTTGTGCTCATCACTGGGCTTGGCCAAACCACCGACGATGGATGGGGAATTGGAGCAGCGATTGCAATGAAACTCGCCCAACAGGGGGCCGTGGTCTTCGGTGGCAATCGCACGTTAGCCTCGGCTGAAAGAACCAAAGCGCGGATTGAAAGAGAGGGCGGCGTGTGTGATGTCCAGGAAACCGACGTTACCGATTCGGCATCCGTGAAGGCTTTGGTAGACGGCTGTCTACAGCGACATGGCCGCATTGATATCCTGGTCAACAACGTGGGCAAGTCGGAGCCTGGGTGTCCCGCAGACATGAGTGAAGAAGTCTGGGATCAGCAAGTCAATTTGAATTTGAAAAGCATATACTTGACATGTCACTATGTCCTACCCATCATGGAAAAGCAAGAGACGGGCGGTTCAGTTGTCAATATTTCCAGCATTGCAGGGCTACGATATATCGGAAAACCCCAAGTCGCCTACTCGGCTACCAAGGCTGCCATCATGCAATTCACCAAGGCCACGGCCGTGATCTATGCGCCAAAGAACGTCCGACTGAACACGGTAGTGCCCGGGCTGATCTATACGCCATATACTCAAGCGCTCGCCAAACGATATGCTCCAGGAGGCAATGAGGAGGAATATATGAAGATGCGTGATGCACAGGTCCCCATGGGACGGATGGGTGACGCTTGGGATGTGGCTAACGCCGCCCTTTTCTTGGTCTCTGATGAGGCACGGTATATAACAGGACAGGAGGTTGTGGTGGACGGTGGAATCACATCGTCTACAGGGAGAACGTAACCCATTTTAAAATCTCTAGTTGGGTATATATAGCTAGTGACTTTGCAATTGGCCTTGATTTGTATCTGGAATATTTCGAGCAGCGTAAATCCTATGACCAATGATATGTCGAGCCACAATTGTTTTTTTGCCCTTGCCGAAGCTTCAACCTATGTAGCCCACTCATAGCTCACTTGCTGATATTAAGCTAACTGACCAGAGCACGACAGGTAAAGACTCAGCGCAAGGAATAGGGTCTATTCTAGCTCTACAGTATCTAAAGGACCACGAACCATCAAGTGGGTCTGCGGAGAGCATCCGCTCGGATTAGAACCGTCGGTCTGCCTCCGAAGCGCATGTATGCTGAAGCATTTATAACCTCTTAGAACGAAAGTTATAACCAAGAATAGGCCACTTTGTACCATCGCCAAAGTCTAGAGAAAGTATCTATTCAATTTCACAACGATGACGCTCGTTCACATCGGTGAGTTAGGCGCCTGATTCCCACGGTCCCTGCCCCTAACATACTGCACGTAGTCCTCTTTCAATTCCGCTCCGATGTCAGCGAGGAGCACAAGCAGACCTTTGTTACCGAGTTGAAGAAATTAAAACATCTATCCTGCGTCAAAGCTGGACGCCTACTTGTTGGAGGCCCCAGCGTCACCGACCCCATTGAACGCAGCAAGGGTTTCCAGATCGCTCTGGTGAGCTACCACGAGAACCGGGAAGCGCTGGCGGAATACCAGGCGAGCGATGAGCACCACCGGTATGTATCCACTCAAGGTTCTGCTGAGAAATTGACGACTAGAAGCTGACCTCCCTTGTAGGGTAACCTCTACGTACCTGTTTCCTTACAAAGAGGATTTGGTCCGGTTTGATTTTGAAGTTGACGAAGAAGATGAATATATATGCCAGTTTCCTTTATCTAGCCTAGGAATATAAAGACTTGATCCAGTGTTGTTTATTCTGTGTAATCCTTTTTAAGATGCAATTGGGATCAGAGCTCAGAATAATCGTAGCGAAGGTGGGAGGGGGAGCTGAGGGGAATAAAGACCACTTCCGTCACTTTCTAGCTTTCTGGTCTATGCGCCGCCAATCGCGGTATTCCGATAGTCGAAGGTACCGTGGGATAGTCCGTGTTTGGATCAAGGAGAGCCCAGACATTAGTTAGCAGTGGCTGGGGAAATCTCCAGAAAGTCGGATCTCTTCCGTGTTCCTGCGGCGGGGAACATCCGAGAGAACGGCAACGGCGGCCCGAGCACGTTATTAATGGCTGGATGATGTCTTTCCAGATACACCGGAAATGAATGATAATTACTATTCTTCTTACATGAAAGACTACCATGGAGGCTCACGGCACCGTGAATGAAGACTACAATCTTCAGCAACCCGTTGTTTCCACTGCGGGTTTGCGACAAGGGCTGACCTCCTATGGAGATGCCCACTTTTCACTCTTCTTGCGCAAGGTGTTTATCAAGGCCCTGGGATATTCGGAAGATGCCCTCTCCCGTCCAATTATTGGCATCATAAATACTGGCTCCGGCTTCAATCCCTGTCATGGAAACACGCCACAGCTAATTGAAGCCGCCAAACGAGGGATCCATCTAAAGGGTGGCATCGCCATCGACTTTCCCACCATCAGTTTGCACGAGTCGTTTTCACATCCGACGAGCATGTTTCTCCGCAATTTGATGAGCATGGACACCGAAGAGATGATTCGTGCGCAGCCCGTTGATGCGTGCATTATGATCGGAGGTAGGAACTACGTGCGCCACCCATTCAAGTCCGTTCATGCTGATACCCAGATAGGTTGCGACAAGACAGTTCCCGCCCAGATTATGGGAGGTATCTCCGCCAACAAGCCAGTGCTGCCTCTCTTGACCGGGCCTATGATGCCCGGAAGTCACCGAGGACAGCGGATTGGCGCATGCACTGATTGCAGAAACAATTGGGCATCATACCGTGCCGGCACTATTGACATGGAAGAGATTGCGGCTGTCAATGAAGAACTGGCACCAACGGTTGGTCTTCATCGGCCGATCACTGATGGACTAAACTGACATGTCGTGGAATAGATTGGCACCTGCGGTGTGATGGGTACTGCCAGCACTATGGCTTGCATCACGGCCGCGCTAGGCTTGATTCCCCTCCAGGGAGCCTCTGCCCCTGCCGTGTCTGCGGCGAGGCTTCGCATCGCAGAGCAAACAGGTGCTAATGCGGTGGCTGCGGCGGAATGTCGACGGTCGCCGCAGACAGTTCTCTCGGCTGACTCGTTCTATAACGCCGCAGTTGTGCTCCAAGCCATCGGAGGCTCCACAAACGCCATGGTCCACCTGATGGCGATAATCAACCGGCATCCCGACATTAGTGGGTCTATAACTCTCCAAATGTTGGACGAGATCGGCCGTACCACTCCGCTTCTTGTCGACTTGAAGCCGAGCGGGGACAACTATATGACCGATTTTCACAACGCTGGGGGCATGCTGTGCCTTCTGCATCGTCTACGACCGCTCCTTCGCCTTTCAGCAAAGACCATCACGGGGGAAACCCTGGGGGACGTATTGGATCGCAGCCCTTTCCGGGACTTTGAGTACTCTCGGACTATTATCCGTACATTGTCCAACCCGTTGCACCCTTGCTCGTCCTTAGTGGTTGTTGAGGGCAACATCGCACCACACGGGGCCGTGATCAAAGCGTCCGCATCTAAAGACAAGCGTCTTCTCCACCATACAGGGCCTGCAGTCGTTTTTGAGAATCCTCGCGATCTTTCCCTACGTCTTGATAGTCCGGAACTCGACGTGACAGCCGACTCGGTACTGGTGCTGAAAGGCATCGGTCCAATCGGAAACCCTGGAATGCCTGAGGCGGGGATGATTCCTATCCCACGTAAGCTAGCGGCCCAGGGAGTGACAGATATGCTTCGGATTTCAGACGGCCGGATGTCAGGGACAGCGGGAGGGACGATTGTTCTACATGTCTCGCCCGAATCCGCGGTTCCAGACTCACCCTTTGGTGTTATTGAGACCGGCGATACGATCGTGTGTGATGTTGAAAATCGCGCTATTCGTTTGGAGATCTCCGACGAAGAGCTGCAGAACCGGATTGCACAGCGCCGGCGATTAATGTCGGAGGATGAGTCTTCGACCTGGAACGAGAGGCGGACTAGGCGAGGATATCGGGGTCTCTACGAGCGGGAGGTCAACCAGGCACATGAAGGCGCAGATTTCAATTTCCTTACTGCAAAAGGCCCGAATGGCCAATAGTGAATTTCGACACATGTCTCCTATTGGGGTGTCTGTGATGGTTGCGCCTTCAGAAAATGCCGTTGACTGAACATAGTCTCCCGATGGGATGGACCTCAGTCGCACTTCTGTTTCTGTAGAAGTGCGGTTGTAGGCACCGGTTAAGCTAATACGATAGAGGAACATATCATGCATTGGACATATTAGGGTGAATATTTGTAAAAGTCTGAGTATCACACAAATGAAGGAAACTTTTTGAAAATATGTAGGCGCTCGCTTTCTTGGATCTGGAACACCCACAGGACCGGGTTAAGTCATATCATGACTCTTTCGCAGGAACATTTATCGGCCAATTATAGGAACTACCGGCAACGGAACTGGCTGCATCATGGCTACTCTATTCTACCCAACCCTATCGCAAACTCCGATAAATGGCGACGTTACTCCACCAAGGAATAATCGGCCAGAGATCGGATCATGTACCGCCGTTGTTGTAGTTGGCAGGACCCTTGCTTCACCGTCCTCGACGACCTTGACGACTTCGTACGTGTCCCCTGGTGCGTGGCCATCCCGTTTCTTCCAGATCATGAGCACCGTTGATGGTGCCATGGTACCATACGGGTCATCCCATGCCTTCCAAAACTTGGCTGCATCTGGGAACCCCCCCGCGAATACATTTCCCTCCGCATCGATAGACAAGTTGTCAACGCTCATCGTAAGCGGAACCTCATCGATTTGGACGAGCCGGTTATCGTCTGTGAGCCTGTTGACTCCGAGAGTACCTTTAGCAGAATGCGCAACATAAATACGGCCCGATGAAGGGTCCCTTGTGATCCCATTGGGCATGTAGCAGTTTTCCGTCGTGGCGATGTGGCATTTCCCAGTATCAGTACGGCAGTAGGCGATGCTGCCATCACCGAAGATCAAGCCCAGGTCTCGGAGAGCGCCGACCTTGGTGCTGTGATCGTTGGTCACCAGGAAATCTCCCTTGTCGCCATCTATTACCACCAGATTGTTCGGGGAGATGATGGCGTCGCTGACGATCGTCTTAACGTGCGCTAAATGATTAGCCTTGCGGGCATTGCCGAGGTCCAGATCGTAGACGTCGATGGTTGAGTTGGCTCCCACGTGGGTTGCGTCCAGCAGTGTCTCCCCCGTGGCAGTGTCCATGGGAGGCCGATGGTTGATCAACCAGAATCGAAGTCGGCGACCGTGGTCAATTCGCCTCACGTCGAACCCATGCAAGTGCAATCGTTGGTTGTTGCCTCCCTCACGGAAGCCGAGTGCATGTACCCCGTACAAGCCGTCGGGGCCCGGCCGATCGATGTCCAGCACACTGATGTGATCGGAGCCGCCGGCTGCTGCCAGCCCAGAGAGGTCGTACGTGTTACCACCGGGGCTCCAGGCCTTACGAGCGGCTGGGTTGGAGCAGGCAGCATAGAGCTTGCGGTTGGTGGAGTCGAGCCAGAGGTCCTCACAACTCTCCAAAAGTGGGTGCTGAATGCGCTGGCAGCGATAACCTGGGAAGTCTTCGAGAGGCTGAATCACTCGACCGATACCGAGCACGAGGACGACGGCATCGTGTAGGTAGACCTTGTAGAGTCCGATGGTGATGGCTAGAATGAGAACCACGAAGGCTCGAGCCGAGCCCGCCATGGTTGATCGGTAATCCTCGGCGTCGATGAGAGAGTAATCTTGGACTGGTCTGAATGAGTTGCTTTAGATAAGATGGAGGGCTTGCTCTAAAAAGCCCCGTCAAAAGATGAGCCGTAATGCCACCACAGTTAACGGATTGAATAGTCAGAAGGCCTTCCTATTGTGTTATGGAAGGTGTTTTAAACCAATCCACGAATTTCCGAGAACACTGCCATCATAACCGACAAACCCACCTCGTATCTGTGCCAATGATTGTAGGATCGAATTCCCCACAGCTCCACATTGATAGACGATGCACCCAATCAAAATATCCTGTCGATCGATACCATTCTCAAGGATGATCATCCTTACAACTGGGGGTCAAAAAGGTACAGCTGTGGGACGGGGAGAAGGCAAGCCTTGAGAGATTGGCTTTTGAGGTAACATTTGATTCTATTCGGAGAGAACAGATATCGTAAACTTATGGCCAACCACTAAGGCGGTACTCTCTGACAGTGACTCTCATTCAGCTACAGAGCGGCATAATATAAGCATTCATAGGTTTGACGTAGCCCGCCGATGACCACGTAAGACAGTAATCTTCCCCGTTTCCAATATGAAGCACATCAAAGATGGCTCTAGAATGACGGTATGACCAGAAAGGCCTCTGCATTCAGCAATATGTATGTCTATGATTGACCCAATGGGCTATTATGTTGGCAAAATGGAAGATTCCCTGACGCCCGAGGAGCTTATATCTAATCTAGACAAATTGAGAACCATTTTCTGAGAGCCCTCATTCTATCAGCTTCAGTGCCCAGCGATTCAATCACTCTGGTCCTTCCGCCCATATTCAGCTTCACCTCGTTATTGACTAACATGATCTTCCCTGCGATGTGCACTTCGTCTGGTCCAGCTAGAATTGGAACAGGGGTCTCTTGATTCTGGAGGATTCCTCCTTCTTCACCGTGCCTAATAAATTTCACCGCGACAACGAGCTCCCTCTTAAGAAACTCCCAGGCTGCAAATCGATTGATCACCTCAAAGTCCTCCTGGAAAAACTCCAGGTCGGGATGACAGTAAAACGAGCTCCATTCCTTGTCCATATCGTTGCGGCACTGGTAAATCCAATGCTTTTGCTTTCTCTGTGACTCTTTGGAGATGTGGTCGTACAGCAAGCGGGCTTCTTGAGTCCCAAGGTTTTTGATTGCTTCTCCAGACACGAGCGGGATTGGGCTGGTTGGGCCGTCGCCACCAAATCCAACATCGAGATGATATCGGACTCCAGAGGGGAGCCGGACGATATTGGCCATGTGGACCCTAAACATAGTCAATGAAAAGAGTCACGGTTGCTCTGCGTTCAGTGCCTACCATCCCCCATAATCACCCTGCGGGATCCCATTTACCCGGTCTCGGTTTCTTGCCCCTACCGTGTACACACAGAATCCCAGACCGCGGAGGATGTGGTGGAAGAAGATGTTGACTTCCAGACAATAGCCTCCCCGGCCAGTGGGACCGGCTTCCCCAGTTCCCATCATTTTGGAATAGAGGGTGTCAGGGTGGATATCTGCCTGCCGGGTAGCGGAGTAGTGGACAGATAGATTCTCAAAAGGAAACCGTGTGATTTGACATCGGAATAGGACGGTGAGCGCTGCTTCATCTTTGGGGAAGAGGTGAGGTGTTTCTACGTAGGCATGGTACTTGGACGGGAGGGAGAGATACGACAGGTACTTTTGTACCTGAAGCGTGGAGTAGGCGGAGCTCATTTCAGGGAACGATTGATAATACGCAAGTCGGAGAATGGCTTAATTAGAACGGTCGGCGAGGAAGTCCTAGATACCACGTTGCTTACTTTTGGTTTGATATACTCATAATAGTGTGTAGTCGGATAGAGTTTGTGAGTCATGGTCGGTGAGGCATGTCGAAGGGTGCGAATATAAGAAGAGATTTTAAACTAAGCACTTGCTGAAAGCTTCCATTGGCGTAGATGTTTTTTCTTAACAAATGCTCATGCTCTATGCTTCGGTACAAATATTACCACGTTGCATGGATTGCCCTATCTGCGTTTTTCATGTGATCGCGCTAGCCCTCCGTCGCCAGGCAATGCAGCTGAGATAGAGCTGGACATACGTGGCCTTTCGCAATATCGATCAAATATTCACGAGGCACAAGAATAATTCAAGGTCAGGCATACAGTCTTATTGGACAGCATCAAACACCTCCGCAACAAACTCCACAGCTCTGTCATATGCCTGCACTGACCCCTTCGCGGGACCCGGCGGCATTCCCGATTGAAAGTCCACCAAGCCGTGCGGTCCATTCTCTACAAGCAGTAGTTCGGTCTTGACTCCAAGTTGCTTTAACTGCTCATGGTGATGCTTGCTCTCCTGATCCGGGACGACCTCATCGGCAGTTCCATGCACCAACACGGATGGAGGGTAGTTTTCCGTCACAAACAACTGGAGAAACGCCGGTTTCAAGTCCTCCGGAATCGCTGCAGCTCGCTGTGCATAGTCCAGCTTATTCAGCTCTGCACCCAGGCCAGGGCGGCCGAGGCAGCCATCGAGGAACGTACCGTCCAGTTCCCACCGGACGGTCAGAGCAAAGCGGTTAGACATGAAGCCCCTCTCTGGCGAATCCTCGCTCACAACTGTCTTGTCCGCAAGTAACCTGGGGACCTCGTGGAGATCAACGAACTTGGCGATAGACGTGGGTGGCCGGCCAGTCGTCCAGTGATCCAACAGCCAGTCGCCCGCCGATCCATAGCCCGTCAGAAGAACTGTTGGCTTCGGAGTGGCGTACACACACGCCGCACGGGCGGAATAGGCGCCGGCGGAGAAGCCAGTCACGGCTATCCGACTTGTGTCGAGCGAGACGAGCTTTGGTAGCGCCATTTGGAAGCTCTCACCTGCGAGGAACCTGAAAAGAGCTTTTGCATCCTCGATCTGATCGAGGGCGGTGCATGGGTGGCAGAGTCGGTAATCGGCTGCAATGAAGATGTAGCCTTTTGCTTGGCAGTCGCCTGTCACGCTCCACGTTAGTCGTGCGAAAGTCCTTCGGGTCGCATGCAGATCTACTCACCATATAACCAGTGTGGGAAACCCATACCCCGCCGCGAGCCAGCTGTCATTCCACCGCCGTGGTAATAGATCACAGCTGGTAGACATCCTTCTTCTCTAGGGGGCAAGTAATAGTCTAGCTTAATCTCATGTCCATCTACGGTTGAATAGACTAACGTCTTGCCTCCGCCAGGGAGAGTTGGCGACATGATTGACTATGGATGGGCTGATATTGTGTTGGATTAAGGTGTTGTTTGCAGAGTAGGAGGTTCTTGGATGCGAACCAGTTGATATAACAAGACCGGGGCAATCGAGGTGGAGCAATAGGATTCATTCTTCGACTTTCATAGGAGTAGCTTGATCCGGTAGAAGTTATTGCCGCATTCTTCCCCACCGGTTCTTCATCTCGGAGATAATCACCTTTAACCCTCGACTGAAGGTACGACCATGCAGTGATTTGTTCTAGCTGGACAGTGAAGAGGACCAAGATCCCACGCCAGAAAAAGATCATAACAGTACCAACACACGTAGGCATACAAATAGGCTCATGTTTGATTATCCGCGTAGTCTGACTTGTCCGTTATCTCCCAAGGATATCCGATACTGTGTAGAGTACCAACGGACCCACCTATTTCGAGGTTTAGCATTTCGGACTTACCGACACAATCAGCCCGTTATCTGGAAGATCCCTTGCGTCTGATTGGGTGCAGGTCCAATGTGGAGTTGGACCTGTGTATGTTCGTTGCCTGGTCCTTGTTAGCATTACATTGCTCTATGCTTTGGATAGGGTCCGAACTGACGTTCGTGATCCTGGACCCCTGCGTAGGTACCCATCTGTATCGGATAGACAGCTACATCATCCAGTACGAGTATAAATCAGCCAAGGCTCACTCCTATGATACGTCGTGTTGTATGGTATTTGAGCACAGCCTCGCAAGGCTGAATGAGTCACTCGTCCTCCAAAAGCATCCTCAACTCTCATGTTGTAGATAACCACATCATTAACAAAGAGCCCAAAGATACCAAAGATATAACCACATACAATGGATATTCCAGAAGACTTCCTCCAAGCTCCTGCCCCTCCGACCGCGACTATCAAGAAGCTCGACTTCACCAAAACGACTCCTCCCATCCCCGCGTACAAGAACCATTTCGCCGCCATAATCGAAAACGTCCTGACCCCAGCCGAGTGCAATCGCTCCTTCAACTCGCCGAGCAATCCATAACATCCCAAAATACAAATAATGCACACCCAGGGAGAATTCCCTGGGACCGCGCCCTGCTGAATGTCGGTAACGGGCAACAGATCAGCGCCCCCGGCTTCCGCAACTGCGGACGTATCCTATACGACTCGCCAGAAATCGCAGATAGATTACTCAATCGACTATTACCGTTTCTGCGCGAGTGCGATGTCGTGCAAATCTTCAACCAGCCCCTGGTGACGGGGGCTGGACCGGCGACTCGCGGCGAGACTTTTCAGCTGACACGGCTGAACGAGAAGTTACGGTTCTTGAGATACACGGGTGGGGAGTATTTTCGTGCCCATACTGATGGGTGTTATGTCACCCCGGATGAACGAGAGAGGTCACTGCTCACAGTTCATTTGTATTTGAATGGCGAGGGAGAGCAGAATGAGGGTGCGCTCCAGAGCGCGATCGCGAGACGGGAACGAGTCGATGCTGGTGGTAGTGATGGCAATTCTGACTGGGGAGTGGTATTTGGAGATGGAGATGGGGATGAGGATATGGAGTCAGAGGAAGAGGACACAAATCTTGAGGATGGAAAAGAGCAAACCCTGCTCGGAGGTGCGACCTCGTTTAGACTGGAGTCTTTCGCTGGGGAGCGGGTGGTACGGGTGTTTCCAAAGGCAGGCTCGGTGCTGGTCTTTCAGCAGCGAGGGCTTTGCCATGCTGGGGATGATGTGTTTCGGGGTGTGAAGTATACCATGCGGTCCGATGTGATGTATGAGAAGATCGAGAGTTGACAGCCAGACACCTGAGTTTTATTAACATCTCCATAACTCTGAGGTTGAATATTGAATCCTACTGAGAACGGTTCCATTATAATTAGTGGACAATGCAAAATTCCTCCACCGGAGAGAGGAGATATACCTTCCTGAGATTGTTCCTGCTCTTCACCTGCTTATCCTAGTATCGTGGGTATTGGATGGGTTAACAAGAGAAGGATGAGTCCAGCTCCCGATATACCCTGAAGTGTTACAGCCCTAGATGGCTGTGCACAAATTGCTACTCTTCACCGTTTTCTCTTCGCGGGCCGGCCCACATACCGCGGTTCTAGGAAACTAACTACGTGTTACAGTACACCAACGTGCCATGAGCCCTTTGCATCAATCTTTCAGGGATTCTAGAGTGCCCCCAAAGCAGTCTGACTTGACGTCTACGCGCTCGCTCTCGATCCAAATAGGCGTGCCATTGTTTCAGAATGACAGAACTGGCAGGAGGCTTTGTTCAAGCGCCGGTACAGGAAGAATATTATGATTCGCGCAGGTCAAGGCTGTAAGTACCACTGTTCTATTATAAGCATATTGCAAGGTCGATCCGGTGGACGTTGGCAGGCCTTACGGCAGCCATGTCGTATACTCCACTACTGGGCAAACGTTGATTGGTATCTGTGATTTGGGACCATAGTAGTATGGTTACATTATAGTTGCCTTCAGTCATTCTCATTGGGTGGCAGCATAAGCTCACCTCGGTCCCACAATTGAGGCTGAATGATCCACGAGTAGCGTTTCGCTAGATATTGTCGTTTACGTCAGGAAACCAGTGGCTTGCGAGACAAAATCCTTCTGCACCATGGCTGATGAGACCCAAAAACCATCAATTCCAGTGCATGTGAGACGGCCTGATCTAGCGCGACTTACGGTGCTCCGTATGGCTCAGGTGAAGTCTCCAGCTTTCCCTGGATAACAATTGTACCGGAATAATATACAGGAAACAATAGAAACAACGAAGAAAACAAAATCGAGAATTTATACCAGAGGGAACCACGTAAAACTTAAATTGTATGCGTCTGCTAAAAGTCATCCTCCTGGTGAATCGACTCGAAAACCTTTTCTCGGGACATTTGCAATGAGTCAATATAGGTCCTTAAGATTAGCTGATCGGACTGATGAGCCATGCCTTGTGCATGCCGGGCCAACACGTTCAGAATTGATCCGATCTTCTCCAGCTCAGACAAAAGAACCTGGGCAATAATTTTTGAGCGTAGCTCATTGTCCAGGAGGTAACTGCCAATAGCCATCGGGGTATCATAGGTAGACAGGCCCATGCTAAGGGGTGACTCATCTTGTGATGTTTCATGTTGCTGTGTCAGGAGGGTTTGGTAGGATTCCAAAACCTGCTGTATGATAAGCACCAACAAGAGAGCGATGCGTAGTCCCTGAGCACAAGGGCAAGCCAAGATCTCCTTCACTGTTTCCATTGCCGTACGACCGTCATCGAGGGTCGCATCCAACGATTGTGGATGATTCAGCGGGGGAGTTCTCGATCGCATGCAGGATATCCGCGGGCCACGCATGCTCTGCAAGACTGAGGCTGCGCGTGTAATGCAGTCGCCACTCTCGCCGACACCAATAGCATGTTCTGCCATAATCGCATCCCACGAGGGATTGCCGCGTGGGTCTGCAGGGCATTCCCCTCCCATCTCATTCGTTTGTAGTCGTGCCACGTGTAGGAGATCAGGAAGAGACATGTCAGCTGACTCAGGGCTTCGAAACGGTGCCGCCGTTCCGTCGAGACAAGGGTAAGGTCCAATGTGAGTTTGAGATCCTATAGCTGACTCGGAAGCTGGGGAAGGCAGGGTATGGAACATGCTGAAGGGTGTCGCATAGTTAGATGACTGGTAAGGGTCATATGGCGACATAGCATTGTCAGAGGTGCTCGGGGTTCGACAATCTTGGTAGGTTCCCCCCTTTTGTGGATGCTGAGATATTGCCTCCTGCTTTCGCCGTGTGTCTTGAGTGGTAAAACTATTAGACCTCGAAGATGCGCAGTGGTGCCAGGCTTTGCCGATGCGACGAGACTCGCTATAGTTGCAGGCAATACCGCTCTTGATGCACCGTACGCAATGCGGCTGACCGCGGTCGCATTTGACCTTCGATAGGGCGCAGAAATCACAGCTAGCCCTTAGCTTGACAGGCTTTCCCGATCGCTGGCTCGGCGTCCTTGTGGTACTCATTGTCAAACAGTAGCTGAATATGTTGTCTTGGGCCAACCTCGAGGGTGTATGATCGATTTCAACGTCAGGGTAGATAGTCGCGGTTAGAGACGAATAGTGAAAGTATGAGAGAAGAGAGGCAAGTATGAGGGTCAGAGGAGCATGAGCTAACAGTTAAGGGATTGTATTTAACCTGTCCCAGCTGAATAACTTCACCCTTCGCGTCACGACATATCTATTGGATCGATTGTAAGTCAAGGTACAGGGCTGAATTGACCATGGATCCCCCAAGGGTCCCAATCCTGCGTCAACCATGGAAGCCCCCCGACGGCGACTGATTATGCTTAGGGGATCATATCAAGTCTCAGTCCAAAAATACCTTTGATGCATACTGCATCTGTCATTGGAGGGTGAATACCTTCAGGCCCGCTCCTCATAGGTGCACGAGGAAGTGTTCCTGCAGTATTAATTATCTTTATCTCTGCGGATAAGGCCTGTGGCAAATAAATAGTGCCCTTGGAGTGATATCCTCTGTGACATGTCCTGGCTGTGGTGCTTTTATTCCCGACGGTGTCGATCTCGATTCCATGTGTGGCCCCACTGAGGCCCGCACCATGGGGTATATCAATTGGCCAACCTACACTAACGCCACGGGATTGTTCGGACTCTCTTTTGTTGGTTCTGGGCAGCCCTAATCAGTTGGGACTGCGCCTCTTCACAGCCCGTATACCAACCGATCTATGAACGCCGTAGGTCACTTCTTAGTAGATGTTTGGGGTTGTAAACTTCGATTGGTGTTATGAGTGAAAGGCGTTTTACATGGACGATACAATCTGCATTGGATATGTAGGGTTCATACTAGTATTCTGTGCTCAAAGTCGGCTCTATGGTGGATTGGGCTGACTTCTAGCCCTGTGGAACTGGGTCCAATATCATGTACAAATCCGCATCTCATTACAGTGGAGACAAACACATATGCGCCATACGTAGGACTCTGAGTAGCAAACAAAACATTTAGTTTTGAAAAGACAATCAAACATATCTATTAACATTCATTGTAACATCGCTGTCCGCACTAATCCAGCCAGGCGACTGACTGCTGGGTTTCGAACAATGGTGAAATGATTAGCATCAGGTATTGTTTCTAACCGAATGTTAGCTCCCCCAAGCAGTTGATCCCATCCGTTGGATGACATGTTCTCCCGGCGTTCTAGCAACCAGGAGATGACCTCTGGGTCATCCGGATATCGTTCCGGGAGAGGGTCCCCTGGCGACTTGCATACGCCATCCTGTGCGTAGATGATGGTAGTGCGAGGGGCCGCATCAGCCGGGCGGAAGGGTGCAGGTGTATACTGGTCTAGAACATCATTGACGGCTTGGAAATGCTGCAAGAGCCATGCCGGCGGCTTCCGCCCGCCGTGAATACCAAAGACCCCTGCTTCCTCAAGAAAGCGGTAGAAGTGTGGTGGACACTTCCCTAAGCCCATAGGATTCGGAGAGTCTATCAGTAGTAGTCGCTCAACCTTTTCCCCTTGATCAACGAGATACTGTGCCACTTCATATGCAGCAATCCCACCTGCAGACCAACCCCCGAGGTTGTATGGACCGCGCGGCTGACGTCGACGGATCTCAGCCACGTAGACTGGGGTAAGGTCTTGAACTCGACATTTCGCAAGCTCATTCGGCCGCTTCAAGTATGGGCAGTCCATGGCATATACGCGTACATCCCTGGAAATAGCGGGTAGCGTTGAATAGGATGTGGAGGACCCAGACCCATCAGGAAAGAGAAAAAGGGTTTGTGAACAACTTTCGTTGCCCTGGAGGTTTATCGACGTCGCGGGTGGATGAGTGGCCACTAAACTCTGCTCGGTACCTTGCTTCGTGGATTGAAACATTGTTCGCAGCGCCGCTGTAATTGAAGCAACGCTAGTGTGCTCCAGAAAGAAGTCATTCGGGAGTTCCAGGTCCGTCTCATCACGCACTCTTCCAAGAGTTGTGAGTGACAGGAGGGAATCTAGGCCAAGTTCGCTCAGGTCATCCGCATTGGTGAGATCTGTGAGATACACACCCATCTCCTCGGCTAGTATGGACGAGACCAAGCCCACCGTAGTTTCCACACCATCTAATACCGTGTTTTCCACAACATCCCTGTCACTTCCACTAGGCGATGTGATACTGGCTGTCGTAGATCCATCAGGGGTTGGATAAGAGCTTGTCTCGCCACTATCAGATTCGGACGATGATGGCATATTGAGGTAGACGCGAAGTGACTGCACAGATGGACAGTCTTCAAAAAGTGACCATGGTACGTCGAGCCCCAGAAACTCCCGAAACTTACCGATGATAGTCAAGGACATAAGCGAATCAACTCCCATGTTAGTAAAGTTCACATCCTCGGTGAGCTGCCCAGGGTCCACCCCAATCTCTGGGGCAATAATCTCAAGCACTCGCTGCCATGGATCCTCAACCTGGGGAAGCTGAGTTTGGCTACTACTCTGGGTCCTAGCAGCAGTCCGGGAAGTACAAACAGCCTTTGGTCCTGTGTTTGAAGGGCCGCCTTTGGGTCTCGTGGCGGGCAGTAACATTTCCATGACCCGCCGAGCCACTTTCTGAAAGGTGACTGCTCCATAATGAGCGATTATGCGGTTTTCATTGAGAATATAAACATCCCCCACATAAAGGCCCTTATTGTGATGGACAGGTTGCATTTTGACGTGAGTTTGGTAAACCGTGTCTGGGGAGAAAGGCTCGACACAGCGCATGAACCCCCAACCGTGGTTCACAAACGAGTGCTCGGTTAGATCAATAGAATCGTTGCAGTTCATGACGAAGCCAGTCAGATGGCCGAAGCTGTCAGACCAGACAGGATTCAACGAATACTGACCTGTGGTCGACTGTAAACGCACTTGGGCCGTGGCTTCCAGCCCAGAACTGTCGAATATCACTTCCTCCATGGCTTGATATGAGGGCCCGTATTGCATCATTGACGAGAAGAGTCTGTACGCCACACCTCGGCGCATTTTGTGCGTCCACCCTTCTTCAACACCCCTTTTGAGCTGCTCAATGCTGCGTTGAATTAGGTACAACTGGCGGTCCCAGCCCTCCTGCCAGTTGGTAGCTTGCCGGAGCTCTATGACACATTGTGCGTGCTGCACGGTGAGATTGCCCGTGTTGTCAACGCTGTACACCTTTATCACCCCACGCAGCATGTTCCAGTCCATGTCAAGAGACGCACGGAAGAGCTGTGGTCCAGTTCCTTTGACGACTAGCGCCTTCTCGACGACCATGTCACAAACGTCTATGTTATAATCTGGTACATCCTCCTTTTTGCCTAACAGATATGTGCCTAATGTGTGGGCAATATCCGCATATAAAGACTATGGAGCTTCTTGTCAGTATACCGAAAAAGCCAGAGTCTGCACTGTGCACTTACCGATGGACAAAGCGTTACACCGTTGACCTTATGATCCAGTGCTACTGGCAGTAGCTCCGGGTCACTAATATCAGATTCAATAATAATCATTGCCCGTGCGGCATCTACCACCTCTTCAACAATCTTCTGAACGGAAGGGCTCAACCGAGTAGATATCGGTTGAATAGCATTGGCACTCATTGCCTTTTCAGGACACCCCTTGGTTAGGCAAAAGTTATTCTGGTATTGAATCCAGTGGTTCTGATAGTCCCAACTATATCCAGGGAGCGTGATGACCTGGCTGCTGCTCTTGAAGTCACGTTGGTATTCGTCCCAGTTTAGCCGCACGCCTGCCAAGTGGAATACTGACAATGATCCCGCGAGGGTTTTGAACGTATCCTCTCGGTGGGATAACGTTGGGCACACCCTAACACTTGAGCCCACCTCAGCCTTCATCATGCGCATGAGGATGGGATGGGTACCAATCTCGACTGCTAGACCTGCAGAGTCAAAGGTACCAGAGGCCTGAGCTGCCTGTACGGCACCGACAAAGTTTACGGGCTCGCGACAATGTCGACGAATGTACTGGGCCCCAATAGCTCCTTCATCCGTGATAGTATGGCCTAAAGTGGGCGACACGATTGGAATCCTCGGTGGTTGATACGTCACTTGGCTGGCAATATATTCCAACTCGTCCAAAATCGGGTCAACCTGTGACGAATGAAACGCGAATGGTAGAATCAGTTTCTTGGAAGTCACTTGAAGGTCGGATAATATCTTCGAGGCTCGGTCAATCTCATCAGTCGTACCACTCAAAACCGTATCATCCAGGCCATTTCTGCACGATACCTCCACCTGTACGCCGTGGAGAACCTTCTCTATGTCAGAAATCGACGCTTTGACTGCCAACATCCCATGTGACCCGGATGTGCATCTTTTCTCTAGCAAGGCAGCCCGCGACCCAACTAAGTAGATCGTGTCGCTGATGCTGAGCACCCCTGCCAGCTGCAGGGCTGCATACTCACCAAGACTGTGCCCGAGCGCATATTGTGGTACCAGGCCCCAGTTCTGCCATAATCGTGCCATTGCTATTTGAACCACCACAGTACCAACTTGCACTACAATCGGGGACAGTTCTGCAACATCAACCGCTCCTGTGATCAGAGGAAGTATTGAGGGAAACCCATGCCCGCGACTGATAGCCTCAAACTCGGCTATGTCCGCGCGAAAGGAGGTGAAGCTATCGTATAGTTCCCGTGCCATAGCTGTCTGCTGTGCACCTTGGCCCGTAAATAGGAAGCCTACTCCAGGTGACTTGGATGGACAAGGCTTGGTATCCTGTGTCACATCTGTGTCCAGCAACCTTCGTTTAATCTCTTGCAGGTCATCCCCTACAAAGGCTACACGGTAGGAGTGGTGCATGCGCCTAGCGGTAGTCGTGTATCCGATGCGTGCTAAGAGCGCTGCGGAGGTTTCTGGGCCAATAAACTCGGCCAAAGCACGCATATTCTCTGACAGACTCCTGGATGACCGAGCGGAGAGGGTGACCACATGGTATTTCCGTGGGTCGGACGAAAGACCAGCCCGAAAGTCCTCTAACGACGGCGCATCTTCAACCAACACTGCTGTATTGCCTCCGGCTGCAGAGAAATTATTAATAAATGAGCGGCGCTTTCCTTCCCCGGGACGCATCCAATCAGTTTCCTTGAGCGCAATATGAACATTGCGCTGCTCCAAATCTGTAGGGAAGTGGCGGTTTATTCTTCCCTTGATGCCACAATGGGGTGGAATTCTGCTTTTCTGCATCATCAGCAGCACCTTAATCAATGCTGTCACACCAGACGCCGACTCGCCATGGCCAACATTCGCCTTGACAGATCCCAGATGTAACGGCCTATGCAGGCTCCGACTATCATCCCAGGCGAAGCTGTCCAGCACCGATTTCATCTCAACTGCGTCGCCCGCCTGTGTTCCCGTGCCATGCATTTCGATGTAGCTGATCTCGTGTGGATGGATGCCAGATTCTGCCAGTAATTGTTGGAATAGATGTGCCTGCGCATCAGCTAACGGACGGGTTATTGAGACTGCCTCCGCCGAATGCGAAGTTCGTGCTCCTAGGATCACGCCAAATATCGGATCGTTATCGGCTATTGCATCCGGTAGGCGCTTGAGAATCACGGTGCCTACACCATCCGCACGACAATATCCGTCCGCAGCGTCATCGAAGGTTTTACAATTCCCAGTTGAGGAGAGGAAATGCCCCCGGTCAAGGCCGGCAAAGTTGTCAGGGTTCGTTAAAATATTTGTGCCACCGGCCACGGCGGTATCACAATCACCGTTGAGTAGAGCGCTGCAGGCAGTATGAATAGCTGCTAGGCTGGACGAGCATGCTGTATCCACCGTCACGCTCGGTCCGCTGAATTTGAAGAAGTAATTGAGGCGGCCGGGAACAAAAGCTCTGATACCTCCTGGGATGAAATAGGTATCAATGTCTTGGCTACTGTTGACTTCGCGCCAGTCATCGCTCGTCATGCCGTAGTATACACCCACACGATCCCGCTGGCTTGCTGGGGTGCGATCCGGGACAAATCCAGCCATTTCCATGGCTTCGTAAGCCGTGAGCAGAGCCAGGCGTTGGGCAGGGTCCGTCTGGCATGCCTCGCGTGGGGACATCTGGAAGAAGCGCGCGTCAAATGAGCCAGGATTTCGTATCCAGCAACCGTGTTTGATGCGACTAGTGTTTTTCTGTCGCAGTGTAGCATCGTAATGAGCCTCACGGTCGAACCGGTCGGCGGGAATAGGCTTATGGACATCCAGCCCTTGCTGCAATAGTTCCCAGAACTCGTCCAGGCCGTCTGCCTCCGGAAATCGACCACTAAAGCCAATAATGGCGATCTTGGATGATTCATTGCCTGGCGAGTCTGGCAAAGTCTCGGCTTCTGGTCCCTGGGTTGCCGTCACTTTCAGGCACTCCACCTCGATGCCGACCTGAGTTAATGATGTTTTCATTCTGGACGTGATATTCGTATGTATAGGGACAATTTGAGCGGTGGCATCAGGGCTATGCTGAACAATACTCTCCTCAACCTTGTCAAATCTTATCTGGCAGGTCAAGATCTCCATGATCAGTGCTCGAAGCAAGTCGCCAAATGTCTTCTCCTTCAGGACCACGCCCGTGGCGCAGGATATGAGGGATGTGTTCGATTCACGACAAAACAGAGATCGTTCAGTTGGTTTGCGCCAGAGGATACTGTCTACGTCGGCCTCGCTGTATAGATGTGCCGCGTGATACGGTGCATAGATTGACACCGGCAATGATTTTGCACCTCGAAAGTGGAGAGAGTTCTTTAATGCCTCAAGCACTTTTGGGGTACCGCTGATCGTAACGGTATTGCTTCCAGCAGCGCTGACGTACGGCTTCATAATCGTCGGGACGCCCTATGCTACCGTATGAGTGTTATGTGTATTGTCTGTGTGTCCGCTACTTACCTTATCACCAATAAATGCCTCGAGCATCTTTTCAGCCGCTGATTCTGACATGTCTGCCACTGCGAGTGACCATGGTCTCCACTGTAAACCGTCTTCTCCGGCCAAAGCATTAGCCCGTCGAGCTACATGCATGCCAACCCGAAATGCAACCACCACGGCCTCAATGCCAAGGACAAGCAAGTCAATGCTGGTTCGTGCGCAAGAAACGGCAGCGGCTGCGAGTGACCCGGTGCAAAACCCAACTAGGACGGAGCCGGTTGGTGGATGGCAAAGATCCGTAGTCTGCAAGAGTCTGCGTATAGATGAGTATGAGAAGGATCGATACATATATAACACCACTCACTGAATGTATTGTCCTATCTCGTAGAGGCAAACCAATGCACTGTCCAGGGCAACATGGCGTCGTCCGTTTCTGACGGCACCTAGCAGAAGGGGGAGTGTGTGTGCGTCTGGCAACGAGGCTCTCTCATTTGCCGGTAATGAGGATATCTCCTTCCTTAAAGCAGCAAAGGCGTCATCGAGAAAGGACTTTAATGTCGGGTTATTCTTCACATATAATAGCTTGTAGAGAGCATCGTCTACGCGGACAGTTTGATCTCCGAAAAGGTAAATAGCGACCATATTTGCTAGTGTTCATAGGTGGTGAATACTGAGCCACATTTGGAATAACAGTTCGCATTGTTGTATATAAATCTATAGTAGGTAAAGCAACATACTCATCACCGGGGCTCTGTGAGGCTGTGCCGTGTTGGCATCGTTCGGGAATCCACCCAATCCTCCAAAAAGATACCGAAACGTCCGACGTACTCCGATGGGCCCCGTGAATCCGATGATAGCGAGACGTGGCCCCAACAGTGACCAGCGAAGTGTCTCGGGGTAGTTCCTATGGACTGCCTAATTGTCATCGTTTTGTTTTACGGCCACCCATAGACAAGAATGCGGCCCGACACCCTTGCCATTGCTGTTAATGCTCATATAGTTTTGCTGGATTCGCAAGTCTACCTTCTAGAAGCCGAGCTGGGAGTAGATGTATAACACAGCCTATATACAAGTAGATCATTTGGTCCACTCATTGCCAGGCTTCCCGAATAGCACGATCCCATGGAGAAGAAGTGGGAAATGGTGTTTGTCAAAAGGAGGAGCATTACAGAATCTTTGCCGACATAGGATGGGGTACCACGTTTCTACAGGCCATTGTAGATATCCAAACGAAATTGTACACAGCTTTTCCATGCATCCATGTCAGTTAGGATTAGCATAGCGGGGTTTACAGGGACATGCTCGCAATGAATATTGTGAAGATATCTAAGAATTACAACATCTGTACATTTCCCTTCATATTCTAGATCTATATACGGAGTATCAAGCACTTAGATGAAGATAATATCCGTTTCTATACATCCATACTCAACTCAATCACTGACATTAAACTTCCGTCAGGCTCCTCGATCTTCACTTTCAGCCGTTCATCAACCTTTTTGAAGATATCCATCCACTCCTCCAGCTGTCTTTCCATGCCGTTGAACACCTGTTGCATTATCAGGTCTTGGGCGCGCAGCAGTCTTTCCTTGGATGCTGGAATCACACCCGGATCCGGCAACACAACGTCGACGATAATGATACGTGCACCAGGCTTCAGAGTCTGGACGAGACGTGACAGTATCCGCACACAGTCATCGAACGACCAATTGTGCAGTATCATCCGCAGCATGTATACGTCAGCATCTTGCACGGGCTGTGGATCAAAGAAGCTGTGTGCTCGATAGCCAATACGTGGCTTCAGGTCTTGGGCATCATCCAAGGAGGAGAGATATTCGGGACCCTCAGCCACTACCTTGGGTAAGTCCTCCACAACGAAGTTCAAGTCAGGAAACTTGCGGGCCAGCGCAACTGAAGTGTGGCCGGTGGACCCACCCACCTATCCTCATCAGAATCTAATGTCCCGGGGAGAGTGTAACAACACTTACATCAACTACACAAGCTTGTCCAAGGGCGGCCCAATCCCATCCCTGCGCGAGCTTCTCGGCATCTGTCCCTTGGATGCGCGACATGCTGCGCATAAAGCCGGCAAATTGGCGTTGTCGATCTGGCTGTTCAGCCAAATGGTTGAAGAAGGACAACTCGGTGTCAATCGCGATATTATATGCCGTCTGATTCCCTTCAACACTATCTGGCCACCGTTCATGTGCTTCCACCATTGCAAAAGCCGTAGGTACGGATAGATCACTCATGATGACAGCCCAATCATGGAAATCAGCATCATTGCGCAGCAAAGCAGATGTGGCGGAGTGTGTGAGATGATGCGATGGGCTTTCAAGGAAAAGACCATTAGTCATGGCCATGCGAACGACGCTTCTGAGTTGAGGCTCAGGTGCCTTGGCAAGGATGGCAAGGTCAGCGTAAGCAATGGAGCCCTCTAAAGGCACTAGGTGGAAGATCCGAAAGTGACATAGCCATCGCAAGCAAGACGCATAGTGGTACTAGTTATGACTTAATACAATAATGTTTTTTATATCAGGTGCTGCTATCTTACCCCTGTCTGCAAGTTCAACAAATACGCACTCGGTCCTGCGGCAAGTTGGAAGAGGCGCAAGGCATTGTCCAGGATTCGCTCCCTTGCAGCATGAGCATCCGGCGAAGCGCCAGCGGGTAGCACGACTGTGGGTGTATGGCGATTGAACGAAGGCCGGGGATGGCCAGTAGAAACAAGGTGGTTGTTCAGTACCTCGACGTCGTTCACCAGACTTCTGGTCAATTCTTCCATAGTGGAGCGCGAAGTGCATGCCATGTTGAGATCACCGTAGCTATTCATGTTTGATACGCTCGATGTATGTACATGGACTGACAGCATCGTGGTTTTAGCATAGTGCCTTCCCTAAATATCCTTCAAGATTCGGCTTGCCCGAATATGTCTCGCGATTTTCGGACTACTCGGGAAGCGACGAGCCCCGAGATGTGGATGAGATGAGCTGACTACGTGGGGTGCCTAGTTGGTGTGTTGGAATTGGGACCTATTGGGGTGCGAGTCTGGAGTTCCTATATATGAAATTCACAAGGTATATCGCAAGTTGACAGGATGCAAAACAAGATCTTTCTTCGGTTAGTTGCACCTTTTCCGAGATGCTGCAAGTTGTATTCTTGGATTACTGTTCGATACCGTAAAATAACCAAAGCTATGTTGTTTCCCGCTTGAAAGTGTGGCGCAGTCAGCCTTGTTTAGTAGGCGGTGTGGATATTGCCGGCCACCACCACAGTCGGAGCGAATTCTACCCCAAGAAGCAAGCAAGCTCAGACTCTGGAGAGGAGCGTAATTCTCTAGTGTATGGGAACACCATTCCTAATCGATAGTTATGAAGCTAGACCTCGATCTATTAAGTATATTGTTCCATAGGCTGTAATCAAAGAACGTTGTTTACTGAGTAAGCTTTTAATAAGCAATACAGAGCCAGTTATGCAGTAGGTAGGACGCCTCGGCTCGCAGAGGTAAATAATGTTCAAATGATTCTCAGCTACATTAGAGAAAGAGCACTCAATTAATGGATAGGTCCCCTTGGTGTCCATAGATGGTTCGGTATTCCTATGGTAAGACTGTTGCTATAATCTCCTGGATTGCGAAGACAGATTGAATAATGACAGGAGTCTGTGGATATATATATAACTATGTTTACATCTACTGGTACATGCACAAGCAATTCTTCTAATAAGTAGATACGTAGTACGGAACGGGTAGCGATGACATCCTAGAGTTCCAGATGGCTAAAGACCTCAATGAAGGATAGAACCATAGTGAAAATCCAAGGGGGTGTTCGATCAATGGTGTAATTTGGAACTTCTGTAGCCCAGTACAGACATGACGTATCCATGGTCAAAATCTCTCATCATATTGTTGGTTTCGCTAGGTTTGACAAAGCCTATTTGACTCTAACCGGTTTGTGTACTTCACTCTGCCTACACTCTGTTGAAGGGAACGGTGGATTGCCTCCTAGCTGAAATGAATGTGGCAGGGCAGAACGGAATATAGTGAAGCTACACAACGCAGTGTACCGAGGAATCACCCAACGACATACCCTTGGTGGATTAAACTTCGTATCAAATCCTATTCGTTCATTAGCATATAGTTTTACTGTTCGCCTGCAATAGGAGTGGAGGGCAAAAGGTCCGAAAAGATAAGGAAAAAGGCCTACAATAAAGTCACGGTAAAATCGCCTTGAATGTGTACATTAAGGTCGACCCCAGGTTCTCCGAAGCTCAAGGTGAGTAAATCCACTTGATCAGTCCCATTTTCTTGTCGGATCTTTTCTAACAATGCCTTCAACGAGGCCTTCTCGGCGCTGGGTGCGGGTCCTGCCTCTGGCCCACTCGCTTCGAGAGCAGCCTCATGGGACAATTTGCATTCAGTGGGGTGGACACCCAGGCCTATCGATTGATCTGAGTTAATCGGGCGTTCGTTGCGGTTCCAGGCCGGGGATTGCGGTCCATTGGCCGTATCATAGTGCATACCTTCATGGCTACGTGCAGGCTCCAAATGGCTCGGTGGGGATGACGGAATGTAATGCTTGCTCTTCGGGTCTGAGCAAGAGGATATATTCGCAGTCCATGTCCTCATCTCCCTCTCCCCGCCCGGCTGCACACTTGAATATTTGAGAGGACCTTGCTCGACCATAGTGAACTCGATTATAGAGGCCGAGCGGCCAAAGCCCCTCGAAAGTAGACAAACTAAATGGCTCCTATGAAACTGGCAGAAATGGGTACACGAGTAAGTTTAGGCTCCAAAGGTCGAGATGCTCGGCCAGGCTGTTTCCTCAAGCGGATGCAGACCCACATATCGAGGAATTTGATTGGGGATTTGGTAATCATTGGCAAGGCAACCAGTCGCTGCGTTGGGAGTGGAGACTTTTTGGATAGGCTGGAATGTAGTCGATTATGCAACAAGCTTTATCGGCTCCGAATGCCCTCCATACTCGAGCTGAACTGGAGTTATTATCGGAAACATTGTCCACCCTCAAAACAAAAAACAGACGAAACAGACAGAGGTCTTGTGGGCGTACCAAAGTTCATGTTGGGCCTCATGGCAGACCCGCAGCTTCAGAACAGGCCGCATGCGGAAACCCTAACTTGATAACTTTTCCGCGTGATGCCGATTTGATTATCAACCATCTACCGCTACCCACCGTGGATGTCGATCTTGTCACTTAAACTCTCGGATCGACATCACAGTTAGTTAGTCGATATTTTCATCTTCGCGTCTATCCAGACCCCTGTCCATGGATGCATGTACCCACTATTCCTTCAAGAACCGATCTTTGGGAGATAGGTACTCTTTGTGTCTAGGTTTTTGCCGGCCCACTATGAATACTAGAAGGTCCATCACTACTTCGGCGACGCCGACGATAGTAGTACAATACTGCTCTTTGCTCAAGTAGGTTGTGTTCCTCACGACTTCGGTGACCCCGACATCAGTGAGTATTCAATTGAATAGGAACTCGGATATTGTGCATAGTGACTATACCTAGATGCTAAGAGTACGAATATGGAATAGCTGTAGCTGAAATTCATGTAGGCAAGGCCCTCTTTGTCACGACTCGTCGGTAACGCCGACTCGAATGCACGCCGTCAATTGGGTAGGAAGATGGTATATTTCGTCATCACATGAGTGTTCGTAGCATGTTGCCTGAACAAGATGACATGCAAGTTCCTCTATTTGATCATGCGCTTCATGATGTGGGGTTACTCTATGATAGCCTGGAGTCGAGGATCCTGCGAGCTTGGATATATAAGATGCAATGCATCTGGCACAGAGCCTCTGCTTTCTTTTCTTTATCATTCATTTGCGCATACATATTGTTAATATTTAATCGTTACATCATATGAGCCACCTTCACCATTCATCATACTTGCATTTCTTTTCCTTTTGAGTAATTCATACCACAATGACCACTTTTACGAAACCTGATGTCTCTCACCCCTTTGGGTCCTCTCTATACACCAACACGAGTCTTGGGACAGACAACGGGAGTGTTTCCAACAGTGTATTCAGACAGAGCACTATCTCCAAGAGCTCTATTAAGTCTGACGGGGAAAACTCAATGCTGGCTGATGTTGTTGACATGCTCGCTCGTCGCAGCAGTGATGCGATGATATCGACAAAAATCCTGGAAACCGACTACGCAACAGTTCTACAATGGATTCGATCAGAGAGAATGGAGAAGCTTCCCGCTGAAGGAAGCAGCTATGACAAGATGTTAATATGGGCAGCATTGTTCGTAGAGCGGCTGCATTCGTTCGATAAGGCAATCGAAGAATTCGCGGGAGACAGCCACATGGCGGCTCAGCTTGCGTACGTCCATTGTGCCAGTCTGTTAGAGGTGGGTTTGCCCTCTAGTCGAGAAGGAGAAGCAATCTAAGTAGTGCCATACGGTATTCTAGCTCGGAGAAGGGAACTCTTGTGCCCTAATGAGTCTATTCGGCTTCTTCTATCGCTGCTCGTCGGGCTTGGGGAGCGTTCTCGATCTAGCCGAGTTCTTCCAGGTTTCTAGCGATATCAAGGACCAGCTCAGTCTGGCTCTTGCCGACCTGGTAACCTTGATTGTGGGGATTGCAACGCACTTCCGTAAAACCCTTCCGACAGTAGGGTACTTGCATATTGATATCTACTGCGAGTTTTCGGACCAAATTCATAACTTCCGCAGTCGGTGTGAGCGTATTTCCGGGTTGATGTGGAAATACCAGCTGGAGCGCGAGGGGTATGACAGTGCCAAAGGTACTATAACCCTCTCTGTCCACCTAGAGCTACAATACTGATCCAAATGGACCAGTGACTGACACGAAGACAATCAAGCGCTGGCTCGAACCGGAGGATCCTGTCCTTGCCAACGTCGTCGAGGCCACGGCCCAGCTTGCCCAAGAGCGAGAAGAATCCACCTGTGTGTGGATGATGTCCTATCTAAATCGCTTTTTGAAAGGAAACCGGCGAACATTCGCGATTTCTGGCAATCCTGGATCAGGAAAGTCCATCCTTGCGACTGTGATCAACGATCACTTGCAGCATCCCGTGGGAGATGTCAGTTACAGAACCATTTTTGTGCCAATTAGTGAGTTCTCTCATGACATGACAACTAATTAATCCTTCTGCTAACCGTGCCTGCAGACAGTAGGGTCCTGGCAAACACCATGCCTCGTGCTATTGCAAAGACCATTCTATCCCAGCTCTTCGACCAGCAAATTGGAAATATTCGCCTTTACCGCGTTCTTTCGGATACATACAGACGGTGCCTGGAGACCTTCGACAGTGAAGCATACGATGACATTATCTGGGGAGTGATCGAAAGCGCACTTGAGGCTAGCCGGAAAGACGCGAAGGAACTAGTCTTGATCATTGATGGCGTGGACGAAGCCAACGGTGGCGAAGCAGCTTTACTGAAGAGGCTCCGGCATGCTACCCATAACGCAAAGAGTACCAGGCTGATCCTTCTCACTTCGCAGCAGGAGTCCAAGACCTCCCAGGAGGGACAGGATACGGTACGCGTTACGCCAGAGCTTATTCTGGATGATATTTCGGCAGTTGTGCGGAGTATCCTGCAGGGTAGCGACGGCTTCTCCAAATCTCCTGAAGAGCGACGGGAAATTCAAGTTACTCGGATTGCTGAGGCTTCTAATGGCTCCTTCCTGTGGGCTAAGCTCGCTTCGAAACAACTCCGGGACGAGGCCCCGTCCAACACGCAGGCTCTGATAAAGGCAGTTGACAATCTTGTCAGTAGAAAGCACACGATTAAAGACATCATCCATCGCACGCTACATTCGAATATGACCGAAGAAGCGATAAAACTTGTTGTTTGGCTTGCCACCGCTTGTCGGCCGCTACAGGTCCAAGAATTGTCTGCTCTGCTATCTGTTCAGCAAGAAAAGCAAAAGATCATAGAGCAGGACAGGGAAAGTCCACTTCATATTCTGAAGCCTGTGGCGTCTTTAGTCTTTGTTCAAAACAACTTGGTGTTCCTGCGGCACGCCAAAATCCGCGACTCGATCCTGGAGATCTTCAACCATGGCAATATCCTTCCTACAGTCAAGAACACAAACCTCGATCTAGCCCAGCGGTTATTGCTCTATGCAAAGCTTGTAGTTCCGGATGGACGTGAGCTAGCCTTGGAGCCATTGGAATCGAATTTCACCCGCGACCTCATCGAAAGACACCCTTTGTTGGACTTTGCACTCCGTTACTGGATGGACCACCTGAGGATGGCAATGGGTTGCAATACAGACCACGAAATCTCTGCAGCTGCGAAAGAAATTCGCAATATACTTCCGAGTAGCACAACCTTCTCCAGGCTGGAGATGGCTATTTGGCAGCACAAAGAGGCTCCAGTCCTGATGTCTTTCCACGATACCCAGACGCGCCTCTATCAGTCGATCCTATCTTCCAAACAGCCAGCCACTCTTCAGACAATACTATGTCAAGTGACTTTCTATTGGACTATCCATAAGGTCCCAACTCAAGCTGACCAGGTCTTCTATAATGCCATCAAGATCTGCCAAGAGCTACTCTCGGCTCAACACAGTATCACGATGACGGTGGCACAATATTTCTTGGACATAACTACTAGACAAGTGACTACCTCAAAGACCACGACCATGGTGAAGCGAATTGAAGTACTGCACCTCCTTGTGGAGAGCTATAAGGTTCTTTATGGATCGGCAAGCGATAAGTTCATTTCCACTTCCACCCAGCTTGCGGAACATTATCATTACATCAAGGAAGAGCGCAAAGCCGAGGAGATTAGAGTCTCCATCGGTACTCGTCATCCAGGAGGTACACAAGATCCGATCAAACCCCAATTGCCCGATCACTCGCTGCACATACACCTTATCGGTCGGCCGCAAGTCATAGAGGGAGGGGCAAACCTCAAGCTGGACGAGATTGAGATGGATATGGAGGTTAGCAGGTCTTTCGAGTTTGAATCACTTCTCAGCAAAGCAGAACAGTATGCAAAGGCTGAGGACCATAAAGCAGCCGAGCTCATTTACCTTGAAATCTGGCAGCGCAGCAGCTGGGAGTCCCGACTCCACAGCTCCTTAGAGTGGGAGCTAAGAAAGATGAAGGCTGCTCAGGCCTACTCGAAGTTCCTCATTTCGCAAAAGCGAGAGAGTGAGGTCGCAGCCGTTCTCTGGGGTTTCTGGCAAGAATATGAACAGGCCGGCTCCACTCTGGAAGAGGCAGTTGTATCGCAATTAATGCAAGTTGCAAAACTTATGAAATCCGTCAAGCTGGAGACCGTGGCACTGCAGGTTCTGAAGCATTGTGCTCAAAGCATCAATCAGCATAGCTCGATTTACGCGGAGCTCAAGCAAGCTATACAGTCAACCTCCGAGTATGTGATAGAGAACGAGTCCACGGCGACTGAATCAACCCTTGAGGAGATTGTGTTTAGCACCGTTACTACAAAGCAATTCTCAACCAAGGCCACCACTTCTCTGATCAACATGTACCTGTCTCAGCGTAGATGGCACGACGCTACACAAGCCATGAAGCGGGTCTTGCGGAGTATCTGGCCAGCGTTATTCGCCCCATCGCTCGAAGAGGTTGTCCTTCCATCGAAGAATGTGGACTACTGTGTTCAGCTGGCTGAGCGCTTGAGTAACTGCTATCGTGCCAGACAGCGATCAGTAAAAGAGGAAAACGTTCGTCTTCGGGTCTATCGTGCTGCCCGACGTGACCGACCCTGTGGTGACAAGCTCCGTGATCGCGCCACGACCGCAATTTTGCGCTTCTATGAACGGTCCTCCAAAACCGACGAACTCATCAGTATCCACCAGGAAGTGTTAGACGACTATACGAAGCAGCATGGGCAGGCCCATCCGACTGTGCTCAAGGAGCTGTGGGCTTTGGCCACGTTGACCCACCTGCGCCCTGTCTGCGTCGATTACTATGGACAGATTGTGGAGATCCTGAACAAGGATACCACTACCTGTCACCCGGACGCCTTTGAGCCGCTGCTTATCGTGGTCGCCGAGCTTCTCAGCCAAGGACGCTTTGCTGAGGCATTGCAGCCTTGCCAGACTTTGTTCAGCACCTTGCAGCATCGACATATCAACCCCAAGCTGAAAGATCAGGCCTTCGTCAAGCTTACCTACGAGCGCTATGTGCATTGCTTACGGATGACTCGCGCTGACACCGTCACTATTCACGATGTGACGATGCAGTACCGGAAGGCATGTCGATCCCTCTTCGGGGTTACCGCGACCATCACGGTGCAAGCCACGACTACACTGGCACAAATTTGCCAGGAAAGCTATGGATACAAGAGTGAGGCGATCGCACTCTATGAGGAGTTATTGAAGCTCAAAGCAAGCCATGTTGATCTCGACTATGATGGAATCGCAGCGACCTTAGATGCGTTGTACGAGGAACAGGAGGCTACACTGACTTCAAATATGGAGACCATTACAACCGTAGAGTTCTACAGGGTGGTGTCTCTTCATAGGAGACGTCTCGAGGCCACACGATCCAAACACGGATGGGCTCACCAGGAATCACTCTCCCAGATGGAGAAGCTCGTATCGCTCTATTCTCGACGCAATGAATTCCAGTCGGCCTTCTCCTTATTGCAAGAAGCAACATCCCAAGTTCTCTCGAAGGAGACCTCGGCGGTCAATCTGTGCCTAGCAGCCCAGAGTATTGCCTCCAGCTTTATCACCTCGTGTCAGGTCCAACGCGGCAAAGGAATGGCACAGGAGATCTACCGGCAGATTGTGGCAAGGGATATCGAAGTTGGCTCTATCAGCTTTGACTTGTCCACAGACCAGCGTCAAGCCCTTGTTTTCCTAGCCCAGCTCGAGTACAGTCTCCAGGAGCGGGAGGCCTCGTCTATCACCATGAACGAGATTTACACGTCATTGGTGACTGAATATGTCTATTTTGACCAACTTCGAACTGCAATGAAGTCAAAGACCAGTAGCTTCCAGAGCACGTTGTCTATCGTCCACCGCCTACATGGTGTACTGCTATCCCGAGGTCGTCAGTCAACCGCGACCGGACTCATCGAGAAGTTCACCCACTATTTCATATCTGCCGAGAGCGATACCGTCGATGTCACCTTTGTCCAGGGCAAGGTCTTTGTCACCACGCTTCTCGAGTACTTTAGATCTCATTCATCACGCGATTATATCAGCTCTGTCGCCATCGCCAGCTACAACGGCGTAGCCCAACTCCTGGCCTCCAAGGAGTATCATAAAGCATTTGACTTGGCGTCGGTCTCATTCAAGTACCTTCGGGCCCATCACGGCTTTGCCTCATTGACCGCTGTTAAGCTGGCATTTAAATTATGCCTGGCGATTTCCAGCCGAGACATCAAATCCTTTGTGGAGCCCACCGTGCGAAAGGAGATGCTTGGTTTATCGGTCGAGATCGTCAAGGGAGCTCTGGACAAGTTTAAGCAATTGAAACTTGATCTAACTCAGTTGGACAATGTCAATTTGGACCGCTTGATCGGGCTGCTGGACGAACAGAAGGAATATTCCACCTTGGCTGGCGTGCTTACCTCCCTTTGGAATGCTCGCGAAACCCGCAGCACGGAGCAGCAACAGCACCGCTACACTCTTGCCCTTGGCCGGATGCTTGTTATTACGCGCTACATGATTGACCACCACGTGGATGCCATCCGTCTGGCCGAAGACATTGTATATAACTGTGCTCGTGTGCATGGCGCACGACACCCCAGTACCGTCGAGATGACTGTGCTCCTGTCGCAGATGTACACGAGCGTGGCACAGGGATACCAAAACCAGAAGGACTACCGCGACCTGGCGTTCCGGTACTACAAGAAGGCTGCAGTGCTACATGAGAACGCCCTACGATCCTTCGTTGACTCATCGTACTTCTCTTCCAGCCTCGGAGACACGAGTAGCCCCGGTGGCTCGAGTGTCAGCAGCCCCGGCGATGCAGCAGAAAGCGAAGGCAAGTACGTTCGACAGCATCTACGACTGCTCAAACTCGCTGTCGAGCGCTTGGGAGACTGGCCGAAGGAGTACTCGGAATACGAAACGCTGAATACCGATATTTTCAAAGCCTTTGGAAATGAGCTCAAGGGAGTGGAAGGGGTGGAAAAGTGGGACTTGAAGAGATTCGGGTGCGGCCAGGCTGAAGCCACTGATGACTTGATCATGCCTGCCTCGGAGGAAGGCGTCGTTCTACATGAAGGCTTCGCAATTCCTGTGTAGGTTTCTAAAATCATAGTAATTGCTCTGTGAGTATTCCATTGGGCTCAAAAGTCTTATCAGTTGTTGAAAAACACCTAAAAATTGTCAAAAGTACTGCGGAAGTTGGTATGAGCAGGGGCAAAAAAGTTGAACCCTACAAGAGACATGGTTTCGTACGCACTGCCAGCATCTGATGGTGTATTGCGAGTCTGTATTTTTAGTGCTTATACGAAAAATGCATTTTATGTTTGCTATTAAACCGCGAGTCTAGTAAGACGACAACAGGAGGGATTCGCTGGGGGTCACCCACCCAACTACGACCAACCTCCCGGCGTGTGGCTTATGCGCGGTCACTACTACTAGTAGGTCGCTGGGGGTCAATGTCGCGCCCTCCAGCGTCCTTGGCGTGGGTGCCGTTTAGACGGGGTTGCTGACCGGCATATCCCGTCTGGGCGACTCGTCACGAAACAAGCTGAGGGGGTTTGTCGAGTCATCGTACACGTGATTCTCCTTTCGTCAAAAGAGAGGGGTTGTTTGTGATCATATTCGGGTCATCAGACACGGCATTGATGACATTCACAGTACGTCGCTGCATTGTGAGCGATGAACAATAACTACAACCCTTTCCCGGTCCGTTTCCGCGCCAGAAACCTTCATGCACTATACTTTCAGCATATTACTCTATGGTCTTTCCGTGCGTTGTCAATGATTTGACGTATTTGCGAGTAAAGTTCCTGGTCTTCTTTCCTTCGGAATTTCCCGCCCTGGGAATACTGCTTTCCGCAAATCCAAAATGCGTGGGATCAATGGCTTATAGTGGTCCAAGAAACTATCCTGGATGCTCAAAAACGGTTTCATCAGATAGGATTCCCAATTTCTGATAAGCCAGTTCCTCCGTATCGAGGTCATCCCATCTTTCACACTTAGGGTTTACCTCGCCAGAGCCTCCATGCATACAGATCTTGAAAAGAACCCAGAAGAAAGACTCTAAATCATGGGTGAATTAGTGTTTCTCACCAAACAGCAATCCAATAGCCATGAATGCTCTTGTCCCTGTTTTCCCTGTCGCTCCGGATGACATTTCTCTCTGTTCCCGGATGGTAAGGTCTAAATCGATGAGAAAGGCCGGCCAATGTCCAGCGTCGGAATTGTTGAGAATACGATTCCCGATAGAGATATCGCCTTGCAATAGACCTGTCTTTGAATGCAGTGGTTCATAACCTTTTCTCTTAGTGAAATTCAGGCGCAGGACATATCAGAGATACCTATGATGCAATTTTGAAGGGCAGATAATAAGGAGACCCGTGACTCTACCTCATAGATAGGGATCCCATAGTCACGTACAATAACCCGACGATGCTCTCTAGTTTGTGAGCCGCCCTTGTTTTTTGTCGGGGAGCCAGAACAGGCACGCTTGCTTGGAGGCAGTGGCGTCCCTAGTCGACTGGAGGACCTTTTGCGACTTGCCTGACTTCTGGAGCGGCCCATTCTTGTTGTATCTGCCGGCACGTGCCGCCCGCGCCCGCGCCCAAATTCGACCCGGATTGTATCGATTTATAATTTGTTGCTTGGGTAATATCAATGCCTCACTCGGATATTGTTACGGACATCATCGGCCTTACCATTAACTTGAACTATTTCATCATATAATGCCTGGCCACATTGATCACCCCTTTGTTGGTGGCCTCGCGGAGAAGACTTCCTTCCAATTCCCGCTCCGGATATTGCCAGGAGTCCTTGACAACAAAAGCCTCGCCTATGCTGTTATGAGCCTTCCAACAAGTTGTAGCCCTACCAGCGACACACGGAGCGCGTTTCATAATTTCGTCGATGACCAGGCGTTCTGTTTGCCCACCACGCATGATCTCAATAAAATATTTCCCATCCGACGAAGTAAGGAAGGTTGGATCATACCCTAGCTGGCTATTGCTCATGGCAAAAAAAAACCCAACATCACGGTGATAAATCGAAGGGCGTCCTTATTGATATCAAATGGTAATGATGCAATGGCGCCAAGTCGATCGAACTCCCAGAGTCGCATAATAGATCCACACAGCGTGAAGCCAAGTGAGAATCGACGGGTGCTTTGGGTTTTAAAGACCTCTCTCGCATAGCGTCCAAGATCACGCCATGTCTTCTTTCGAATTGCTCTTTAGCTTTCCAAGAACCAAGACCCGTGGCCAGTCATACTTTTCCTGATCTGTTGAATTGGTGACAATACCAATGTCGAGTTTGCGCCCCGCTGTGGATTCCTCTAATGGCCGATTGGGTTGTGTCAAAATTGTACGAGACGACTCTAGGGCATTGTTTTCGCTGCTTGCCATACTGCGGATTTTATCGATCCAAGTAGACAGCCAGTCTAAAACCTCCCTTTCCTTCGCGCTCTCGGGCCAGTTCTGCCACCCGCAATCTGCAGCAAACAATGGGCTATCACCTTCCTGACATCGTTGGAACACAGCCGCAGTAGCTTCGTTTAAGCCTTCAATACAGAAAAATACGTCGTCAAAGTTATGTATACCAACGTATATTGATCCCAGCTCTTCTTCCAACACTGCATCGACATATTTTCTCTTCTCAGAGGAGTTGACAAAAGTGCTCGTGTTAAGAGATTGAGGCGTTTGGAAAGGATAAGGAGTCAACTTAGGCGGAGGGGTGGATTGTGCAATAGCAGCGTAGCCATTATCCCAGATAATTACATCTGACTGTCGGTCAAGTATTGCGTTTAGCAGAGCGAAAAGCCGTGAGACTTCAAATTTCAATGAGTCGGCTACTGATATAAACTGGCGACGATTATTTCGGAAGGTTTCACGCCCAGCAACTGATAATAGATACGATGTTGCAGCAAGACTTTGCAGAGTTATATTTAATTCGACAAGCTGATTCTTGAACCCTACGGAGATCAGATATATACTGAGAGACACCCCCCACGCTCCCTACCTTTATTATCTTCCAGATCGTCCGCGGTGAAAGACCTAACAATATTAGACTTAGCACAAAACTCCTCAAAGATGCGTCGAAAGGTATCCAATCCATCTCCTATGGGATGTTTTTTTTGATACTTCTGCCCGAGAGAGATAGATCATTATCGGTACTCAGTGCACAGATAACATCCCATGCAAAGTAGAAATGCTACTGAAAGGGAGACTAAACTAGTGGATCAATGGATATAACATGTGCAGAGACAATAATCAGTTTAACCATGACACAGGAATACATGCGGGAAGATAGAGATAATAGAAGACAATATCCACCAAAAGAAAGTGAAGTATCCTTATTGCACGCTGTCATCCCTTTACGAAGTCTACAGACACGTGATTTAGCGGATTTGCCGCGGATGCATTACTAGCCACATTACTAGCCACACTTACACAATGACAGTTAAGTTTTTGCCTCGTGACCAGGATTACTAATAGTCCCGACCCTTCTTGGCTACCTCAGGAATGAACGTCATCAAATACAAAAAGCGACAGCTTACTACTCTATTTACTTCGATCGGGTAACTCTAAAAGATACTAAGTGTAGAGCTGTGTCTCTGTTTTTATCTTGCTTGTTATATCTCAGGTCTGTACGAATATCAAGCAGCTAGAACCTATTCGGTCTGTAGCTAACTCACCTTTTTTAGATATCATAATTGGTAAAGCGGCGAGCTTCGAATTGCCAAATTTGGTTAGCATTATTACTTCAGTGCCAAGACACTTCCGATAGGCCCGTCGTCCTTGAAGCCTATACACACCTAGACATATTAAGGGACATCTCGCTGTTCGTTTCTTTTTGTTTTCTTTTTTTCAGTTTTCCTTGTTACCCCTCCATATCCCGCACCATTTCATTATATTGTCGAATACGGTTATCTCCACTCTCCACTCTCCGTGCTCTCGCTTGTCTTCAGCATACGCCCTCTTAAGATCTATTACCCGATTCGTCTTAAAAGGATGCTTGATACAGAAGATAAGCAAACCACTCGCATTATGGATTCGGAGCCACAAGTAAATATTCTTTGCTCAGTTCCAGGGTTTGCGGTGCCTGATCCAGACCGTGTCAATGAAAAGGTTACCTCCAGTAATACGATCTTTAACTGGGGTGGTGTGAAGATAGCAAAGATATCTTCTGATGTTGTTGTGAAATTCGGATCCCATGTCACACCCAGCGAGGCGAAGAATATGATATTTGTCGAGCAAAACACGGAAGCTATACCGGTACCAAAAGTCTTTGCCTGCTACTCGTACGGTCCACTATACCGGGATATCGAAGACTACGGCAGCCTGTTCGATACCTATATATTTATGAGCTATGTCGAGGGTCAAAGCCTAGATAAAGTTTGGGAGACTTATGATGATCTTACGAAAAGTTATATTACTAGTCAACTGAAAGGGTACTTCAGCCAGCTTCGCCAAATTAACGACGGGAACTACATCGGTTCGGCTGGTCTTGGCCCCGTTACTGATCCAATTTTGGAAAGTCATCACACTAAGGGTTCGTAGTATCTACACCAGAAAATTCAATAAAGCTAATACAGACAAGGGCCGTTTGATAACGAAGAAGATTTTAATAATACAATTATCGAGGCATATCAATCAAAGGCACCAAAACGTCATATCAGGACTTTCTTGGCCGGTATGCTTTCACAGAAGCGTCACAGAATTGTGTTTACCCATGGAGACCTACGCCTTCAGAATATTATGGTCCACGACGGACATGTCAGTGGGATTTTGGACTGGGAATTTAGTGGCTGGTATCCAGAATACTGGGAGTTCTCGAAAGCTCTTTATGTTTGGAAGTGGCAAAATGATTGGATTGACTACCTGGTACGGGTTCTTCAACCCTACTATTCCGAATATGCAGTCCATTCTTTTTTGACTGAAACACTTTGGTGATTGTAATTCACATGCCCGCCATCAATCCTTCACACTAGTGTCGCAACGCATGGTTATTTCTCAATACATTCCTATCCCAATCTGTGTCAAAACAATCATTCAAACGTTTTCATGTATCGACCCGAACTTGGACTTGAACATGTCTTTTGATTATGCCAGTGTTTTCGCCTCCGCCAAGACATCATCCACCCAGTTAGAGCAATTCCGCGCCGGTGGGTCGGGGCTTGCTTCTGTCAATACTCTAGGATCGTGGGGAGGAGGGTGTTTCCGCGATATCTCTTCAAAACGTGAAAGCTGGGCCTTTGGCAGTTGAAACTGCAGAGTGGAGCTTTTGTAGGATTTGCTGTCGCTGAAACGGTATGCCGGTCTTGAGTTGTAATCCATACCAACACCAACATCTCCTGTGACATGGTAAGATCTACCAGCACCTTGGCTTTCGTTTTGTGCAGGGACCAGAGCGATACCCTCGTGGTCTGGGCCACGTCTCTGGCTAAAGGCAACTCGGTAAACATTATAGGTAACTGTTTCGACAGACATGATGACCACGATGTTTCAAGAAAACACGTTTTTAATGGCTAAAGAAGATAGTATAGATCTTTCACTTCGATCTGCATGGACGCGTTGCAAGAGTCCTGCTTTTCCCGATTGATAGGTCGTCGTTGCTCGATGAATGAATTTGGACGCAACATATCGAGTTTCAGCCCGCGCGCGGCTAACAGGACACTTCAGAAGGAGGTGCAGTCCCAAGGAATGAATACCATTATTCTAAATATCGACCCTGCCCACGGATCCAATTACGCAGAATAAGTACGGAGGTAATTTGTAGCTCCATTGCTTTTGCGCAAAATATAATGCTCTGCGGGTGGCACCAGCGTAGCCGGATCAGGCTTAGCGTCTACGCATCTGGACCATGAAACCTAACCTTTAAGCACATTTCACCTATCTATGTGGCTCCAAAAGACTTTTAATCCTGTACCTGAGGTAGTGGATCCCGGTGGTACGTTAGAATAGAAAATGTAAAGAAGGGTAGCTTTGTGCATCCCCAGGGGAAAGCCCCAATATCAAGTGCGATGGGAGAGATGCGACCACAACGAAGCCGAATATTCAGCACGCGCCTTCAAGGGTAAGAAGCAGTATTGCGGTTTTCCTGACATTGATTCGCTCGGAGAGCGATATCCCCGACAGTATCCACTGTGTCGCAGATGGTGATCGACGAGTCCCAGTTGGTTGTTGTAGGTCCGTGTTTACTCGCTCTTTCTGACTTGCTGGATTTAGCACCCGTTGCCGCTTTCCCTGCACTTGAAGCCCTGAAGCCCACCAATCTTCACCCAAGACTGCTGACGTGTCCTCCACTCAAATCTTGGTGCCCCTCCTGTGGATCCAGTTAAAAGTTCATTCGGATGTTGGATGCTGGATGCTAGATGCGAGGCTTATGGTAGGACTATGTTACGAGGCTTGTTGTTATTGTTTGTTTTTCTATCTTCCTCTCCTTTTCAGTAGCCAAACATAGTTCGATAGCTGTGGTGTTGGGAAACTCACCCTAGGTGGCTGGTAGCCAGGCTGTGGCTGTTAAAAGGGGCTATCTTCTCCAGTCCCTTCTACTTATGTCAGACAATCTCTTGTGAATTTATTGTGATCTTCCTTTATCCTGAGAGACCTTATGATTGACTATCCATTTCGCATCATATTATCGCAGCATCTTTGTCCTCAATAGCTCCATTTTATGAGCCTGACGTCTAGAAGTCGATTCTCGTGCGCCATGATATGCCGGTTGACGAGCATCACCTATTCCAAAACCGAGCAACCGACTTCCCAAAAATATCGTCGCTGTTGGCCAATTCGCGGTCGTCCATAAGTTAAATAATAAGGTTGTTCGAAAAGTTCCATCCGATAAGTCTTTCATTTACAGTGCTCAAGCCCTTGAGCTCGAAGCCAAAGTCTATAGCCACCTGGGAAGGCATCCGATGCAGCAACGACTATATCGACCTGCGATATGAACCAAACGGGGATTTGGAGTCATTTTTGAAGCGGAGCCTGTTAGACGATCAATTAAGAGATCATATTGCCCGACAAGCTGTTGAAGCTGTGGTTGTTATTCACGGGGAAGGGCGTTATTCACTCTGATATCTCTGCGCGGCAGTTTCTGGTCGATAAAGACTATAATATCAGGTTATCTGACTTTGGTGGTTCATTGCATGGATCGAACGCTATTGTTATGGAGAATGCGACGCATTTCCTCCCCCGCGACGAGGAATCACCAAATATTACACGAACTGACATATTCGCTCTGGGCTCGACTCTTTACGAGGTATTTGCTGGACAAAAAAGCCTTACGACGGGAAGGACGAGGAGGAGGTGCAACGGTTATATTCAAACAGAATATTTCCAAAATTCGAGGGAATTATCAACGAGCTTTCATGGCAAAACATTACTCTGAAGTGCTGGATGACCAGGTACACAGCCGCTACAGAAATCCTTGAAGATATCCCATCTATCGCCTTGTCCACGCTTCCCTTCTATTTCCCTGATGTCATGTGATGCCCCACTACGAAACGTTGGGCACGTTTGACGAGAGTTGGAGGGGCGCAAACATAGAAAGCATATCAACACATACAATTTCTTCGTATAGTACACTTGGAAGTAATAATCTTGTGGAACATCTAAGAAGCAGAGACGTAAACTAACAGAGGATACCAGAGATCTTATACGCGGGGGAGCGGCTGATCGACCCGATAACTAAACAATCTGAAATTGACTTGTTATGGCTGGAAATATCGGGGACAAGGCAATGCAAGGGGAGTGGGAAGAGATTTCAGGTTATATATTCGAAATCAAGGAGTGTAGAATAATGGAATTCGAAGATATTTTATGCAATATGAAGATTGGAGTGTCCGCCATTGCCCAGAATAGTATACCGTCAATATTTAAACTGCGAAGAACAGTACATCTCTAATATATCATTTCCTTTCTGTGCTTTTCAGTTGTCCTATCAAACAGCGATTCCTTGGGGTCTCCAAAAATAAGAATACTATTTCTTTGGGAGATTGGGGCTCTCTTCAAATTCTTTCTAGTTACATTCTCTCGATACTGTTTCCTCTGCTCCCGGATCTTCTAGATTTCTTTAAAATATTGTTTCTTCCTCAAGCGCTTGGAATCTTCGATATTTTTGCGAATACAGAATATCACTTTGTTAAGCCGTAAAGATAGATTTGTTATTTCCTGCCAATCATCAGACTTTGACATAAAATTAATAACTGTGCTTTCAAGCGCTTCAGCCTTTATAATTATTGTTTTTCAACTGTAAAATACGAGTAGCTATTTCTAATCGAGAACGTTATTATGCACTCTGCAAGGAGAAAGTTTTGGGAAGATATTGGATAAGACTGATTCTCTAGTAAAGATAGCTCTGTAGTAATAATTATCATTGATTATAAAAACTAAACTAAGTATATAAATAAATATTCTTCCATATTCTAATTTATTCTACTTCTATTATAACTCTGTTAGAGATAGATAGTGGAGTATATTTAATTACAGTATATTATTTTACATACTCCCGATATACTCTCTTGAGGATAGATTATAGAATAGATAATTATATAGTAAGACTAATACCGGCTGTCTGTTAATAGTTTTGTTGAATATTTCTCTATAACTATTTGTTGGTTATCGCGTAGCCTTCCCCGGTGGTGTTTCCCCACTTATTGCCACAAGCCCATTTAAATTGCCCTTTTCAAGATCTGGCAGTTCAAAGAGATGTCCGTTAAATGCAGTCATGGACGGGGTCAGGTGTTTAGTGATATATAACTTCATGTGCGGAGTCAGCTGGGAGCCGTGCGGTAGTATCACCTGCCTCCATACCTTTTGATCCGATCCTAAATAGACATTGGCATTGTGTACTTCTCGCCTCCAATTCTCCGAATCTGCGTCAACATCGCAAGTCGCGACTAAATGAGAGCGGGCCTTTTTTTCATTATCCTTGCGTTTATCTTCGGATTCACGGGTTGCTTCGTTCAACCCTAAGATGGTGGGGACTATCGCTGATACCATCGCAATTCCGATCACCATTTTGCTTTGGGGCGACGAATCTGGTCCACAGCTGAGTATGAGCTGAGACTCAGAATTCATTAAGTACCGATCAGCAGATGGAGCATTTACCCGCTTGTCATTTGCAGGATGTATCAGACCAACTCAGACCCCAAGGAAAAGCTCCACGGCACCCGAGAAGACCTTGGACCAGAAGACTTCACCCACAGCGCACCCAGTCACCAACCCCACCGGTGCTGCTCCTGACGTGCCGAAAGGGCCATGGGGCACTCCGTTTGCAGAAGCGCAGGAAATGACATCCGATGAGTTAGTTCTTAAACATGGTTAACCTCGGAAAGTGCTTTACACTTTGTCCACTATTGGGTCTACTGTGTAAAGCACACGCCGAGAACAGATATATGGTTATATTTCCACTCAGAGCCAGGCAGGTTCTACACAAGGATAGAGTTGCAGCAAATTTCGCTGACATTGCGGATCTAGAAGATTCTGATGGCTGCTTCTGAGTCAATTAATTTACTGTTATGGAGTATTCCTAATTATCCTTTGCCTTTCTTTACCTTTATCTCCCTTGTGTCATTGACAATCAAGTAGATGTAAACCGCCTAGAGTGCCCAACGAACCAAAGGCGCTTATGTGGCTAGCCTATTTGATACTGGCGTGAAGAAAGACTGCGTCAGCTCTAAGCAAGCGGTAGAGAGCATGGGAGAAACATTCTTATCTCCGAGTCCTCTAGCCACCGAAACTTTCTACCGGCAATGATCGACATCTCTTGTGTTCCGCCGCTAATGCAGGTTGCTTATTCTCAGCCAAGGAATGCCCTTGCTTGGCGATAGTATCGTCTGACCATGTCTGAAGAGACGCTCGTTTTGAGAAGTCGGCCCTCAGGGACAATATGAGTTCTGGAATTAGTCCACCACATTAACAGCGTTACCCGTCTCTTAACGTTCGTTCGATTCATTGTAATATCTGTCGAAACAGCTAGCCCTCGGGATAATGTAGCAGATACCTTGTGCCCGCTGAGACATTGTCTATCCTCGTTCCCACAGCTTGAGCTATCACGCATCACTATCTTTCTGTCCATCTTGGCACACATAGCACTGGCTATCATTACGCGGGCCGCTTTAGGCTACAAGATTCAGGAGAATGAAAGGTCACGCCTACAGTCTTGGACATGCTATCTGCAGATATCGGCAGCGCCAAGCCCGATTTTCATGTACCACGCTTACACAAGTCTCCACAGCGGAATCAAAGGCCTTGGAGGGAGAGTAGATGCTCAGCGCATATGCTGAAGTGGCTGAGACCGGACGACCGGCTGTGTGGGAGACATTCTATAACCCACGTAAAGGCGAGCAAGTCCGTACCATTGTCCTGTGGGGCTTCTTCAGGAGAGTAAGAATATGATGCAACACATCTTTGACAGGTATAAATACAGCTCGCATACTGTGTTCTGCTTGTCCAATAGCACAGTGTCTGCTTCTTACGCCCCTCACTATGGCGCTCATCAACGTATCTGCTATCAATGCAACGATGCGAGCTGTTGTCTGGCAAGGAGATGCATATAACGTTGCTGTGGTGGACCTGCCAAAGCCTACTATCATAAACCAGACAGATGTCATTGTTCGCATGTCTAGAGCCGCTATTTGCGGATCCGACCTACACATTTATCGAGGAACACACCATGGACAGCCGGCTCCGTTCGGGCTGGGACACGAAGGGTTTGGCTACGTATCTGAGGTGGGAGCTGGTGTTGACTCACTCAAGATTGGGGATCCAGTGATCGTCCCTTTCACCGTTGACGAAGGGCATCTGCACACCGAACTCACCACACAGATGTACGGCGGGTACGGGAATGGAGGCAGCCTCGGCGGCACGCAAGGTAAGTACTTCTGTCTAATATGAGGCCCATCCAGGCTGACGGTCAAATTCCCAGCCGAATATTTGCGTGTGCCGTTCGGAGACAATGGCCTCATCCCAGTTCCAACACTCGAATACACCGACCCAAGCACCAATGATTCCGCTTCACTACTCAACGATTATGTTATGCTATCCGACATCTTTGGCACTGGTTGGGAGTCTTTGGACTACGCCGGATTCGACGCGGGAGACACGGTCGCTGTATTTGGAGCTGGGCCTGTTGGACTGATGGCTGCATACTCGGCCATCTTGCGAGGTGCATCTACTGTCTACAGTGTGGACTACGTTCCAGAGCGACTGCAACTTGCCGAATCCATTGGAGCTATACCGATCAATTTCCAGGACGCAGACCCTGTGGAACAGATACTAGCCCTGGAACCGAATGGAGTTACTCGGAGCATCGACGCAGTTGGATATGAGCAGGTGAATAGAAACCTGACCGTACAATCGGACGTTATCATCCGTAATATGCTGGCTGTCACATCGACCGGAGGGGGGATGGGCACAGTCGGAGTTTACTCGCATGAATCCAATAATACCTCAAGTGCACCTCGTGCCTCGACCGTCCATACTCACGTCGATTTCCCACTCGCGGCATTCTTCTACGGACAGTTCACTTGGGGTGCTGGACCATCGAAGCCAATTGAACTTGCGCCTCAGCTTCTGCATCTAGTCACCTCCGGCAAAGCGAGACCTGGGTTCATAGTGAGCGATGTCATCAACATTGAGGACGCTCCGGAGGCATACGCCAGGTTTGAGAGACATAATACCACCAAGGTCATCATCGCTTTTGACTAGTCAGCTACCCTGTCCGATTACTGGTGAGGGCGTTGGAGTTCATGGCCAACGAATTGCTTGATAATTATTATGAGCACTTGTATTCTTTATCTGCTGTTTCAATGTAACTCTCATTTCACTCCCTTTCGGTTAGTTGCCTACACCATACTGGTTACCACTACCACGGCTCGGAGACTGCTTTTTAATCTGTTGAAATTGACTATTATTATAAGCTTGCCGAGGTAACTTGAACTTAGACATCATAGCACTGCAAATTATGCTGCTCACTCGGTTGCAGGAGTCTTCGTTCGGTGATTCTTTTTGGCCCATAGACTGTACCCAATAGAGAAGATCGACAGGAGACTAGAGGGCCTATGTCAGTTGAGGTTCAATTACGTTCTTGATCAAGTGTCATACCCATCAATAACGCTAAGCGCAATCGTTGCAGCGTGAACACCATGGCTGCCACTTCCATCACGCTTCCTATAGCAATGCCCGTGATTGTATTGACATTCATGATTCCAATATTGTTGTGATGCCAATGTACCGATGGTCGCAATCCAAAAGATCGCCGTGACACAGTTAGCTCCGACGAGAAGCCAGAGTTTGTAAATGCTCTTGGCAATGAAAGATGCGGTAAGAATGTAGATGGCAACCAGGATCGTTGCAATAGCCTGGATAACCTGTTAGATTTATGCAACGAGTACATGGATGATACTGTGTGCTGAGATATAAACATTCATGTCTACGGCAGATAGATGCACTCACCGTAAAAATAGCAAGCCCGAAGCCTGTCGTGGTCGATGCTATAGTAACGCCATAGATCGAGCACCCGAGGATGATCAACGCGATCACGGATTGTACCACATGGATTCCAAGCTGTATCGTCTCCATCTTTCGAAGAATTGCAACTCTTTGATCTGCACTGGTAGGTAGTTAACAATAGTCGAACCTGGCGCACCATGCCATTTTATGTGCGATGATCGCGATGCAACCCTTCAGCGCAACGGCCGTGATCGAGTGCACGGTGTATCCACCATATGGAAATTTTGCCCTCTGGCGATTTGATCGGGGAGAAAATTGACCAATCCTCTGGGGTGTAAGGGTTATTGTTACTAAAGATTTAGGTAACGGCCGTGGTGGCGCAGTGGTCGGCATCAATGCACCAACACACGAAGACCCACTGCCATCCGACTTTTGTTGCGGAGAAGAGTTTTAGGGCTACCCGGTGGGTCGCTCTTCACGACCTGGAACTATGGTGCCTCCAATCTCTATACCACAGCGGATCTCAAGTGTGTCATGGTTCCATTACGATTTACTGCACTTCATGTCTCTATCCTTGCGGACACACAACGTGTTATGTCGAGTGTGGTCTGGTGTCAGCCGTGGCTCGACTTGATATAGTGGGCTGCATGAGCTCATCTTCGGAGTCCCCCGAACGATTAGGCTACCAGATTGAATGGAAGCGAGGCCCCACCGATCTCCAAAAGTGGCTGTGATGATGCTATTCTTGCTTCTACCACAATCATTTCGTTGATATTTATAACCCTGCAATCAAATGCTGTATTCGTTGTCTGGCATCAATGCTTGGAGGCCATAGAATAAAAGTGAAAATAGCCGCCTCAATAAAGAGGATTAGGGAAAGGGGAAAGTGTGCACCACACACGATGATAGGTGCCTGGTAGAACTTCCAGACGCATATCCTCCTGTGCCAATGATGGCCATGAGGTAATACGATGCAAACGAGCTCTGACATTGTTTACCTCCTTGTCTTGGAATGACTGTGCTAGCCTTATCATATGTCAGATTAGGACCCAGACTTGAAGAGCCCTTGGAGAGATTGTGCTTGAAGCCTGTCTAGTCAGGTATGATATGTGGACGTCTTGGGGGAATCAAACATGATGGTGTCGGGTGAATCCATATCACACCTCGCGAAGCTAGTGGCTAGCTGTGCAAACGACGTTGTAGATTTGTAGGCACTTGACTCCATTGATGTAATTTTGCAGGTTGATTTCGCATTAGGCTTGTCATAATTTCTCGGGGCATATTACAGGATAAACATATATGTAGCAGGGAAAGAGCCACATCAGGACATTTCTCATCTCTGTAACACTGTTCTTTAGCCTGTGTAAATAATACGTGGAAGATAAGTAAGATAGATGGGCAACTGGGTAATTGATGACCATATAGACCCGCGGTTCTCTGGATATAACCAAGTACTAGTAAAGCCTTAAGCAGAAGCTCTGCAGGACTACGCCGTGCAGGGACTTCTCTCGGGGAGGTGAACAACGCTCGGAGTCGGTGTTCATGGGCAATTAGGGCTGGCATCAATAACATATGCTCGACGATGGTGAGATATGTCAAGAGGTAGTGAGTGAAACCGTCAAGAACTCGAAAGAAATTGATTTGAATGCTTGATCGGGAATGTCTGTTGTATGTAGGAGAAGAGGAGATGGCCGTGGACGTTAGCCGTACGAAGGAAGTGGCAATAGCTGAGCTGACCCAGGATTCACGCGAATCTGACCGTCGGCTGATTGTAATGCCGAGCCTAAGACTAGTTCCACAACCCATATCCAAGGTATACGCACACCGTTGCATATACCTTCGCCAGCTATATGTACCATAATTTAGTTAATGACAACGAAGGCCATTCAGGATTCCTCTTATCCTGCACCGCAACTGCCTGGTAATTACTTAGACAGTTTAATACACGTTCAACTTCTAATGCTGACCGAACATACGGCCATCTTCTGGGACCAAGAGAGATATCTATCAAGAAGAGTGTTCGGACTAGATTGACCCGAGGGGATCACCAGTGGATGTTTCAATCTTTAATTGGATGCCTCATCGTGCTGGGGAGATCCTGCTTGGGCATCCTGCATTGCTCCACAAGCCTGTGTCTCGCCCGAGTCATTTATCAAGACCTGCCCTCCCACTCTTTCGACGGCACTGATGCTTGAAATATACTTCTAAGCGCCGGAAGGATAAAGACACCCGCCCGTCTCCCCCGCAGAGAGAATAAATGTACGAACCGGTATTTGCAAGTCATGCTCCCTCCGTGGGATGCATCGATATAACCAATGCGTCTATCGTGGTTGACACAGAAGACTTCGAGGGTATTCGTATCGCCGCGGAAGCCCTCGCGGAAGACTTTGCGCGGGTTACGGGCCAAGCTGCTTCCCCGATTATTTCGAATCCAAGCCAAGGCTCCACTGCAGAAGTCGCTGTTGTGGTGGGCAGTTTCACTCGGTCGCCCACCATCCAGAAACTCATTCAGGAAGGCAAGCTTGACGTAGCCGCGATTGACGGGAAATGGGAGTGTTACATGACAGCGGTCCTTCACGACGCTATTCAGGGAGTGACCAAAGCCCTTGTCATTGCTGGAAGCGACAAAAGAGGTGCGATCTACGGCTTGTACACGCTATCCGAGCAGATCGGAGTTTCTCCGTAAGTTGGTGTTTATCCCTCCTGCAGACCAAACTAATCCCGTGAGGTGGTATTGGTGGGCCGATGTACCCCCGAAGCAAAGCAGGGAGATTTATGCCTTAAATGTTGTCACCAAGTATGGGCCGCCAAGTGTGAAGTATAGGGGAATCTTCCTCAACGATGAAGCTCCATCCTTGTCTGGCTGGGTGCACGAGAAATTCGGACCGAAGTTCAATGTCGAGTTTTACAAGAGAGTTTTTGAACTCCTCCTTCGGCTCAAGGTATGGAGCCGTGATATTGTTATGGTATATTCCCGATGTCTGACAGTGTTTAGGCGAACTTCCTGTGGCCTGCGATGTGGTTCGGCTTTCCTCATCCAGGAAGCAGCTTTTTCATAGACGATCCCCTGAACCAAGAGACAGCTGATACATATGGTATTGTGGTATCCACCTCGCACCATGAGCCAATGCAGAGGGCGATGAATGAATGGTTCGACCGTCCGTATTATGAACCAGAGAAAAGCTGGTCATGGATCAAAAACAAACCGAAGATCACTAAGTATTTCCAGGAAGGTGCTGAACGAGCAAGCAAATATGAGAGCTATCTCACCATGGGCATGCGAGGTCATGGTGATAAAGCAATGGATGCTGAGGACCCACCCACTGTGCTCAAGGACGTTATTTCCACCCAACGATCTATTATCAAGAACACGTACGGAGCGGAAGATGGCGTGCATCGTAAGCCTCAGCCTCCTTGCACGGACCGACATATCATTCTGACCTTTGCGTAGAGCTAATGGCACTGTACAAGGAAGTCCAAGAGTATTACGACAACGGGCTCCCCATCCCCGAGGACATTACACTCTTGTTCGCTGATGACAATTTTGGCGCTGTCCGCAGGTTACCATCGGGTGCGGAATCGACAAGGCGTGGGGGAGCAGGTGTAGGTTCTGTAGTTGTACAGCTCGACACGAATCTCACTGATGCATATAGATCTATTACCACCTAGAATATGTCGGGGTTCCGAGAAGCTACAAGTGGCTCAATAGCAACTCGTGCGGGAAGATTTGGCAGCAGCTAGAACAAACGTACAATCGAGGAGCCAAGGACATCTGGGTCTTTAACGTGGGAGATCTGAAGCCGATGGAGGTTCCTTTAACCTTCGTTCTCACGCTTGCCTGGGATGTGGGAAACCTGGGAATGCATCAACTGCAGGAGTTTTTCTGTGCCTTTGCGGAAAACAATTTCCATCTTGGGTCGGCCGTGTCGCAACAGTGCTCGGAATTGCTGTTAAAGTATGACCGGTTAGTCGCCCTTCGGAAGCATGAGCACATAGAACCAGAGACATTCTCTCTCATCAATTATGGGGAAGCGGGGAGTATTCTGCATCGTTGGCAAGAGCTCTTGAGCCAAGCGGAAGAAGTCGAAAGATCGATTCCCGCGCCCATGATGCCTGCGTACTTTCAGCTCATCCTTCATCCGATTAAAGCCAGTTATATCTATGTTGCACTCAGGGTTGCGCAAGCGAAGAATCAACTGTACGCCATTCAACGACGCAACACAGCGAATTCGTGGGCGTACGAGGCGCTCCGCCTCTTTGAGGAGGACTTTAACCTCAGTGAGGAATATCATTCTCTTCTCAACGGGAAATGGAGTCATATCATGCGCCAGCCCCATTATGGCTATACACGGTCATGGCACGCTCCGTCTCGCGACATGATCAACGGCCTCTCTTTCGTACAAAACCGACAAGACTCAAACCCCATAGTTGGCTGGGTTGGCATCGCTGTCGATGGGCACCCCGGTGTTCGACCGGGGCTCACTAATGAAGAATCCGATCGTACTCATCCTAGCCGTCGCGATCATGTTGCGGGAGTGACGCTGCCCCCTATGGAGCCCTATGGACCCAAATCTCGCTACTTCGAGATTTATTGTCGAGGCAGCAAATCCGTATCCTGGGCTCTCACATCGCCGCACCACTGGCTGACTCTCTCGCCATCCTCGGGAACTATCCAGCCAAAGGGCAGAGACGAACTTGTGACGGTGTCCATAGACTGGCAACAAGTACCGAGTCATTTTGACGATATGCTGCTTGTCGACTTACGTTCTTCGTTGGGCGATTTCGAGCAGATTCACATCCCAGTAACAAGCCGATCGCTCGCTGCGGATCTCACTGGATATGTAGAAGCAGATGGGCATGTTTCAATCTATGCCACATCGTTCATAGATTCGCTCTCATCCTCATATCGTATCCTTCCATCCATAGGTCGCACGCCGACCGGTGGCGTTGCTCTGGCTGTCGGCACTCCAGCATCGCATGCAGACTATCTCCAATACCCGTTTATTACATTCACATCAGTAGCCAGTGCGACACTGATCCTCGAGTTCACACTTACTTTGGACACCGATACCACCTCCCCCATCACATACAGCGTTCAGGTTGACGATGGGACTCTAGCGTCGCACCGCTTGGTGGCCCAGGTAGAAAAGCCTGGCAAGCTACCTGATGGGTGGCACGACTCAGTCATGAACAACGTCTGGACTCGCCATCATTCGGTAGACCTTAGCATTCCTGGCCTGCACACACTCCGTATCCGGCTTCAGAATGAAAATTGCGTCTTGGAGAAGATTGTGGTGAATCTCGGTGGTGTACGCGAGAGTTATCTTGGTCCCCCACAAAGCTTCTTTCATCTTGGCAAATAGAGGTAACTTAACGCACGGCTTGTGTGAAGGACCATTAGCCTCAGGAACTATAACGGACTATTGGTACTCCATTGTGTTCTCCTGGATCTAACCATCTATACTTGATCCCAGAATGTCAAATCGGCGGCCCCATAGCTAAAACTACCGTCAAAGTACAAGTCAGTCCCTCCAGGGCTCTGAAGAAGAGTATCAAGAAAATACGCCTCTTCCGCGGGCTCATCATGCCGTGTCATCTTGTCTAGGTTTTGTGCACGTCCAAAGTCCCTGGTCTCGGTTCGAGATCGCAACGTGGCGATGAACGCCGGCTCAGCCAAGGAGCTGCTAGGTGGATTCGAGATCCATGCCTTGTGAGTCATCTTGCGAACTACCGCATGATGGGCTCCCTTGCTCTTAAGTATGTCTGGGTGGTTCGAGTAGGCAACGATAATCTTCTCCCATTTTCGGTCTAGATCCGTGCTCGAAAAGAACCCGTCCGTAGCCAGGCAATTCAAAATGCATATCAAAGCGTCCCAAACAAAGAATGTCTTGATGTGCCACTGAAACCTCTGTAGATCTGAATTAGCATATAGAGCGCAGTCAGTGTCAAGGATCTTCTCTGCCAGGACGCAGAGCTCCCATCGTTGTACGCCGTTGGAGTTTTGACTCATTAGGGTCGCCATCCGACTGCGCAGGCGTACCATGTTCGCGGCAGACCTGACGATACCAAGTGTCAGGATATGTACTGGATTTGTGATATCGCAGTGCCTCAGATACTTCATCTCTATGTCACTTTCGAGATTGTCTATTAGCCTTTCGATCTCGGCGTTATCTCGCACTTTGTCCTTAGGACTGATAGAGTTCATCTTTACTGCTGTGCGGGCATAGAATTCAGATAGCTCTGCTTTCGTGAGACAAAATAGCATCTCCGAGGCACCTTTCTGCGCATTGGGCGGCTGCTTCATGCCGGGATGTATCTGTTCATCGTTCACGTTGAGTGGCCGCTTCGTATCCCAGCCACCCGGTGCGATGGAAATACCAGTGCCTGACAGTTGACCGGCGTAGCCATCAAGGGGGATGAGTTGCCAGAAAAGGCGCCTTCGCATTTCAATGTCAAAAGGAGAGAGATCTAAGTTATCCCCGTCACGGTGTAGTCCCATACGCTGCGCGATACGGACCGCGACACCAGTCCAGATCCAGAATGTGTGTGGATCTGTTTGAGTCCGCATCGCGATCAGGAAAAGTACGTAGGCTTGTAATACCTGCAATTCGGTGGTTTTCAGCCAAGACGCATTGATTAACCCTTGTTGTGTGGCATACTGATACTTTGACATCAGAACAGCCCTTGGTTCCTCAAATTCTCTGATACAGTCCTCATCGGCGATTGAATATACTGCTAAATGGTAGACAGCAAATACAAGACACTCTTGAGCTTGCGTAGCTCCAATCGAGTGTTGTGATACTATTTCAATCATTTCTGTCGTTGTGGGTATGTGCAGGACCTTGCAGAGAGGCTCGACATTTTGGACATAAATTTTCCAAAGCTTCATTGCGCCTGGATAGGGAGGATGATAGCCTGAGAGACTTTTTGATACCCTTAGCAGTGACCCAGAAATTAGATCATCTACCGGCAAGTCCATGGCCACGGGAGCAGCTTGGTCGTCCACCCCATTGTTAGACAGCTCTCGCATACTTACTTCTGCCACATCGAGCCACACTCGACTGTCGATGTACCGTAATTTTCCATCCTCGGAAACTAGCCTTCCAGTCCTTTCTGCATCACTTTGAGCTGTGCGGGGAGGGCCTTCCTCATGGACGCTCCCCGGAGTTCCTCTGCAAGAGGACGACCGTGTCTCGGTTGTCGGGAGAAGGCCATTCTCCTGTAGAATGCGCTCGTACCTTGCTAAGCGCTCGTCCAGATACTCGCTTTCCCTACGTTTCCGCTTCCGCGGCGGTTGTGGTGCCTTATAGGCGCACTCAAGCCTGGCCTTTTGACAACTCGAGCAGGACGGCATGGCCCTATCGCATTTGATTTTCCTCCGTACGCAATGCTGACAGTTGTAGGACATCGTAGTGAAGGGTGTTGAATTACCCCCGATGCTACCGGACGCGGTCTTGCTTGTCGCCGGTGCGATTGCCACAAGGCGTGTATTCATAGCGATTCTTGGTGGGGTCTGCTTCTGTACTCAACTGCCCGCGATACACTGGCTTGTGGTCTGAAGGAGCAAATGATGTTGTGTATGGAGTAGTGCTGTCAAGGGAATCGTCTCTCCACGTAAGCACTAAGAAGGTGTAGAGTGGTTGGAATTCGTATTCAACTGGCTCGGGCTACGGGCCGGAATGTCGACACTCCCGCTCGGCCCCGAAGTTAATCCAAGCCTCCTATTGGCTGGCGTTCTTTGACCTTCCATGGAGCCCTATACTACTACTAGTAGTACTAGTAGTACTACCAGGTACCGAACTGCTAGTAGGCCCCCTCTCCAGAGAGTATAAATCGGTCATCGTCCGTTCGAAATTGAGCAGAGAATCGACAAGTGAATTGTGAACTCGGTATTTGGGCACCACATGGGTCAAGATGACAACCCAACACTCGAACGCACAGGATCTCGAAGCCGCCAGGTCCAAGTCCGACGACCCAGCCAAGCAATTTGATCCCGACCTTGTTACATGGGATGGACCACACGATGTGGAAAATCCAAAGAACTGGCCACAAAAGGATAAATGGCGAAATACTGTTACCGTCTCCATCTTCACTTTTATCTCCCCGGTTTCCTCCTCCATGGTTGCTCCCGCATTGGCCCAGTTGGGTGCGGACCTTAACATGCGGAACGACATCGAAGTCGAGTTAGCTTTGTCAATCTTTATCCTGGCCTATGCGATCGGTCCACTGTTCTGTGGCCCGGCGTCTGAGGTCTACGGCCGCGTGCGCCTCCTACAAATTAGCAACCTATGGTACTTAGCATGGAATCTCGGCTGTGGCTTTGCGCAAACCCCAGCGCAATTGTTTGTATTTCGTTTTCTTGCCGGCATTGGTGGTAGCGCTCCGGTTGCACTTGGAGGCGCGGCTATTGGGTGAGTTGGGCAGATGTATCCTTATTCCGATATCAACTAGCACTAACCAACTGGTCGGTAGGGATATCTGGACCCCAGAGGAGCGAGGAAAGGCAATGGGAATCTATACACTCGCCCCGATCCTCGGTCCGGTGGTCGGACCCATTGCCGGAGGGTTCATTGCGGAGTATACGACCTGGCGCTGGGTCTTCTGGTCATCTAGCGCTGTCGCAGCTGCCATTCAGTTGGTTGGTTTGATCTGGCTGCATGAGTCGCATCCTGAGACTCTTCTGAACCGGAAGAGGAATCGCCTTGCCCAACAAACAGGGAACCACAAGTTACATACTAGAATTGAAGTCATCAACCTTTCCAGCAAGCTTGGTAGGGCCCTGGGGCGACCGGTCCGCCTGTTCACCACTCAGCCGATCGTGATGGTGGTCGCGCTGTACATGGGTTACCTCTTCGGGACGACATACCTCCTGCTAGCCACATTCCCAACCGTATGGGGTACTCAGTACGGTGAGAGCCAAGGCATTGCTGGTCTTAATTATCTGTCAATTGCTGTTGGGTCATTCATCGGCCTCTTTCTCAACATCATGCTCATCGATCGCATCTACCGAAGACTCACAGAACAAAACTCCGGTAGGGGAGTACCCGAGTTCCGCATGCCAACCATGTTCATCGGCTCGGGGATGATCACTATTGGCCTCTTTTGGTACGGCTGGAGTGTGCAGAGCCACATGCACTGGCTGATGCCTAATATCGGCGTCGCCATCTTCTCCGCTGGTACTATGGGATGCTTGCAAGGGATGCAAACTTATATCGTTGATAGCTACACAACCTACGCTGCCAGTGCCATGGCGGCATGTGCGCTCCTCAGGAGCTTGGCTGGGTTTGGGTTTCCGCTCTTCGCTCCGTATATGTACAGAGATCTAGGCTACGGCTGGGGTACCAGTGTCCTGGCCTTTATCAGTATTGCGATCGGGCTTCCCGCTCCTTTGTTGTTTTGGCTTCTTGGTGCCAAGTTGCGTGCTAATTCCAAATACGCCTCTGGCTGAAGAGCTAATCGAACATCATTTAAGCGTGTGTGATTTGCGTAAAGCGAATGCTGTATACCCGGTTGACCGCCGAGCGCTGGGAGGAGAGAATAGTTCCCCAAAATAGATATATTTCTTGAGTGTAACTCGTGCGCTATAGGATTAGCACAAACAGTATGCTGAGCCCACTGCGGATTTACAGTGCACGAAGTCGCCACCCGTTCCTGGCTCTTCATATAGATTCTTGGTGGGTGGCTGAGGAGAGCGACTTCACATCATCGAATACATCCGCATACTTCACCGCACGCTCGGCATCGCTCTCCCCCTGAGAGGTGGGACCATCGAATATCACAGCAATCTGTTCAAGCGTGTAGCCCTTAGTTTCCGGATAGAAAAAGTACGCTGTCACCCCGTAGGTTAGCAGTACCACAATGAACACGATATAGTACTTCCATTCGATCGCGTCCAAGGCAATGGGGTTCACAAATGTATTGAAGAAGATTGCACAGATAGAGGCTACCCAGGCCACGGTGAGGCCACGAGATCGGAGACGGAAAGGCCATATTTCGCACGGATAGGCGGTTAACAAAGGGGTTCTACAAGAGATCGCAATGTTAGCATGCATTAGTCCACGACTGTGCGTTAGAAGCTTGGAAGGTGGAAAAGCTTACAGACAAAGTCCATAGCCTGCAAAGAAGATGAAGAGAAACGGGATGACGGCCGCTCCGGTGGCTACATGGTGCGTAGCTGCGAAAGATCCCGACAGTGCAGTGACGAGGACGTAGCTCACGAACATAACTACGGCAGATGCCAGGAACAGAGGACGACGACCAAATCGGTCAATGAGGAATGCCCCAAGGACGGCGAATATCAAATTCCACATCTGCATACAGGCAGAGATAAGCGTCTGATCCTTCACACTGGTCACTCCCACCGTATCCAGGATGAGTGCCAAATAATAAGAGACCACACCATTACCTGCCCATTGCGCGAAGATGCCCAAGGTGATGGAGATGAATAGCCGACGTCTGTTTCCAGGTGTTTTGAGCATCTCCATGTAGCTAGCGCTGCTCTGTGTCTCCTGCTCCGCTGCAATAGTAGAGCTAATGGTCGAGATCTCATAGTTTACCAGTGGCGAGTTTGTGTCTCCCCCCGCATGATGGCGTGCCAGGATTGTGCGCGCCTCCTCATGGCGGCCAACTGAAATCAACCAGCGAGGGCTTTCGGGAGCCAGCAGAAACCCCGGCAACGCAATCAGTGGTACTAGGACTTGAAGGAGCGATGGTAGTCGCCAGGACCACGACGATGGGTAGGTCCGTGATGCGAAGATCACCCACCCTGACACGGTTCCACCTACGTACCATCCAGACATGAAGAGCGAGATTAAAACGCCACGGTGACTAGGGTATGCGATCTCGTTGATAAGTAGCGGTACTGAGTTTCCAAATAATCCGGACGCCACGCCAACGAACAATCGCGCTAGCAAGAATGAAGTCTCATTTGGAGCTGCTGTTTGAAGTGCACAGCCAAGAGCTAAGAAAAGATAGCCGGCATAGACCCCTGGCTTGCGTCCAAACCTGTTCGCTAACCACGCCGCAACTGGGTACCCAACACCACCCCCAAGCCAGTATATGGCATTCAGCCATCCAAGACGTACACCAGTAGGATAGTCCAGAAAACTATTCCACTGGTCAAGGGCTTGAAGTCCATTCATCAGAGATCCATCGTAGCCGTTTGCAGAGGAGAACATCACTAAAGAGAGTATAATCAAGTTCAGGCGAAGAAGATGACTTTCCTTGTACCACGCTGGCCTGTCTGCGGGAAGGACAGCTGCGAGCTCTTCCTCCCCGGCGGGCTTGTTTGTACTGTCGGTTTGAGTAGTCCCCATGGTATTCCCAATCCAAGCGTCAGGGTGTAGAGAAAGATCACAGGAATCAGAGAGACCAACAAAGACCGGGGGAGGATGTGAATTATATTTCCGAACCCGAGCTAGGGGTGCGAGCACGACTAGGAGTTCGGGATTCCTGATGGGTCAAGTTTCAAGGCAATAAACCGCCATAGAATTGGCAACTAACCCGTGTTATGCCAGACGGCAGGCAATGAGAATTTTGGGCGGGGACCAATTATTGTACGCCGGAAAACGCCATAAGCGTTGTCGAGTGCTATGGGGCTGGTCATATTCAACACCAAGAGGCGAACTTGTGGAGAAACTTGGGGAAATCCGGGAGACAACAGTGGAGCGAGATCCACGCGGCGAGGGAGAGACGCAACGGAGAAACGGAGAAAAGGAGAAAAGGAGAAATAGGGCATCGGGAAGGTCGCCATCTCGGGCAATGAGAGTCAAGGGGCCCGGTCCGGTGTGGAGCAAATCTCCCTCTCCTTCACGCCGACGGAGAAACGTACTTCGGGAGAGCTCCGCCATTGAACCATAACTGGGATCATGAAAAGAAGCGCAGTCTTTCGTCTCATGCACATACAAAAGGGGCCAGATCGACCGCACAGAATGGCGGTAATTGACTACCCATCGATATTTCTTCCATCGTCCTAGGGGCTTTGTACAGGCAAAGGAAAAGATATGGGCACCATGCCGTTCGTCAAGTCTGCCCCCGATGGAATCGCCAGCGGTTTCGATCGCATTGCAACTGCAGATATTGAACGGATACTACAGCAATTAACTCCAGACGAGAAGGTTGCACTTCTAACCGGTATGTTGTCCTCGCCAATGCGTGATCGCAGGCGTCTAGGAAAACACAAAGCTCACGCCCCATTGTGAATTTCTTACTAGGGGAGGATTTCTGGCACACAGTCCCCATTCCACGACTAGGGGTCCCATCGATCCGGCTCTCGGACGGTCCGAACGGCTTACGAGGAACAAAGTTTTTTGGCAGCGTACCGTCCGCATGCCTTCCTTGTGGGACAGCCATTGGCGCGACGTTTGATCGTGACCTAGCCGTGACGATTGGCCATCTGCTGGCGGCAGAAGCGAAGGCCAAAGGTGCCCATGTGGTCTTGGGCCCAACTATCAACATCCCGCGTGGCCCGCTGGGTGGAAGAGGCTTTGAGTCGTTTTCAGAAGATCCGCTCCTTTCGGGTATGATAGCCGGCAATTACTGTAAAGGCTTGAAGGAGAGAAACATCGTTGCGACCCTGAAGCATTTCGTGTGCAATGATCAGGAGCATGAGCGCATGGCGGTAAACTCACTCGTCACCGAGCGTGCACTTAGGGAGATATATCTACTCCCGTTCATGACTGCCATTGCTATAGGTGAGCCTGATGCTATCATGACGGCATACAACAAGGTGAATGGTATCCATGCTGCAGAAAGCTCCAGGCTTCTTCAGGATATTCTCCGGGGAGAATGGGGCTGGGATGGACTATTGATGAGTGACTGGTAAGAAGCAGAACAATTGTCACCACACATGTTTATGCTCTGTTCCTGACCATATATCGTTCTACGGCTAGGTTCGGAACGTATAGCACGACGGAATCCATTCAAGCTGGTCTCGACCTGGAAATGCCCGGTCCAACGCGTTGCGCGGCAGTGCTCTCACACATGCCATTGCAGCCAATAAGGTATCCATGGCCACCGTCAACGCGCGCGTTCGGGCTGTCCTGAAACTGGTACAGAAGGCCAGTCGATCGGGAATTCCTGAACGAGCCCCAGAGGGTCATTTGAATCGGGAAGAGGACAGGCGCCTGTTAAGAAAGGTTGCTTCAGAGGCCATCGTCCTCATGAAGAACGAGGAGGGCATTCTCCCACTAAACAAGCGGAGGCGAGTTGCAGTCATCGGTCCAAATGCTCAGGTGGCAACCTACTGTGGCGGCGGCAGTGCGGCGCTGAATCCTTACGATGCCGTTACACCATTCGACGGCATCACCAATGCCGCATTGGAGGGCGTGGACTTTTCCCAGGGGGTCTATGGCCATCAGAACCTTCCATTACTAGGCAAGCGTCTTCGCACCCCAGATGGCCACGCGGGTTTTTTCCTGAGAATCTTCAACGATCCACCTACCGCAACAACCAGAGTGCCCATAGAAGAACGTCATGAAACAGACGCCATGGTATTTTTCCTCGACTACAGCCACCCTGATCTGCAATCAATTTGGTATGCGGACGCAGAAGGATATTTCACCCCAGACGAGTCAGGACTTTACGACTTCGGTTTGTGTGTCCAAGGTACGGGGAAGCTTTATGTGGATGGACACCTACTCGTCAATAATGCCGACGTACAGACGCCTGGGTCAAGCTTTCTGGGTTGCGGTACCATCGAGGAAAGAGGGTCTCTTCATCTAGAGGCCGGAAGGGAGTATAGAATCCAGGTTCAATGGGGATGTGCCAAAACGGGCAAGTTCAAGGTTCCAGGCGTTGTTGATTTTGGACACGGAGGGTTCCGATTCGGCGCCTGCAAGAGGCTTTCACCAGCTGAAGGGATTGAGGAAGCCGCCAAGCTAGCTGCTCACGCCGATCAAGTTATTTTGACGGCTGGTCTGAGTGCAGAATGGGAGTCAGAAGGTGAAGATCGGACGACCATGAGTCTCCCCCCTCATACAGATCAATTAATCGAACGGGTTCTGGCCGCCAACCCAAACACAGTCATCGTGCTACAGAGTGGAACCCCGGTCGAGATGCCCTGGATTGACCAGGCTAAAGCAGTAGTGCATGCGTGGTATGGAGGAAACGAAACAGGAAATGCCATCGCCGACGTCATTTTCGGCGATGTGAACCCAGTAAGTACAGATTTTATATGCTGGAGGCGAGGTGCACGTTTAACTTTCGTCGCTTTAGTCCGGAAAACTTCCTCTTACCTTTCCTCGTCGCCTCAAGGACAATCCAACATACTTCAACTACCGTTCAGAAGGCGGAAGGGTTCTGTACGGGGAGGACGTATATGTTGGCTACAGATTCTACGACGAGGCTGGCGTGGACCCGCTGTTTCCGTTCGGTCACGGTCTCTCCTATACTACTTTTGAACTATCTGGCCTGGAGCTGACAAAGGGGTCCAGCCATGATATGAAAGTGAAATGCACGGTGCGGAACACGGGCCAGAGGGCTGGGGCTGAGGTGATTCAGCTTTACGTGGCGCCGGTCTCACCCCCAATCAAACGACCCCTCAAAGAATTGAAGGAGTTTCGCAAAGTGTGGCTAGAAGAATCTGCTCAAGAGGTTATCACTATCCCATTGGATTTGGTCCGTGCGACGAGCTTCTGGGATGAAACAAGTAGCAGTTGGTGTAGTTACCAGGGAGCCTATCGAATCATGGTAGGCACCAGCAGTCGGGGTAACTTCTTGGAAGGCTCCGTAGAGCTCGGTGAGACGACCTTCTGGTCAGGGAATTGATGGCATTGTCTGCAACACGTGATAACGAGTTCATGGAGTCTAAATGAAAGATCTTCGCTTGAAGTGTTCATGGGATGGTAGCTTCGCTTCGGACGCGGTCTGTGTCCACCCAGGATTGTAGATGCAGCGTATTGATACTCTCACTGCGGTCTAGGCGAGAGAGCCAGCTAGTGGCGTCTTGAACATACTCGGCCGCTCGTTTTGATTCCGGTTCCTGTGGGTGGAATGGGCATGCCATGATGCTCGCTGCTATATCCCGCACTTTGTATGCGAGATGAAGACCATTGGCTTCCAAGCTAGCCTGTGGAAGTGTGTGGAGAACAAAGAAGAGTTGTCGGCACAGTTCCTCTCTCTCTAACCACAGGGCTTTCGGGTCCGTCTTGTATGGTGAATATCCAGGGCAGGATGCCGGCAGTGATCCCCTTTGACCAGTCTGTGCCGCCTCCAGTTGGTCAATAAGGAGGCTTTGGAGCCATAGATGGGTGACATGGATATTAGCCCGCATGGTTGCAAAGTTCGATCGCAAGATCGCATCCGTACTACCATCGTTCAGATGCTCCTCATTTGGTGGGCCCCATGGCCGGAGGATGGCAGGGATATCATGAAGGAGGTACTTCAAACTTTGTAGGCGATTGTGTAAATAGGAGATTTGAATTTGAGGGTCCCGAGCGCGAATGCACGGACACGGTTCCTCTGCTGAGTGTCCAGGCAACGGGTCTCTTACGGCAGCCCAGAACACCCGTGAATGAATAATGAAGCCAGTTACCAGGCATGGGGTTTGAGTCCTTGAGACCAGAACCTCATTCTCCAGAATATATTCGTCATCCACTTCCAACGGCATCATGTCCTCTGGATTGATGGTCTGTAACAATGCAGGGTCCAGGTATGATAGTCGTTCTCCGAGCATGTTTTGAAGTCGAGCATGACTAGATGAAAATCAGCTGGTGGCTCCTGGACACCAAAGTGGTAAAATACCTACACCAAACTATAAAATATCAGCCAAAACCCCTTCTTTCTCAATTGAGTCTCGATGCAATTAAGGCCATTATATTGAGAGATGCAGTGAAGGTTTAAGAGGCGGGCAATCTGCATTGCTTCTACATCCAGCATCCGTGATTGATTATGATCCCCCAGCTGCAAGAATGCTGCATAGAGCAGATATGAGATAGCATATTTCTGAAAGTTGATTTCATCGAAATAGGTGGCAGTCCGCAACCTTGTGATGCGGTCGGCGCAGTAACTAACCATCTCCCGTCGTGACTGAAACTGCAGGGGAGGGCTCAGCGAACGATAATGTTGAAATCGGCTGGGTAAGGTAGCCACAACCACTGCCGCGATGGCGAGAACCAGGCCGAGGAAGCCAGAGTCTTCACAATCTCGGTCTTCCTGGAGAGCCCGACGAAAGGACGGTCGGTGTACGATGGGAAGCAGGGGGTACAAGTGGTCTATATAGTCCTCCATAATCAGTTTGAAGCAAGTTCGTTCCCAAAGATCATCTGTAGGATATTTGGTATGTTGCGAGAGACTCCTGTCATTGTCGGGGACTGGGATGCCTTCAGAGGAAAGCGACCGCGACACTGATTCCGTCCGTAGCCTTACAAGCATGTTAGTTATACCAAATCAATGGATCCAGACGTGCGAGAGCGCGCCAGCCAATCATACCGTTTCTTTGGACCTCGTACTTTTGAGGGAGAAAGAAATGTGCAAGCCAGATTCAGTCTTTCGCATCTCGAACATCGTACCTGAGTTCGGTGGCACTTGACTTTCCGCCTTCTACAGATGTCACAAGCTTGAGTGGACAGATCCACGCGTGAGGCCGAGTTCAATGCCATCGTTTGTGTCCGATGTCATAATAATGAATCAATCATGGAGTACGGAGTGTGGAGTCCGGGGTCGAGGGTGAGATACTACTAGTAGTTGAACGATGCATATCCAAGCGGCGCCCAAAGCGGTCCTACTTCTCTAGCAGTATTCGACTATTCGTCTGATAAGGTCACACCGCCTTGGCCGGAATGGTCAACTTACCATGACATCACTGTAGAAAATCAACCTCCGTTTCGTACGGAGTAGAAGAACTTGGAATAATCTGAGTCCACACCAGTCGGGGTTGGCACAAAGACAGCGAATCTCTTCCATATCACTGATTCACTTAATTTCCTACGTAGTCGAGGGTTGGCCGACGACCCGCTTTCACATATATATCTTCTCCCCGCTTTTATCCAACCATTTCCAAAAATAAATCTCAGATAAGAGAAACTAACCATATCTCTATCCCAGGCAGACCACCAAAGTGCGGTTACTAATTAACTGCTAATATATAAAGTACAGTCTACGGCGTGTTGGATGGTATTGTGGGTGAGGTTTATACAGCAACCACCTGGGGTCGAATATCCCGAATTCTGGATGAAGGATCGTCGATAAACTAGACTTCGCTTCTAAGTTCTTGAACAGTAGTTTATTCTCCGTAGTCAACACTTTGCGATACGAAAATATAAGAAGAAACGGATATACGCGTAGTCTAAATGAGTGCCGTGGATATGGTTCTATGTTCTAACTTCTAAATGAGGGAGTTATGGAACAAACCCCCTGGCGACGGATCATTGCAATTTGCCCCAACGGTCCTCAGGCCATGCAAGATCTGTTTGTTCTGTTGTTGGGACTGGAATCTGATTAGAAAATCGAGAATGGCGTCGATTTGGCCTCTTTAACTGGCTCGATGGGGGACCCACTTCATGATAAGCCGAGGTCTGGCCACGCCTTCGGTGCCTTTTCCCTTTTTTTTCTATTCATTTTCTGGGAACCCTTGAAGCTAGACCCTAGATTGCATATAATTTATAGACGGCGCTACCTTTGCCTGTGTCGCTTCTTTCTTTTTTCTTTTTTTATATATTAATATATATATAGATTTTGTTTTTTATTAATATTTTGATACGTTAATTTCTTCTTCATGGAGGCCGCACAATCCTTTCTCTCCTCCCTCTGGCAGTCCGTTGGCTTCTGGAAAGCCGCAGCCATCTTCTTCGCCGTACTGAACCTGAAGACGCTACCGATCGTGTGGCATGTACGTATCCGATGCTTTGCGAACATTTGGCGGAATTGAACCGAGTCCACTGACCACACGCTAGATCCGGGTGTACCGCTACTTCTTCAAACATGGCTACCTCATTACCCCTGCTGTCGAACAACCCCCTCGCCCCTCGACCGAGATCCTGAAACCCGTCAGCATCTTCTCCCGCGCGCCCATTATGGAACTCGATTTCAACATGCACAAGTCCAACTCGACCTACTTCTCCGACCTCGATGTCTCCCGAACCGCTCTGATGTCGAGTATTGTGGTGAAAGGGGCCGCGCTCTTGGAGAAGAACCTGAAGTCGGAAGGAAAGAACGGTCCGCTGGGATTTATCCTCGGCAGCGTCTACACCAACTTCAAGAGAGAGATTCCGGCCTACATGAAGTATGAGGTGAAGTCGCACGTTGCCAGTTTTGACCAGAAGTGGATCTACATCATCACCTACTTCCTCAAGCCGGGCAAGGGATCCTCGAAGAAGAGCCAGGACGATAGCGAGGTCCAGAAAAAGAGACTGCTGGCGGTGTCGATCAGTAAATATGTGCTCAAGAAGGGTCGGTACACGGTTCCCCCTAAGGATGCGTTCGAAGCTGCGGGATACACGCCTCTGCTCGACACGAGCGCGGCCAACGGACACGCGACGGGCGTGGAGAATGGACATGCCAACGGGACTGCCGTTCACAGACAGGAGACTGCCGATGGCAAGTCCGATGAGTGGGACCGTTTGAAGGCGGAGGTTGATCGGGGGTTGACCATTGTCGAGCCCTTCATTGACCAGGAGGACAAGCTCATGGAGGATTATGTTCACAAGATGGGTCTTCCGGGATTCGCATAGAGCTATAGACTAGACCTTTGTATGATAGAACTTGCATTTCGGGGTTTGATTGGGCATAGATTCATTTCGATATACCAGGAGTTGTTTGCATACTGTCATCGCGAATATCACATTGTTATTTCTCACGAGTCATGACCGGTAAACATAAAAGTGGTGGCTGGACGAATGCACTCGGACGCTCGGATCTCGGACGCTCGGCGATCGCCCCGAAGCCCCAAGGACGATCCATCCAGACTGCATTTACCATTTACTCCACCATACATCGCAACTGCCGTGAGAGGAAGCCCTTGAGGAAGTATGAGGTTCTTCTTTGCCGGTTTATCCGTGAACGTTCGTTAGATGGCTCTTATAAAAGCCGTTCATGATCGTATCTCTATGTCGTGGAGTGTTGTCCTCAGCCTATCACACAGAACCGTCCTTGCCCTGAATCGATCACTCGACGGCTTCATATTCCTCCTACCTTTTTCTACACCAATATGTTTTACGAACCTGGCCTTACAGAACATGGTCTCCCCCATGACCCTTTCAAAGTAAGAAAAATACCTGGTGGTTGACTTATCGGTGATAGACTGAGGGGATCCAGGCTGACATGGATTCCACTCTAGGCCTGCGTGGTCCCTCGTCCCATTGGATGGATTTCCACCAAAAATAAAAGTGGACAATGTAATCTGGCGCCATACTCACAGTTCAATAACCTGACGTTTGATCCGCCGTATGTCATGTTTTCTTCCAACCAGACCGCCACTGGCGTGCGTAAGGACACAGTGGTGAACGCTGAAGAAACTGGGAAATTTGTCTGGAACTTGGCAACCTGGGATCTGCGTGAAGCGGTTAATATCTCGGCCGAACAGACCCCCTATGGGACCGATGAATTTGAACTGTGCAATATCACCAAGGAGCAGGCGACACTCGTCGATGTTCCGATGGTAAAGGAGTCGCCCGTGAAGTTCGAATGCGAATACCACACGACTGTTCGACTACCAGGAAATCCACCCATGGGGACCGTCGATATCGTCATTGGAAAGGTTATCGGGGTTCATATCGCCGATGAAGTACTCACGGATGGATTGCTGGATATTAAGAAAACACAACCGATCGCTCGCTGCGGGTATTATCAGTATACCGTTGTTCGCGATACATTCGAGATGGTAATTCCAAATATGTCGGCGGACGTTCTATATGGCTTGGAGGGCAATGCGGCTCGTAATCGCCAGAAGAACAAGGAGAATGAGGAGAGTTCTAACAATTAGCACTTGCTAATGTTGGACTGGACATACTGTCTTTGCTTACCACAGTCACTTTTGACAACCATGCTGTATATGAAACACATAGAATTACAAGTTACCATCATGCAAGATCGTCTGGATCTCTTCAGATGCCTGGGAATTATGGTCTAACTGCGTAGCACTATGTAGAACGCTGAATCCTTGCTTCATGTCGTCTCCCTACGCAGCGTGACGGAGTCCGAGGGGAATATACTGACCTCTTGAATGATCGGCGAAGAAAAATGACAAGGAGTTAGCTATACTCCACTGGCGGGCAACATGGACGAAGGGCACACAACTGACAAGCCTTTGCGTCCTGTACTTGTCTACAGAAAAGAAGTTTATAACTTACGCAACGCTTCATTTGCCTGGAGAATAGAGAAATGCGCCTGTAAGTATTCCTTGACGGGTTTGCATCTGCAAATCGCCCTGTGATTAGCATTGTGGGGGTGGTTTTGGTCAAAGTGACCGATATTCTCTTGTACACTTCGATTGTTGTCCGTCCATGCGTGAATGTAAGTGCTTTCATCCGAAGCATCTGACTGTCCAGTCAAACTTGGGATCTAATAGCCCTGCGTGTCAATGAATCTATTCTGAAAGAATGATATAAATTAAGCTAAAGTAGACATTAATCTACACAGTAAAATACATACAACCCTTGCTGTGTAACACGATCACTGCCACTTCGGCTTCAAGCGACTAATGTCTTGAGGAATACGGAAACCAGTAAATGCGTCCACCTACAGCTTGCCCTGACCAGCGTTGGAGGCAGGGGCGGTGCTAGCGGTGTCAGCGGTGGCAACGGTCTCACCCTTGAACTTGGAAAGAACGTCGACGGTGGAGCCGGAGAGGTCGCCGGAGTTGGTGAACGAGTTTGCCTTGCAAGCGCGGCCGATGTAGGAGCTGCAGGTGGCGGCATCACTGGAGGAGGAGAAGAGCTCACCCTGCAGGGAGGAGCTCTCGACGGCAGCGGTGACGTCGGCGAAGGTGTTACCCTCAGCAAGGACGTAGCCGCCGGAGCCGATCTCGAAGGCATGGTTAGAGTTGTCGTTCCAGTAGTTGTTGACGGCATGCAGGTAGGTGTTGCCCTGGACCTTGGGGGCACGGCCACTGGTCTTGTAGAAGTAGTTACCCTTCATAGTAACCTTGTCGCTGGAGCCGTCAAGGTAGACGTTCCAGTAGTGGTGGCCGTCGCAGGTGGCCGAGTAGTCGGACTCTCCATCAATGTAGTTGTTGGAGAGGGTGACGCGGTTGTCAGCCTCGGTTCCGAGGACGTAGTGCTGGCGACCAATGCGAGCAGTCTAGAGAGCTGTCAGTTATTTTGTTCCTATCCACACACAAATCATGAGATCAGGAAGGCATACGGTCACATGGTCGACCCAGACAAGATCGGCCTGGTTGATCGTGATGGCGTCACCACCCCAGACGTACTTGGGATTGATATCGGTGACGGCAATGTTCCTGGAACCGGTCAATATCTCCTCCTCATCCGAGTATGAGCACCCTGGCGGCCAACGTACTGGATAATGACGTTTTCGACACCGTTGACGATACGGAGACCCTTGCCCTTGATCACACCCTTGGTGCCCTCACCGACCAGGGACTTGTTAGAGTTGACAGTGATACCGAGAGAGCCGGCGTTATCGCTAGTGCGTGTTAGGGAGATGCTAACCCTCAATACCATGCCTGTAGCATACTTACTAAGTCACAGAGGTGGAGGGAGCGCTGGACTCGTAGTTGGTGCACCAGTCATCCTTGTTGATGGCCACCTGACAGGCGGAGCCAGTACCCCAAGGAGCGCAACCAGTGCCCGTGGTGGTACCCTCAGTGTTGGTGAAGTCAAAGGTCTTGCTCAGAACGATCACACGGGCCTCATCATCACCGAGATAGGAGACCAGCTCATCGGTAGTAGAGGGATAGACGGCGGTGGCACTGCCACCACCGGTAGCGCTAGATGCGAAGCCCTCCGCGGTGCCTGAGACACCAGCGGCCAAGGCCTGGGAGGCGAGGGCGGCAACGGTCGTGAGAACAGCAGCGTACTTCATCCTGGAAGTTTTTCGTTGGGGTTTGAGATGGTATTAAAGAAAGAGTGACAAGAACAGAGACAAAGGAAAGCAAAGAATGACAAAAGTGAGATTGCGTGTGTTGAGCAGGAGAACCAAAAGGCTTTCAGACCAGCAGAACTCATTCTTATACCTGATTTTCTCCAGCACCGTTTTGGATTCGGTCTTGTTAGGGACTCTCATAGTGGGCGGGGAGATTAGTACACAGTACACAACAGAGAGTTAATCTCGAACAGCCTCCACATCCAGGGAAAAGGATGAATGAACGAATCACCGCCGGGATGGATCAGTCACTATACATGGTGAAGCCCTTGCCGATCTCTCCGGAGTCTACGTTGGTTTGGGTAGGTGATCGTCAGCATCAGTGAAACAACTCCACCACGGCCAACCGGTAAAATGTCGGTTCGGCATTGGGGCTCACACTGTTTGATATGGTGGTTTCAAGTAGATGGGTGTTTCTCTGGCACATATTGTGCTGGTTCATTGGTGGAATCCAAGGTTGTCCGATAGGGGAAAATGCATGACGCGGCAGCTCCAGCACTAGTAAATTAAAAATCGGTCACCTTCATTTCTCAAGCTCTTCTCCTGGGGGTGGAAAATCATGATCAATTCTTGCGGGCCAGTTATTCAGAGGGTATCTGCCATGCAGAACATGTTCGCCGGGAAATCGCGAGCGATCTTGGTTGCAGAGAGTTAAGTTTGGCGATGATCGTGGACATTTGTCGGAGAATTTTTCTTGCCATGAGGTCCCATTTAGGGCTGGTCCACATCCGCCCCAACCAAGCTACTATCTCAAAGCCTGAAGGAACCATGCAATTTCCGCTGTGGGATGATCCATCAATTGACAAGAAGTAGAGCTGACTCGGGCTTGATCTTTTAAGCTTAATCTACCATTTAATATACGCTCTTCCAATGAGAGAGCAGGCCCGTCCCTGTTATCTCCCTGTTGGCGCAGACTCTCCCGTTATTGCTGTTATGGTTAATTATTAACGTGGATATCAATCTATCCACATTGTAGTATGATCGGAGAGACATTCTAGAAGGCGTGATTTATTGAACGAGCCTAGGGGGTCTCTCAGCATAGCCAACGCCGCCGATAGGGTGTTACGTATGTCTAGATGAAACACGGTATTACTGACTATGACTCCAAAAGCGACGAGCTCTAGACTCACCACCTGGAGTCTATTAGTCTATTGGAGAACGCCCGTATAAGCGTGTGCTGCCAAGAAACTATGACAGCGCCTCCTGCATGGTACGGAACGCACACTACCGATCTGCCCTAACTCCGTACATCGGCTGGTCGTCCTAAGTTCCCAACATACATCCCGAGAGGAGATACTCCGATCTACTGTGTACTCCGTACTATGTGTATTTTGTCAAAAGGCTCCACTCCACTGGAGTGGGCCCAAAACCTTGTGGTAGTGCTTACACGAGGAGAAGCGGCTGAGGCTGTTCAAAACTCATGGACTGACCTTGAGTTCCGGTTGTTCTGGTCTAAGATTTTTTTTCTCCTTCTTTTGCTACAGGCACTTACGTACCTGATGGATACAGTACAATTAGACTGAGTCTATAATGGTTATCCACAGTGACTGGTTCGGGGATACTATCGTCAAGCATCCATCCATTGCCCAAGCCACTCAACCAATAAAAGGTTCAGACCTAAATGACATGCCTACGAAGCATTTATTAAGGGATAAAACACACTGATGACAAAGCTTATCCTGACATCAAGCTCTTACAAAATTAGCAAAACGACAAGAGGATGGTCTCATTGACCGCTCCTTGCGCAGCGAAGGCGGCTTTGTTCCACCAGTCTCGACAGGGATGTAAAGCACGACATTACCCTGTGCTGTGAATGATGGGAATGTAGAAGGCATCATGCCAGATTCCGATACTCATAGTACTGGTTAAGATCCCGGACTATGCTTTTGACTATGTACACTAATGTTCAACAACCCACAACCTCCATTCAATACGAATGCAGGGTGGTTGACAAAGCCTCCCATTCTTTCACGCCAACACCGGCATATTGTCCCTGAGCACCGGACGCGACTAAGATTGCGCGGATTGCGACAGTATCCACCGTTTCAAACGCCACCACGTTGGGCGTATCGGTCACTTCCAGGGGATACGATGAGGTATTTGCAGCCCGTTGCCACGTACCAGAACCGTCCTTGTATTCGATGTACCATTCCTGGGGAGGCGCAACACCTTCATTAGCCCCAGCAGCATGGTCAGCGAAGAACGCCATAGATGTACCATTAAGCTGGACCGTTCCATTCCAAGAATAAACGAGCGTGCTTATTTGGGGTGAGTCTGTTGCCTCGTAGGAGCTCCAATAGTCTGGTGGTAAAGGGTTCGCTCGAATGATCCCATCATTCAAGGCCTGTGCCCAATACTGAATCGGCGTCGGGTTTGCAGAACTTGCTACCGCCTGGGGTGCCACATTGTAAGTGGGCGGGACTGGCGGTTTAGGCCCGAAGGTCTGTTGCACAACATTGATTTTGGCGGGGGTTTGGCTATCGTCCCAGGTGAGCTTATCAAAGGCAACACTACGGCGAAAGTGACCTCCTCCAATGGCGTCGGCCGTGTGGTACACTAGATACCATTCATCATTCCATTCGACTGCTCCTGGGTGAGAAGTAGTTGAGGATACAATCGGGAGAATTACATCCTGGAACGTCCAGGGGCCCATTGGAGACGACGCGGTTCCGTAGGCGATACAGGCGTGATACGAGGTTGGTGTACAGGGTGAATCAGACCCAGCATTGTTTGCTGCAAACAACATGTAGTACACATCCTGCCTCTTCATCAACCAGGGCGCCTCAAAGTAACCCGTCAGGCTGGTCACTTGCGTAACATTCGATGTCACTGTAACCATATCCGGGTCTAGTTGGTAACCAAGAAGCTGCCCAAAAGTTCCGAAGTAGATATACACGTGTCCATCGTCATCGACAAGCACGGTTGGATCGATGTTCTGGATGGTATTGCCGGGTGGTGGAACCGACTGGGAGATGATCGGGCCCGAGGGGTGAGCATCCTGGAAAGGGCCCGTTGGAGAGTCCGAGACGGCCACGCCGATCGCAAATGCATCTTCATTGGTGCTATCGGCCTGGGTCACCGGGGCGTACAAGTAAAACCGGCCATCATGACCTTGGACCACTTGCGCCGCATACGCACTGCCAGATGCGGCCCATGCAAACACTACCTGAGGGTCTGCGACGTCGGGATCCAACGTCCACGCACCCCCCTCTGGCTTTGCGGATGATGAGACGAGCATCCCCCATTGGTTCATCACGAAGGCATTCTCATCCGGAGGTGCGCTGTCGCGTCCCGTGATAATATACAGCGTGTCATTGACGACTAACGGAGCAGGGTCGCCGGAGTACCACGACCCATTGGACAAGATCGGATTGCCATTTGAAGTAAATGAGAACGGTGAAGAGCTATCTACCTGTGCTGTCACCGTAGCCACGCAAAACGCCAACTTGATCAGCAGCAGAAGCATTGTTTGTAAGGCGCCAGAGGCCGTGCCTTTGGTCTGACGTGCTGAGCAGTACTTAGTTCCAAACTTTATACAGCTTCTACCCATCGTTTCACACGGACTGGCCTCCGAGAAGGACTGGGAAGAAGAGCCAAATTAACCGACGGGACCAGGTACTAACCGAGTCATGAAACAACCTCTGCAAGTCTCAATTTCCATCTCTAGGGGTTCGGCTTTTCCCAAGTCCACCAATAAAATTCCGGAGAGATTTCTCATTGATGGAGGTGGGATATAGGTAAAACGTGACGACAGTAAGGATTACATGGTAGAGGGAGCTCAAGAAGCTCAAATAGATAGATAACTATAGCTGTCCTTCGGTCTATTATCCACATACGTTATCGTGACATTGCGAGGGAAGTTTCTCCAGGGAGTACGCGGCCCGTGTGCTGCAAGATATATATATCTGAGTATGGTTATTGAAGGACCTTCACAGATGTGTGGACTTGTCGTAGCAAATCAATTGCATTGCCCTAGGATTCCTATCTTGGAGAACCATGTCAGAAGTGTAAGAATCTACTTGTCAATGAGATTGTATTTCGTTTGATATCTTGTTTGCTGACGCGTGACTCTTGTTTGTGGCAGCGACAAGTGGCGGTGCATCGCGTGGTTGTTGCCCCAGGCAGGAAGGAATGTGACCGAGAGTGCGCCGTCCTTAGCGCCCACACTTGTTGCGCATTGCTGTGATCGCACAGCCAATGCTGAGAGCATAGAGCTACGAATCACAACATACGGGTGCGGCGATAGATGGGAGAGTCTGCGGCGATCTAGTGTGATTGTTCTTTAAAGCTACTTGATAGTGCTATCCCTTCATCACCTTCTAAGGCTTACAACACAGCAGGCCTCTCCAACCAGTCTAAGTTACTGCCTGGCCACCGTGACAGTCGCGGAGCCTCCTGATAGATCAACCGCCACACCTCCCCTTGTCTGGTCCCCGCTGGCTGTGACTGCGTACGCGTCGTTTGTACCAGGATTCTCAACCCATACGATCGCCGTGGTCGCATTGGATGTCCCTCCGATAAGCTTCAGTTCCAGAGAGTTTGGTCGAGTTACGGAAAATGAGAATTCCTCGATTTGGCCAGCATTTATCGTGACGTAGACACCCATTGACGCAACATATACACGTCGCCGGACGGCATCACGCGGTTGCACGGTCACTGTGTCGCTCTCCACGGACAGATTGCCGCCGTATGCTATGATGCCGACGTCAGGGTCGTCGACGATGTATGTACCAGCGCCCAGCATCATTCCGAGGAAGTTAGGACCGTAGTCTCCGGAATAGTCGTCGCCCTTGAGAGTATCGGGAAATGAGTGGAACGCGTTGTACATCGAGCCGTCCTCCCGGATATTGCTTAACGGGCCAGTGATGCCGCCGTAACCAACCCGGAGGAGATGAGTATCAGTCGGATTTTGTCGAAACTCAGCGAGAAGAGGCAATGCGTTGAGGCTGGAACCATAATGATGAATCATGCGCTCAATCCGCTGGAGCTTCCCGGCATAGCTAAAGGATCTTAGTAGTGGAACGACAGATGGAGAACCGAGTCCTACATGAAATCCCAGTAACGTCGGGCGTTCCCATTCCAGCCCCAATGAGATACTGTCGGCATCAAGCCCAAAATGCTATTGATGGTCTTCGTCGTTGTCTGCGTGAGATTGAAATAACTTTGCTCGTCGCCATTGTTAACTTCCGGGCACGAAGATACCGCAAGGAAATCCTGCGTAAGAGAGAGAGAGAGAGAGAGAGAAAAGAGTGACTTACTTGCTCCAGTAATAAACGCCCTCCTGACCCGTACAATCCCACGCCATTTCACTTCCAAAGGGTTCCGACTGCGAGTCCCACGCTTCCGCGCGAAGTTTCATGGCGGCCTCTACTGCGTCCGCCTCTTGGGTCCATCCTTCACGTTGCAGGTCTGCCAGAAGCTCCCCGACAACAGTTTCTCCCATCAGGCCCAGGCGCGAGTAACCCACCAGGCCGTCTCCGGCAGAATTTGTCGCAAAACACGTCACGGTCGTATTGTAAGCCTGGCCCAGGTACCACTGCCACGAGTGCACCTTGAGAAGCGTCGGGTTGTCGCGGCCGACGCGATACAATGACCAGTATGCTCCAATAACGTGGATATAGTCATACGCACGATCAGTGGAGTATGAAGCATCCTTATTCCAAGACCACCAATTTCCCCAGTCGATATTGCTGCTGTACTCATAATTCGGGAGTTGTTCTGGATCGTAGTAGAAGACGCTCTTACGAACCGTAAAATCGGTGTTTTGAATGGTACCAAAAAGCACTTTGGACGCAAATTCTTCCAGCTTCGCCACCTCCGCCGCGTTCGGAAGACCGTGCTCTTTCATCGTGGAAGCGAGAAATATGGCGCCGCCTTCGTCCATGAGTCCAGCAATCCAAACTCGCGCCTCTTGAAGCACCTGTGCTTTGGTAGCCTCGTCATACGTGATCACCGAGGGTGCCCGACCGAAGGGGTCCTTCTCGTCGTCAAACCACATGGCAGTGGTTGAGAAATCACCCAACTTGGAGATCACATCCGGGGCAGTGTCTGTGATGAAGTAATGGACTGTCTGGACTTTTCCGTCCGCGTAGGAGATGGTGACCTTGGTCCTTCCCCAGGCTGATTCGGTGGGAGAAAGGGAAACTAAGTTGGATGAAGGGCGTGCAAAGTCGAAGGCATCGTTGTCGGATACGATCTTGGAGACATTGGCCGAGTGAAAGATGAAAAGCTGTGCCGTAAGGTCGCGGGGAACGACATATCCTGTTCCTATGGTCAATGGGGTATTTGTCCCCCGGACAGCTTTTTGAATACCGCGCACCCCATCCTTTACCACGGAGAAGCGAAGGCCTACCGTGGTGGATTCGCCGGGTTTGAGGCTGCGTGCGGTTGGCTCATTCCATGGATTCACCTCAGCCCATTCCTTCTCCGCATATGCCTTTGAATGAATCTGCCACTCATAGAACCCTTCGAATGTTTGGCTACCGTACCCGGTGTACTGGTCAGATACCTCCGCGAGGTTGCGCCAGGCTTCGAACGGGGTGCTCGTATTGACCAACGGGGTGATAATCAAGGCTGGACCCTGTCCGGAAGTCGGAGTGAATTGTAGATAGCCGGCGTCCAGCCCAATGTACGGGTCCACGAGGGAGCATTGCGCTGTAACCTCATCCGCCGTGCGATTTGTAAAAATACTGTTGGACTCAATCGGGAAGCCCAGGCTGCCGATTTCTACGCTACTGTTGCCCTTGTTCGTGAGGGTGAAGCTCAGTCCTAAGTCTCCATCGACATCCAACCATTGGCGAACAACTTGTAGAGCAGAGCTGCCAGGCAACGTGGATGTTAGATCGGCCGCGGCGAGCGCATCAGCGTCAAGCGACTTGACAACGGCTCGAGCCTGTGAGGAATCACCAGCAGTCCATTCGGTATCCCCCACCGCGCGATACCGGAAGGTGATGTCTCCAATATGGTACTGACCGTTGGCTGCTCGGTACGGCAAGTAATCCGACGGTAAGAAGTCAAAGGATGATCCGGATGGCCTGAGCGATGCTAGGATCTGGGCGTCCGTAACGAGCCGAAGGTCGAAGTGGTCGGTCTTCAGATTGGTATAACCATTCGCTAGGCCTAGATCATCACTCTGACCCCGGACGAGGAAGGCCGAGGCGGAGATCAGTGCCAGCGACGTATAGAAGCGCAACAACCCCATTGCGCAGATGGCGACGAGTAAAGCATTTTACGCCCGTCACTCAGAGCGCACGCCACATTCAAATATGCTTCCCCTGACGATACGGGGTTGAACCCGCCCCCAGGCAACACTTGACATCATGGCTGGGTTCCATTAGGGTAGTTTTCCTGAGGGGAAATTGCCCAGTGTCCGACCTGCATAAGCGCACGTCGGCTTCGCATCCCGTTGATATGCAGATTCGCCGATTGGTGGACACGATTGATTCAGGGGCAGATATAGTGAGACATCTCGCTGTAACCCTGATCAATCTCGCATCATCTGATTGATTGACTTGAACTCGAGAGGATGGCAACTCCCTTTAAAGTGCGGAGACAGAGACGGTTGCATTGACACTCGGATAGCCATCCATGCCTATTAACCGATGCATGCGACGATCACTTTTTCCCGCACGGGCTTCCGACCGCAAGATGAGAAAAGCATGGCTCCACCGGACCATCAGAGCATCCCAAGACAAGTACTAGGAATGCGACCCTTGAAAAATCAGGAATCTCCGAACATGGATAACCGACCGTTGATCTTCAAGACGCCGTATCTGAGGCTACATTAATTCGACTTGTCTCCCTGCAACTTACATCCAGCCGGGTGTCGATTTTTTTTTTTTTTTCAGCATGCTTTTCAAGCAGAGGAAACACTCAGAACAGCTATTTCAGGGGCGTTACCCTGGTTACTGGGCCCACTGTGCAAGGTATATCGCTGAACCGAACAGTCCGAGTGTTGCAGGCCAGAGGTACAATTTCCCTCAAAACCCTAATTACCTGCTCTGGGTTCCTCTACCGTCTACGTGTTTGCAACATGAGAATTGATGGAGTCAAGGCTTTGATCAGCCGTACTATCTGGCGTACAAATTAGCACCATTGTATCAGCCGCTATCAAGTCGACCTGAGCTTGTAGTATGACGCCGGTAATCGCGGACTATTAGCACCGGTATCTGCTACGCTGCTCACATTAACCTGAGTGCTGACAACAATGTCCCCCCCACGATTGTGGCAAAGCTCCTCCTCCGAGTCTGCGTGTGAAATGTTGGTAGCGCCTTGTTTCAGTCTCTGGACAATGCTGCCTTTGATCATCTTCCGATTTCCGCGGGCTTTCGAAGTCGTTCCCAGTTCGTACGAAGATGGCTTCCGACCGCTTGAGCCGTACAAAGTTCCTGAAACATGTGTCCTCCAGACCGATCGGAGGGAGGGCATATTGGCTGTCATGATCGCCGTGCAGAGCTCAATTGTCGTGACGATCGCAACGGAGCCGTAGACGTAAAAGGTCCTGGAGCCGCTGGCCAGTTGCACAAGGACGATGAAGCGGAGAAGGGACACCAGAATTGTGCTCCCACCGACGGTAAAACAGGCAATCAGTCCCACTCGTCGGCGTGCAGACATCTGTAGGGTCCATAGGGGATATATCGGCAGAATGTAGATGAGGAGATCAGTCAAGACGTTCTATGAGGTGCGAGGCTATCAGAACTCCGAGCCTAGACGGCAACTTTTCCGGATATTGTTTCAGCTCACCATGCTTGCAGGAAAGTACAGCGTTACTGCCGTGGGGATACACTTCGCATTCGGATGGGCCTCCGGATGGAAGAAGGCATCCAACGGGAGACATTGCAGCCCGTAAAAAAGCAGAACCGCCAAGGTCTGCGCCGAGGTAAAGGCCATCACTCCATATATGGTCCGTTTGTACAATGGCGAGATACTCAATACTCGAAGATAGAAGGTCAAAAAGGACATTTTGATCAGCCATTGGCAGAAGATATACACGAATTCAATGACGAAGAGAAGCTTTCAGATGGGTCAGCGAGTGGGATGTACGACTCATCATGGCCGACTTACCGTCACAATCTTTAGCAAGTTCTCGGGTGGAACGTCTTTATCCTGTCTATAATTATAAAGAGGGTCTGTGAGTATGACAAGCACCTATCCTCAAGAACGATCGACTTACTTTCCCCCTCCGAGCCTAATCATCTGCCCCAAGATGCCCTGGTTGACGAGCCACGTTATCTACCACTGTCAGTAATAAGTCTTCAATGAAAAGGAAGACAAACCAACACTCGCAGCTACCATAAACCAGTCGTCGGCGCCAAAAGATTTGGAGAGGCAAAGGCGAGAGTATATTCGAAGGAGACACGACAAGCTGGTGATGACTACGAATGGCATCGACACAGCCCAAGTCATAGGCTGCAAGTTTTCGTTGATCCCCATTCCATGAAGGTCTTATCACCTGAAAACCCTCATGAATCGCACTGCCAGATATATAATGTTGGATAACCACGGGCATCTCGTTGCCTCTTTTTCTCTCTCTGCTTCCTGCTCATTTTCCACGTCCCACCGGCATTTGATCCTGCATAGGAGAGTGAACCAACTAGGGCTGGATCATCGATGAAGTGGAGCTTCTCGGGTTTGGCTGACTGTAGCGTCCTGTCAAGGAATTTAGCGCGTAGATGCTCCCTTTTTCAAAGTAGTCTAGTCTCACCCATTTTACTTACAGAGGCCTTTGTTGCCTCTATTCCGATAGGGTCGTAAGTAGCCCCTATGCCCACTTTGCTTCTCTCAAGGCATTCAACCGGAGTAGGCGACCAACGAGAGGCCTGGCCTCAAAGAATTCTCACTCACGTTTACTGTTCCAAAGTCCACCAGCAAAATAAGGAGCCAATAACGGCTTCTGAGTTACGAGACCAGTTCGGCACACTTCAAGATTTAAGGCGCTTACATGCTTCAGTAGCCCTTCACTACGGGTCAATTATTCTGTCCGCGATACTGTATGTCGGTATGTATGTACTATGACTCTGGGATGGAACACAGGATGAAGGGGTATTCCCCGTTGGCAACGATGCTGTGGAGATCGCCATTCGTTTTGTCTACTTTCTGAACGTCCTCCACAAGCCCCACTTGGGGTATATTCTCATTGGAGTTGTTCCTAGATAGGGTCCACACGGGATATTCGCGGTCTTCATTCGGCCTCCCCTGGCGTGCAAAGATAGCACACTCGGAAGTTTGCCGCCCTTGGAAGACGGCACAGAGATTTGGGTAACGGCTTGCTAGCTTCTGTAGGAGATGATCTGCATCCTCATGCATCTACGCCAACTGACAACTGACCCTATCTTCTGGACTGGGCAATGGGCGGACCAGTCGTTGAGGTGGCATATCAAAGACAATCGAATTGTGTGAAAAACAACAATTAACGGTCTTGAATGAAGATGGTCTGGGTGATGCCGGAATGCTATACTCGCCGAGACGTTGACTATTCAATAACCTAGTTGTTCTAATGGCATATTGTCCCTTGAGCATGAACCCTAGTTTGAGGAGAAAGACTGAGCCGCGTCGGTGGCCACATTATTGATCCTTATTATCCACAGTAATCTGTGACCTGTATACTACCTGGATGCCATCTAGTCCGCATACGAAAGTACTGTATGGAAGGATCAAGATCCTAGATGAAGTGGACCTTAATATAGTCTGATAAGGCCGCAAACCCATCAAGGTCCACCGGCTATCATATCAATATTTTTTAAAAGGATGCACTGAGCCATGGCTAGCTTCACCGAACCCACTTTCCAGGGTCATTAAAGCTTCTCCCCGCAACCTTGGTCACCACAGTGGTAATAATACTGTGTAGCTTCTGTGTACTTTGGTTTGGCGAGGCAAGGGTGTTAAATAGAGTTAGCCTCTAGTCATGGAGTGTTGTTAAGGTTGACACCCTAGGCATAGGTCCTGTATAGGCTTGAGGTCCACTGCAGTATCTTCAACCGTAGGCGAGCCTAAAGGAATCCGATACTCCATGCTCTATGTGATCTGAACACAACGAATCTCTCTGAAAGTCGCTGCTGTAATGTTCCCAAAACTCTGGTCAACGAACGTATAATGTCCGGCCACGCCTTTCACTCGACTATTGCATGTCATCTCCACGAGCCGAATGATCTCCGGGGTATTTTGATAGTCCGGCAGACACAAACCAGTTTCGAATTACTTGGCATGTAAGTGACAGCTTTGGGTATCGGCCTAACGACACCCCTGGATTCGAAGGAGGCTTTATTGGGAAAGCTAGACGATAGACATCCAATCACCCCCGAGTAATGCTGGTCCACCTGATGCCTAGAAAGCTTTCTAGTTCATCTTTAGGCACAATCATTGGCTAGGGCTCTCGGCATTTGAACGGGATGCATGCTGTGTTGAACGCATAGATACGCTGTTAATAACCCTGAAGACCCCATCACCACTTCAGTCTTGGCTGTTTCCCTTCCCTGGAAAATCTTATAGGTTTGTTTTTTTTCTTTTTTTTTTTCACTTTCCTGTAAATCCTGAACTACTTTACTATCGGACAAGCCATGGCTCCCAGTGCAGTGAGTGCCCAACAGCTCGCAGAAGCGAAAGCCAAATTCAAGCAGGACGGATGGGCCGTCGTCCCTAATGTGATCGATGCCGAAAAAGCAACAGAGGTCGTTGATCGCCTTTGGAAGGCAAAGGAAGAGAGTGAGCGGCGAGGCGATCCAACCTACCTGGACTGGCTGGATCCCAACTCCAGCAACGTCCGTATATTCTACCTGATGGAACTGGATCCTATCTTTCGCGAGCTAATCTCACACCCTGTCGCTGTGGAGATGGTTCAGTCCGCACTGGGCCAAAACTTCCTTGTCTCCAACTTCACAGCGAACATTGCACTGCCCGGATCCAAGTCCATGGGCCTACACTCCGATCTCTCCCTACAGTGCCCCGATCCCTGGTTGTCGACTTGGGGTTTGAACGTGATCTGGTGTTTGCATGATGTTTACTACGAGAACGGCGCCACTTTGTACATCCCCGGGAGCCACCATTGGAAGACCAAGGCGGAGGTGCCCTCAGATGAGGAGGCAAGGAAGCTCCTGGTGCCATTTGAGGCCAAGGCTGGGTCGATCATCGTGATGGATGGGCGCCTCTGGCACACGTCCGGTTGCAATATCACTCAGGATAAAGAGCGGGCGCTTTTGTTCGGGGCTTATAATGCCCCGTTCCTAAGAGGCCAGGTGAACTGGGGTGTTGGGCTGTCGGAGGAAACGAAGAAGACCCTGAGTCCTCAGCTCCGGGAATGGCTAGGAGTTAATCGGGACGGCAATCTTGGGGTGGTGACAGGAGTCAATGATGTCTTTGCTGAGGGTGCTGCTCCTCCTGCCCATGCGTGATCATACGATTTCCGTTCCGCGTAGTTATTGTATTTATGAAGTTGGATACATGAAATTGATATCCTCATCCTACCATTGCCACTTTTCAGGTCGCAGTAGGAATGCCTGTTCCTGGCCTATCTCCTGACATTATATGATCGAAACACTACGTTGCCAGGCGCTATACTCATGCACCAAGAAAATTAGAAGAATGAATATGTGGAAGAGAAACTAGCACAGAGAGTAGGATTAAGAAAGTATGTGAATCGCAAGGGGTATCCAACAGAGGCTAACTATAGTTCCATAGCACATCTATTTACAAAAGCCACCATCTAAAATAGTTCGTTTCGTCAGATCATCGCTTATCCAGCCTTCAATGAGCGCTACTGTATCTCCAACAAGCTTGTCATAGTATGTGCCCCGCGGAAGAAACATTGACTGATGAGCCGTGATCTCGTCGATGCCCTCCATCTGCACTGGGATCCACAGGTGCTCTTTGCCATGGGATATATCTTTCGGAAGGTAGCAGAACTGCCGGCGGGCTGCTGCCTGGGACTTATTGGAGATCTCACGGCCCATTTTAGGGTTCTCATGTTGGCCATCCGCTACGGTGCTTTGCATAACCGTCGCCACAGAAGACTCTAAATGCAATGATGAATGCTGGGCACCACTTGATTTAGGACGTATATCCTCCTTTCTCCCCAATAACCCAGCAGAACCAACCAAACAATGTGGTGCTGATTTCCGCCGAGCATGGCCGGGTGTGTGGTCCACTTCGAGCATATTCGTTGCATCGTTCAAGCTTGCTTCCCAATCCGGTTTATGAAGGTCCTCATTCTTGACTATGTGAGTTGGAACTGAGTGGTCTGTTCCACCTGCTCTTACTGTCCCCGTACTCTTCGTGAAGTAATTCACGAATCGGACTCGTGAGGCACCACGGCTCTGAGCCTGGTAATCTTGGCTTAACTCATCGATCGCCTCCAGCTTCATGAGCTGTTTATGTCGCTTGAAGAGCTCAGGGTAGTTGTTCATACATCCAGCGTGGTCATAATACGAATAAGCATACTGCAGAATGGACCTCGATAAGTGATGTGAGTATTTCGAAACGAAATGCCATGCGCCATCCCAGCCAGTCCATCGCGTTAGCTTCACGTCATTCTGAAAGGCTGGGTTGAACGTCGTGTCTGGGCTATAGATGCCCTCATTTATGGATGCAATCGAATCGATGGTGTTGCTCGTTTCGTCTGGTTTGTGGCGGAAAAGTCTCCCAATGCCAGTGGTGACCACGCGAGGATGAAGGCCAAAGAAAGGCACATCAAAGTTGACTAGTCCCAATATCCGATGGTTCAACGTCGTGTCCGGCACACGCCGGGTTCCAGACTGTGCTGGCATCAGTGCAACCTCTGCGCCGACGATGCCTCCCAGGCTGTGACCCAAGAGAACAACATCTACATCTGGAGCTTCATGGGGCGAAAGCCTGGGAATGCTCAGTATATTTCAGATACGATTAGATGGACTCGCCCGGTTATCTCACCATTGGCTAAAATTGTCTCGGGCTATATGCACCGGTCCTCGAGTCTTATACCGAGGATAGATCTTCGTATAGACCACATGGGTCTCACGTAACGATATTGTTAAAAGATCATGAACATGTTTGGGAAAGTCATGGAAGCTTTCTTCGGATCCAATGAACCCATGGATGTAAACCAGGAGTAGTCTACGTTTCCCTTCGTTGGTGCCTTGGTCAGACTGGCTCAGGGCTAGCGAAGCTGTGGAGCCATGATATCGACTCTGCCCGACCGTAGTATATAGGCCGGACCCTGGCGGAAGCAAACCAGGCGACGGCTCGGTAGATTGAATCGCAGAGTAACTGGGCGGGTTGTCTTCTAAAGGGCAATGGGGCTCGAGTATGCTGGGATTCGCAGCGGACGACATCGCGTTGCAGCTTTCCGGATGATTGAATTATTTCCCCACTGCAACCGTAACCACTGGCGTAAGACCTCCAAATGGCCTTTTCATGTACCTGAGTCTGAGTGAGTTGCATAACAGTTACACTACAGCAGCGACATATGCGACGAGAAAGTCCCTGTTGATCAGGCTACCGTGTGGCATTGAAGCTCGTACTCGTATTCTCTCCAAGCCTCGAACGGGTCCACTTGCGAGACTGAGGTTGACGAATGAGGATCCCATGGGGATTCTTGGCAATAGGCTCTAATCTAAAAAAAGAACCTAGCAAGACAATGGATTTCGTGCATGGGGTACTGGGGTAGGCGTATCTCATCTATGAATCCTGGACGAACTTCTTGGTGGCGCCCGTTTCAGCCGTATATACTTGCTTGCGACCTACGAAGAAAGACAAAGAAAAACAAATCACGAAATTGAAGGAAATACTGCAGTTTAAGAAATGCAGTAACCCGCCTGAGCATATATATATTGAACAGAAAACCCATTCAGTGGGAAATTCGGTGAAGGGCCGTCTCTCCCTTGCGAGACACGCCATGTATGTTATACTCGTAAAACCTGTGATTGACTGGCTACATACTCGCTACAACCCCGAATCTCATTTGCTTCAATTTTCAAAGCGAAATGAGTTTGGCCTTGGTTTTTCATTTATTCCTTATACTCTTGGTGTCCGTTCGCAGAGAGATACCGGGAATCCGAAAATAAGGCATCATTCGCGACTTCGTTCTTCCGCTCGTATACCAATGGAAGCCACTAGTATTGTTCGTGGAAAATGAAATACCAATCTGCCAGTCGAGAATTTTACCATCAGCGCCTTAGAGAGTTCTATTTAATGCGTGCCCAGACTCGTTCTTCGGACCCTAGAACCGGTGGGGCGTATCTGGAGAAAAAAAAAACGCTGTACTTCAACTGGTTATTACTATATACAAAACCCTAATATACATATTATCGGGGATCACTCCAGAGAGGATCAATGAGATATACAAGACCATGGGCTACGGCCGCAGCGAGAGGCGCCACCTGCAGATTCGCTCGTCAGTATACAGCCTCATGGAAGATCGCCGGAAGAGAACATACCCAGTGCACCCAATGATAGCCGGGGAACTCCGATGCGACATAAACGCCAAAGCAACGGGCGGGATTGAGACCTGATCATCAACCTGTTAGTACGATCCTTCCCTGGCGGTCCTCGCCGGTCAAGCTTACTGGCTCCAATATACCCCGGCCGCGTGAAGGCCGTCGCCCAACAGACCACTCCCAGGACGACACCAACCAACCAAGGCCCCGCGGCATGCCCGAAGATCTTCGCTTGACGGGGATCCAGGGCCACGCCGAACGCGAGGAAGATCAACACTAAGCAGGCGAAGAACTCGATAATGAGGGCGGCGTTCACCGGCACTAGGGAGGTGTCCACATGGCAACCTCCGACGGTGAAATCCCGGGATCCGTAGGCCGTGTGAATGGCGAATCCCGCTAGCGCGCCCCCAAGGGTCTGGCCTGCCATATATAAGATGGCCCGAGGGAGCGAGATGATCCGCGCGAACAGCGTGGCGAGAGTGATGGTGGGACTAATGTGGCCGCCGCTCGACGGCGCAAAGGTATAAATGAGCAACGGCGTCAGCAGGAGATTGGTGATCCCGCCGAACAGGGGCGAAAAGAAGGTCAGCGTGTGGTAGATGCCAACTTCGGTTTTGGGGGCTTCGACGGCGGCGGGAGCGTGCAGGGTGACCCATGCGGAGATAAAGACGTTCATCATACTGGCTGGCAGGGGGGGACCCAAATTAGTTGAACGTTCACTACTGCAAGGGTCCAAGATAAGATTCAAAAACGCACCAATGCATTCCAGACAGGCAAACTTCCACAGATCCAAACTCAAAAATCCACGCAGGTCCAAGATTTCGCTCAACGACATCCAGGGCGCCGCGTCCGGCACCTTCTCCAGGACCTTCTCATTGCGCGGATCACTGCGATCGACTACAAAATCCTGATTCCCTCCCAGTCGTCCAGCGAAGGGAGCAACCGCAGGAGTCAATTTGCTTTGCGGGTCATGTCCCTCGTATTCAGGGAGATAGGGCACCACCATGTTTTGCAACTGGCCAGTAATCGAATCGCTCACCCTTACTCAACTGGGTGTGATTCAAAGATAAGAACGAAGGGAACAGGGGGAGATAAGACTACATTTTAATCCTCTGGCAGGAAGCTAGAAGATAGCTCCTGTCAGACTCGGTTAGAGACTACGCGATGGCAGCAGGACGAGTAGAGCCTCCGAGTCGTCTCGGAAAGAGACCTGCACGGATGTCTAGGGATGCGACAACTCGGCAATCCGACGTCGCTGCATCGGTGTGGGGCCGCTTGGCAAGATAAGAATGCAGTTTTAACTATTTTCTGGAATTGGTTTGCAAATACGTTTTGTCGAAATAAATCCCAGCAGCCACTCAGAGACGGGGAATCGGATTGATAGCTGGATTCCATCGCCGGCTCCTCCGCTAGGGCTAGAAGATAGAAATATGGGTCCTCTCGGTAAAATCACAGCCGACGAGTCTAAACTCTTTCCCGGCTCAAATGCCCTGGCCCCTTGGCATATATCGTGCCTGGTTCATTCCCTTCTGAGCCCGGGAGGCGACCCTCACGCGGGGAGGACGTTGGCGATGGAAGAACGTCTGGTACCCAGACTCCAGACGTATTTCTGGGTGAGATGCAAGTGTGCCTTCATCTAATCATCATATCGTATCTGCGTGGGATCCGGCACTTGCCCCAGACTTTAAGCGAGCCGAAAAGCCGAGCGTTCGCCCAGAATTCGCCACGGCGAGAAGGGGGCAAACTCGTCGTTTCGACCAGAGAGCCCCCCTATTGCTTGTGGCGTAGATAGCTCCTACATCATGCTCTTCCATTGTCTACTTGATTTATGTTCATCGAGCATGTATACTTCTCGTCGGTCGTGGTGGATTCTTTTTCCGTGGTACTTAGGGCTGGCTGGCTGGCACGGTTCTCCGGGAGAGAATATTCCATGAGCACTAGTGATCGAGTACTCACCAAATTGAACCGATCTTCGGACCTTTTGCATTCCCTTTGCATCAGGAGATCCGTTGCCCATCGGAAATCTTCGGGATGCCAATACTCTGGGCTCAGAGTTGACCAGGTCTAGGTCGCGGGCCCTAGATGCCTCCGCCGGTCTATGAACCATTCCGGGTGGATAGAGATGCCTGTTCCTATTCCCGGATGCCCTTCCTACAGTCCTCGCGATGTTAAGGCCACGCTGGCTTATTGCGCACGTCTGCATCTGGAACGGACCTGGCATCTCTAGTTGCGACCGTACGTAGGTGGAGCTGGAACTTTACGCTCGGAGTTAAGCCACTCGTAAGCAGACTGGTAACTAAAATCCCTTAGTGCTTGAGTAGGTCACTCATGTCGCGCAACCAAATTCGAGTTCATCCGTCGTGTTTCATGGTTGGCAACGTTAGTTGCAGTCCAGACGGTGGAGTGATATGGCGTCAGTATAACCCCGTTTCTTGCATATACCAAAGTCCCGTTCAAGGGTCTGGAGATAGTCCTTCTGCAGTTCAATGAAACGAACGATATTCAATTCTCGCCTTGACCCACATGGTTCATCCACCCGATCTTTGATAACGATCTTGATGTCATTTCGAAGTGTAATATAATTATACAGATAGGCTGAGTGTAGGAGGTTCTCACCCTCTCAGAGCAATTGCACGCCCGGCAATTCACCGGCCCAAGGCTTGTGCACGGACAATGAATCTATCGCTATCTTTGGAGTCGACTGGAAATACCAGGCGTTCATTTCCGTAGAGCCGAATGAACCTGGGGCTTTCTCTGATCGATCTCAGCCCTGGCATGTCCACAAGTCGGCTGGTGTTAAGGCACATGGCAGTCAAATCTCTTGAACGCTGATACTCGGAATAATTCGTCCAGATCAGTGAAGGGAAAGTGAGCTGGTCGGAGTCTCTCAGCGCTCGCCGCATGGCATTTTCAAGACTCGACGGATGTATGAATACGTCTCCCTGACCAAACAAATGAATTCAAGTGCTCTAGCCCCGTAATGTCATCCCTAATTCAATTATCCCCGTGCTTGAATGGCCTGGCGAAGGACAGGCGCAAAACACTACCTGACGCCGCCATTCTCTGACCCCAAATGTACCCCGAGACGCGACAGACACTCATTCAGGAACATCCACTCCACTAAAGGATAGATCCTGGCCAAGCTCACCGACACCGTGGTCGACACATGCTACTCAATATAGAGAAGACATATATCCTGCGAAAGTGCGATGGCTTAGCCCTCATTATGTCATTCTGTGCCTTCCCACAGTGTACCAAACAATATGGAGGGCTCCTATCCAACGATAACCATGAGTTGTCCGCGGCCTGGCAGAACACGCTTTGCAATAGAGCCGTTGTGGAAGAAATCCTTGGGCTTTCCCTTAACAGCCTGCTCGTGGAGCCGTGCTGAATATTGTAGGAGAGTATTCGGGGTCCTGGGAGCAATAACGGGCTTTCCGGTAGCGTTACTCGACTGTTTTAACTACACATGTCAATATATGCTGGGCTATTGGCCAGCTGATCGCACCCAATGTCTTAAGGGCCATGTTGCGGCGTTCTGACCAGTGGACCCACCGCACTCCATATGCCCTCCATAGATGTGGCATTAATCATTGGTGTAGCTCTGGCAACGGAGTCAATATGGTGGTTTGTTCGCTACGGCAAGCGGCAGGCCACGAAAGCAGCTCTTCGGTGTCTAACGATACCTATTGCTGATCCTACCTTCAGCATCGATGATATGGTTGAGGTGACGATATACACAAATGAGATGGAACACGGAGCCACCAAGGGTATGTCCTACGTTGCGCCGACATATGCTGTCTTCCATGGATCGCACAACTACTCTATGGAAGCTCGTCTAGGAAAAGCCCCACATGCTTCCTTTAGCATGGAGTAAACGAGCCAAACTCCTGTAGCTCCTCCATTGACGAGTACGCCTTGGGATATCCCTTCAGTTTGAGCACAATGGGGGCTCGGGGATCATCAAAATCCCTAGCCCTGGACATGGAATCCCTACGTGTCGTGTCAGGACACAGGTTCGATTGCTCATGTTCCCGATGGGTATCAAAGATTACTCCTGGGGAGCCGCAACAACGGTGGTGGGGGTAGTAACACCAAGGAGACGAGATATCTTTGCCAGACTTTCAGTAACTTGTAAGGAGGTTGGCAACAGGGGTGTGACCGTTCGAGACGAACGTCGGTTTGTAATGGGGCCTGCTTGTTTCAGGCAGTATTGGTTGCATTACATGTTAGGGAGTAGTATGTGGTAGCCCCTAATGACATGCCAGTTTAGCCTTGGAGAGGCTGACATATACAAATAACTAGTATCCTTTCTTCAGTGCAGAGCACCCAACAACATCGCTTTCCTTTCTTGGGAATGCCACTACTAGCTAATATCTCTGGTGTCGGGGGGCGGACGGTGTCGAGTGAGAGTAAGAATGATCTCACCTTTAGATTTTCTCGATGCAAGCTCAACTACTCCATTCCAGGCAGAACCGGTTGATCTCGCAACCATAACCTCGACAAGATTACTGGTTGATGCCGACGAGCCAAACCATAGCGACAACGTATACGGCGTCGAGATAAGGTCACCGAGCGCGAAGAAGTATACGAGGACGCAAGCCAACACGACAAACCGATGGTTCCTGTCTCCACCCGAAGATAATGAAAGTGAGAGAGAGAGAGAGCCTTTGGTATTGTATATTAGAACAAGAAATGAATGGTCAACTCTCGTCTGCTAAGCAAAAGGGAAGACTCGAGAAACGGAGCAAAAGCCACGGATTTATGATACAAAGCAAGAGGTGCACTTTCCATTCTTTCCAGCTTCCCTTCTTTCCATCCAGACAGGATCTAGAAAGCCGACTTGGGCAGGCGTGGGTGAGGATGGTAGCGGTGTCGAACTTGGATACAGCAAGGACATTCAGCCGTGCAATGGCCGTATACACCCATTTCCATCTTGCCATTGGGATACTTATAGATCAATGGGCGGTAGTATGTCAACAGCGGCTTTTCACAACACCCACAAGCGCGTCCACAGCATCCACCGGTGTCCGCACATGGCAAACGATCCATGACCCAACTGTACGGGCGGCCATATCGATCTCGGTGAGAACGGAGAAGTGCAATCTCCACCACATTCATGGCTAGAGGCATTGTCTCGTCCATAGTAAGCAAGGCCCTATTGCTTGTCCAGTATGCCTCCATCAGCTCATTGACTTCATCCTCCCATTTCCCCTCGCGCGGGTCGCAAGCTTCTTTGTCGCCTGGCGGCTTTTCCTGAGACTCGCCTTCGAGTTTCGAGCGTGCCACCGGTTTGAGACCGAGTAAGCGACGCCTCCGCTGCAAGATCGCATAACCAAGATTTCTTTCTTCAAGATACGGTGTAATCCACGATTTGAGAGCCTTGTCCCATGCGTCGCGATCGAACCACCTTGCCGATTCTTCCTCCCATTGCCGATAAGCAATGTCAAAGTTCCGCTCGCATTCGGGTGATTTGGACATTCTGTACTGGGCAACAGCAGCTTCCCTTGGTAGGGGTCACAATAGCGTTGCGGAAAGTAGGGTTTGCGCAAGGCAGGTTAAGTGTGATATTGCATCTGCTCGGGGGAGATTTGTTGGATGATGGTCACCCGTTCATCTTGGACATCGAGAGCATGAGTCACATTCTATTGTGATCTCAGGATGAGCACTAGACCACGCGTAATCATTCGGTCTTCTGGTTTCTCGCAGAATTCAATCCAGCCATGGATAACACAGCCGCTTTCGACATCATACCGAGTGACACTACGAAGACATTCTTTTCGACGTCGGCTCTCGTGTTTTCACTGTTTTGAAGTAGATATATTTGCTCCTGGATATTTATCATTTAAACCTATGGAGCACAGCTGATTTTACCTATCCAGCATGTCAGCACTGCCGACGAGATGGATATGTAAGGTGGTCTACCTACTGGCCATTGAGGTCAACAACCAAAGGGGCCCGATTATCGCTTGTAGGCTGTAGCCTCGGGCAGGAACTTTTTAAAATCCTTCATCAGATCTGGCTCCCCGTCAAAAAGCTCCTCGACCTGCTCATACACCTTCCGCAAAGGCAGCGACTCCCGCTGGTACGCCTGCAAGATCAGAAGAAACTCGGTAAAAAGTTCCGGGCGCTCAGCGAACCGATCCTGGCGGGCAAGTACTTAGCATGGGATACAAAGATACCATGTTCTTGAACGAGATCCTTACCTTCACCTTATTCACAAAGGAAGCCGCATCCCCAAGCCCCATACAACCGTCATTACCTGAACCTTTCTGCGACGAGCGCCCAGGCTTAGAGGACGACATGCCTGTCGTTGCAATTCACTCTGGCGCTACACCTTCCACCTTTGACGTGCAAGTCAGATTCCTTCTAGACGCCCTGAATTTAAAATCGTATCTTATTAGTTATGACCACTTCAGCCGCTCCAAGGGGTGGAGTAGCAGCAACCAAAATCGAAAGAAGGAATACCGTTCAAGCACAATAGGAGTTCAAGTGCAACCGAAATTCCACACAGAGCGTGTACAATAAGGAGTAATTGCCTCCAAGACAGGAGAGAAGAACGCGAAGTTTTCTCGTGTTTTAGCTTGCCAAGAAACTGGTTGCCTCGGTCTATTGCCAACGTAGTATTGGTCAATGTTGCGACGTGGTACTTTCATCTTCATCCGTCGAGATGGCAGGAGGCCCCTTCCTAGTGACACATGATGTAGGAATCAGGGGTTCTAATAACTGATCCCCGTACTTCGCACCTCGTACTTCTCCAGAGTGCCGCCCATATATACAGTCCATGTGGGAAGGGCTTGATTAACAGACATGAGAAACACTAGAGGAAAGCTTCGAGTCCAAGCACCCCCACTTATTGCACTAAGAATGGTGCGAACAGATGTGGATCCCCTGTGTAAGATTATGGAGACCAAGTACACATCACTCCCAGAAGAAGAAGATCTCATCTAAATAGAGTAAGGCTCTTGAATGTGAGCGGGTATCCATGGAATGTAGTTCGAGACCTACACAGGCAGTGCTTTTGGTCGACAGTAGACATAACAACAAAAACAGGAGAACAACAACATTGAACCGGATATGATAGCGCCTACGAACGGTAGCTCCACCGGTGGAGAATTTCAACGCCTTTCCCAAGTGTGTTCCGGCACGAGAGCATTCGGAGAGATTTTTATCACATCACATCACAGATATGGAAACACTGGAGCGGGTCGCGGGGCCGGTCGACGCTCTTGTCTATTTCACTGACTATCGAATACCGATTGAGCAGTGGCTGAGATACATCGATGGACATATGCCAGATCATTGATGACCCGCTTATTCTACAATTATGCAATTGCATGGCTACCAGCGTCTTGATTACTTGGAATTGTTGGTTGATCGATCAATCGAGCTCTGTTCCTAATATAGAGGTTTCTCTGGTGATATCATGATATGTAACATCTCGCGCGAACATGGAGGCGGGAGAAAAAAAAAAAAAAAAAAAAGTTGAACTCTCAATGAAAAGAAAAAGAAAAAGACTACACCCGTAAAAGACTACACCATCAGGTATGGGGGAGACTACTTGCTCTTGCTCTTGTCCCACACATCCACGTAAACATGGCCCAGAGGTCCTGCCTCTGGGCTCCATCCCCCATGCTCGACCCTGTACTTGTCACTATTGTCCAGCGTTTCGACCAGGTTGACGAGTCTTCCTTCACGATTGTCCCAGTGGAGTTCGCAAATCTTGGCGTCGCCGTGGAACAGGTCCAGACGACCTTCACTGCCTCTACGTCCGTGAGCACAGATCTCGCCGATGCCGTCGGCAGGGATCACGATATCGTCGATCTCGTCTTCATGAAGCGATTTTCTACGATCGTTGGGATTGTGGAACTCGCCGCTGCGGGGAGAGGTTAGCAATGGCCTTGGTCGAACGAAAGGACGGACATACTCTTCGATAACGGTGTGTCGTACGGAGATCTCGCCGTCCTTGATGTGGTCCCGAATATGGAACTCGACCCATTTGGAATTGTATTTGTTCATGTCGTCCATGGTGTATAGGGTGTGTGGGGGGGGGAGGGGTTGGAATTGGACCCGGGAAAGAGGATAATATAAGTGGGCGATGAGCCTGGAATTGTCACTGAAGATTGATGAAGTAGGTGAGGAAGTAATGGACTGACCAGGCAGACGGAAGGGGGGGAGAAGACGACCGGTATTTATTGACTTCCCTTGAGTAACAATCGTTCAGTTCGGTCATTCTTGGGGCGTTGGTGGATTGATGGAAGACGTCATGCGCTGGATCATATGACGAGACGATCAGACAATGCGGTTGGCCGATTCGGTCACCCGATCCACGGAACCCTAAACATTCTTTGCGGAGAAATCCTGGGGAACAACCAACCTAGAATGTTGTTGATCCCCCTCTTTTCTGCATCGAGACGCTTTTCATAGGTCTGTGGAAGGAAGCTTGGGTGGAGAAGAAATCGTCGCGTCATGCATTCATGTCTGTGAGTTTCAGACTGTCCTCCGTTGATCGACTTCCCCATCTCCCACCCATGGTGATTTCCCCTTTTCCTTGTTGTAAATATGTCATTTTCGATGTTTGTGGTGTGTTTTTGTTTTTCCCTTTCCTTTGTTTCCGGTGGTTCAGTTGCCTGGTTGGATTAGTCGCTTCCTCTCTGTCCTGGAAACTTTGATAGACCCCTGTTGCCAAACCATCGTTCCAACTGGTTAGTTTTGATCCTACCCCGGATGTCCGCAGGAATTGACTCTGCAGGTAGTACTCCGGAAACGCCTCCGTACCAATAGATCCTGGTTCTCATATCTTGGTCCCACCACACAATCCAGGGCTGGATGTTGTTGTGGTGCCACGGCTACACCTGGCTGCAGTGGGCACGCAACCCGTCCAAAACTTGACTAACAGCACAGATTCTCACTCGTCACTCCTCGGACGTAACGGTTGATCTGAGAGGGAACTGGTTATCTAATAGTTTCTAAAGGGGTAAAAAATAAAAAAAAATTACAATTATCTTCGGCGTGCATTGGAATCCAGGCCATGCTACTGCAACAGACTGGACCACGTCGGAAAGGCGAGATCAACCCGAGCGATGAGCGATCGTCTCCACAGTTACTTGAATGGGTCAAGGTCCATTTATTGATCCCGTGGGCACCCAATAGTGCAGTAACCACTGAGAGCGAGTGCGAACGTTTGAGCTTCAGTGGCAAGCCAACGAGCGGGCTGCCTTTCTGTGGGGAATTTTGCTTGGCATGAGGCAAAGGTACTGAATTCAATCCACTCCAAATCCCAGCATCACGCGGTGGACAACGCCACTCGGCCTTCTGCCTTTGGATGGCTCCTTCCCCTGCAAACGGCTTCATACAAGCATCTCCCGCCTGTAGACGGTCGTGGGGAAGGTCATCTGACGCAAGAGAACAATGTACACACTAGCTCAACGAGATCTCGTTGGTCAATGGCAGGATATACTGAGCCGTAGTCATCGGGCCAGCCGAGGGCGAATGTGATGGGTTAAGTTGATTGTGAGGCCAGGCCATTCCCTGTCCTCGGAGACAGCCAGAGACCGGTTGTATTCTTATACCCATGTCTATATTATATTCCACGTATTATAGTGTCTCAAATGAGTAGCATTTTCGAGTACTCCAACCGTATAGCAACCGAATTACCTCCGAACACATTGGAACAACACTTAAGACAGAATAGCTAGGAAGCGACAAAGCATGGGACAAGGGTGGGGAGTCGAGTTTCTTTAATCTAAGTATTCGAATGAAATTCTCCTACTTGCAAATGAGTCCGTGTATTTTCCTGCAACTTAATTTCTCTCTACATGCACTTCCTGCCGCACACATATTTGATCCATGTACCGAGAATTTTCTTCCTCAATAGTGGCCACGAGTGATTCTTCGTCATTCTGCCCGGGGCCCGTCACATAAGATCGACTATTCCAATCGGGTCCGCTGTCGTTCGCATCGGGCACGTCGACAGTGGTCGTTGTAGTGGTCAGCAATTCGTCCTTTCGACCCGCCCGAGCGAAGTTCCGCATGGGCATCGCAAAAGTCGGTTTGTTACGGCTTCCACTGCCACTGCCACTGCCACTTTCATCTTGCCTTTTGTAGGCTTCATGGGACTCTTTGACACTGGATCCGTGGACAATGTACCGGTAAAGGGGACGGACCGTGGGAATGCCGACGCAGATAAGGGTCACGGCAAGCTCGACCGCGGACCAGATAATGAGCGGAACTGTGTCCTCTACCGAAAGAGAGAATCAGCATATATCAGCTGTTTTGGTCCTTTGCGAAACAGAGGTGGGTCACCACAGACGTACCCGTGTAGTTAGCACTCGACAATCCGCCAAGCTCTATGGTGCGAATGATCCCGCAGATACCGGCGCTGCAGGATGCACGTTAGTAGATTATCGATCTTCAGAGACATGAAAGGCTGACATGAATCCCAAGCTTAGACTAATAGCGATGGTCATCTTCTCCTTGAACCGCATGTTGAGTTCCCAAATGAATATCCATGGCAGAATGGCGAAGTAAAAGTCGACCGCCGCACACCATGCTAAGCATCAAACAAAAAGTTCAGTAATTCGTCGGGCTGGAATGGTCCGCAAGGGTAACGTACAACCAAGAAGCACCGAGAATGGGGTAACGCTGACAATAGTTCGGCCAGGCACCCGAGGATCATAGATTGCCCTAGAGGGAAGGCGTTGGGTCCAGAAGATAATCGCCGTCATCACCGAAACAACTGATAGACTGACCATCGAGATCCAAATCGAGACGCGATGCCATCGTTTCACCACGATCCGCAAAAGGAATATACCCAGTGAAAGCTTCGCAATGGCCATCCCCAGCACGGCGAACGTCTGACCGATCATTTCCATGTACACAGCCTGGACGGCTTCATCCATGGAGAGGCTAGTAATTGGCTGTCCGAACCCGTGATGTCCGGCTATGGTGGTGAATATCGTATATAAGAGGAGAAACACCTGGTATCGAGCGTTAAGGATCGATACACAGTCACTTGACGTTCAGAGAAACCTACCCAGCCCAAATTGAAGACATGGTCATCCAACCCCAGAGCTTTGACGATAAAGATCCTCGTGTACAGCCGTAAGGGGACGAGAATGAAGGAGATAATAGCCATTACCCACATCACTGCGATTGCCTTGACCCCTTCGCCAGCCAGCATCTTGAACGCACTTGGGAAGGAAACTACGACAGGAGAAAATACTGGCTCAGCAACGCGCAACTTGTGCGACAGGTAAAAGGAGGTGGAATCAAACTGGAAGACGGAGGCATCGAGGGCAGAGTGTGAACAAGATTAGATATACGCGGTTGAACTGTACAAAGTACCTTTGACGCACATCCTCCCTTTCACCTGTGAACTATCAACAACCCGTATTTTCCTTTTCATTTAGACTAACTTCGAGTTACAGCAGGAGGGATACTGTACACCCTCCTTCACGTCCTATAGGTCCAAGCTTCTCGCTCACTACTTTGTACTTTTATTTTGCGATCTCCGTCTTTCTCAAGAAGCTTTACTTCGCTCCCCGGATACTGGTCATATTTGAGCGCGTACGGGTCCACTGGTCTGCGAATAAAGTTCTGTCAGTGCCTGTATCCACTGTCTACCTGTCAGTTCGACGTAGCGCAACGGCGGTCGGTCTGTGCCAGTGGAGCTATCCAAATTCCCGGGTGGGAGAGACGCATGGAGTGGAGATCTCACCCGAAATAGTAAACGAGCCTCTCGGGGCAAGCGGATGCAGGCTCCGGAAGAACCAATAGATGGGCTGTTAGCTCCAATGAGAAGGTACTTTGGCGTCGGGGAAGAGCAAGTGAAGCAGTCAAGAAATTCTAGGGGTGGGCACGGGTGTCTTCATAGCGCACGGCGTGCATTAGTGTGTGTTCTGGACCCAGCATCATAGCGTCGATGGCAGACGCATTGGCCAATTGTATACGGGGATCCCCTCGTGAACTTTTGTCGCAGACGCTCTAAATACCGGGAATACTCTGACCCTGGTCTCTCGAGATTATTTGCTTGTTTCATCTCCCGGGACTTTCATCCTCAACTGATTCCCAAAATGGATTATACCCTGTCGTGGGCGCTCGACTATAGCCTAAGAGGCTTCGCCGTCTCGCTCTTTGGCACACTGTGGATAGCCCTGGTCTTTTGGTATCTAGCGACCTATCTCATTTCTCCTTTACGCACGATCCCTGGACCCTTTCTCGCGGGTAAGTTGTGGAGGCCCTTCGCGCCAGTGCTTGGACGCTCTGCCGCGTCGCATCGGCCTTGATTGTCGTCATTAACCTCTCGATCGTAGGATGGACCAACCTCTGGCGGATGTACCATGTCACGCAGGGACAGTCTCAGGTGGTCCTCCATGAGCTTCACCGGAAATACGGCCCAGTGGTGCGTATCGCCCCTAATGTCGTCGACTTGGATCTACCGGAGATGCTCAAAACAATCTACAACACGAAAGGGGACTATCGCAAGACCGAATTTTACCATGGCAGCAGTGCCAAAAGCAACGGCCGAATTATTTACAACCTATTCAGCGAGTGTGACCCCGATATCCACGCGCAGCAAAAGCGACCGATTGCTAAATATTACTCCTTGACCGGTGTCTTGCCCCTTGAGCCCCATGTGGATGAGGTGATCAACTACCTCTGTCAGAGGCTGGAAGCGGAGTTCATGGATGGATCGAACGCGGACAAAACATGCCCGCTGGACCAGTGGCTACTGTTCTGTAGGGTTACCTTTTCCCTAGACCGTCGGTGATGAGTGCTGATTGTGATAGACACATGGGACGTGGTAGGACAAGCCACCTTCAGCGAGCCCATCGGCTATCTCAAGAATGGCTTTGACTTCGACGGCACCATCGCCATCTCTGACACTGCCATGGACTATTTCTCTCTCGTTGGACAACTTCCAGTCTTGGACCATCTGCTCGACAAGAATCCTCTTTATCGAATTGGGCCCCCAGCCTTCGGTAATATTACCAGCATCTCGATACAACATCTGCTGGACCGATTGCAGGGCAAAGACACCAGCTACCACGACGCAAATAAGCCCGATTTCTTAGACCGGTTCATCGACGCCAAAGACAAGTACCCCAACGTTGTCGATGACAGCCAGATCATCTCGTACCTCATGATCAACATGATCGCTGGTGCAGATACCACCGCCATCACGCTGAATGCGGCCATTTATTTCGCTTTGAAGAACCCTCGGGTGTGGACGCGCCTGCAAGAGGAGGTTCGTGGCCATCAATTCAGCCTGGATGGTGCCCCGTCGGCCGTACCATACCACATGGCAAGCGCGCTTCCGTACCTCAACGCGGTGGTCCGCGAGGCAATGCGGATGCATCCCGGTGTCGCTATGACCCTGGAACGGTATGTGCCACCTGGGGGGCTCACCCTACCCAATGGCCAGTACATCCCTCCGGGCTGCATCGTCGGCATGAATCCGTATGTCATTGGTCGGAACCGGTCTATCTGGGGCGAGGATTCCGACGTGTTTCGCCCGGAGAGGTGGCTGCGTGACGATGCCCAGGAAAGTGAGGAGGAGTATCAGGCACGCTTACGGTTGATGAATAATTCTGACCTTGCCTTTGGCGCTGGGAGCCGCATATGCATTGGGAGGAACTTAGGTCTCCTCGAAGTATACAAGGTGATGGCTACACTAATCTCACGTTACGATATCAAGTTGGCTCACCCACACCGTGACTGGAAGACGCACAACAGCTTCTTCGTTCGACAAGAGGGGATTGATGTTAAGCTCTCTCGTCGCTCTTGATGGTGTTTTGCGGCCGTCATTGATTCAGGATCTCTTCTATTTCTATTTCGTGTTGTCTTTCGGGCGTTGTCAGTACCTCCAAATCATTATGTTAATATTACCTTTTTTTTTTTTGTATGGCGATCGTGGGTGATCTGGAAAACCACACACTGTTCATTCTATCCCCCTTCTGGGGTCTATAAGCTACTTATATACTTGTCATATGTCCATTTGCAACTCAAGCAGTCAATTAGCTGGATCCGTCTCCGAGTTCATATACTCGCCCATGTGCTACCCAGGACAAATTACCATACCAAATTCTTCCAAGCAGTTTCTCGGATAAAAGAGGAGGAACAAAAGCAAAAACAAAAAGGAAAATCGTATCCGCAGCCAAATATGTACATTTCACGGCTGGCATCAGACTTTGGTCGTGATACGTAGGCCTATATATATACTGAACCGGCTCCAACAGCCATTACCCTTATACACAATACAAGTGAAGCCTCGTCAATCCATATCTTCCAGAAACCCGTTCGACTCATTCTACAATCGACTTGCCTTGAAAAATTCCTCAATCCCCTCCGATGCTTCCCATGCTTTCTCCACGGCTCGCCCGCTGTTTGCCGGCAGCTGCCGTGTCCAGCTCAGTAGCCGCTCATAGACATTTCCATCCTCGCAACCCAGCGCGCTACAGAGACTGCTATCGGTAAAGTCCCAAGCGTCCGTCAGGGCAGCGATGTTGGGGAGGAGGTGCGCTAAAAGCTCATTAATACGGACGCGAATTTCGTTGAGTTCATCCGGCGTGAGCAGTCCATGCTCCAGGAAAGAACCCGCTGCAAAGGACGGAGTGGGACTTGTGATCGTTGTCAGAGCAAACAAGCAGAAGAGATGCGATAAGACCTGCGATACAGGAGCGTCCCGTGTCGCCGAGGATGATGTCCGCTTCAGGAAGGATTCTAAGACAATATATTCCACGAAGGCCTGGCCGGCTGCTAGACTGGTCATCATGCAGGTGTTCCACGCCTCTGCTGCAGCGCAGCGATTACACATCTCTCTGTAAGAAGAGTATGCAGTGGCTAGTAGTCGCTGCGACCGTTCCTTATAGATCAACAGCAATGTGGAGCCATCGAAAAGCGTTTCCTTCTCGCAGCCCCGAAGACGAGACGGGGGGGTTTCTTCATTGAGGTATGTGCGGACGCCAGCCATGTAGTCCTTCACTTCGATATCGACGTTCTGACCGCCGCACAATGCCTTGACCTGTTTGAACAGGTATACTACCAGCTGCTGCCACATCACATAGTTCTCGCCCTCGAACGTGACGGTGGCAGAAACCGTTCCCTCGATCTCCGGGAGGCCGGACAGGGCAACGAACCCATGGCCACCGCACATCTTCCTTGCTTCTGTAGCGCCGGCACTGGCAATAGTAGTGGCCCACGCTTTTAACCCCGTGCTGAGGGCGTGCATGAATGGCAACCGCGCGTGATCATCCTTTTCTTGTTCGCGGACGAGCTGATCATACCTGACGTCAAAGTCCTTTGCGGCAAACAGGATCGCGTAGGATTGTGCGATAAGTGTCAACAGTCGGTAGTGTTGAGACTTGAACATGACGATGGCTACTTCTTCATCTGTCGCATCAGAAAACATCAATCGGCCCTGCTCGCGCACTATCGAATACCGCGCTGTAATGGTCACCGCCTGAGCTAATCCGAAGGCGACACATCGCACGATATTTCGCCGCGTGTCCAGCATGGTTGAGTATACCCGTTTGGATACTGGTAGGGTGCCCACCTCGGTCTGCGCCTGGCCATACGTGCCGTCGCGCGAGACCTGCGCATGGGCAGCCAGCAGGCTGCTCCTTGGGACGCGCAAGTAATGAAACCGTGCGTAGCCATTGCACGTCCCGTTGTAGGCCATCTTCATGCCTAGATCTCCGAGCTCCACGCCACACACGGGCGCAAAATCTTCCAGCGAGCGGATCTGGACGATGAACATATGCACGCCGTGGTCCTTTCCGCGTGTGATTAACCTCGCCGCCACGATGGCATGAGAACAGCTGAAGCCCAGTCCGCCCGGCCAGTATTTGACCGATGTCGGCGTGGGGGAATGAATGGTGAAGGTATCGGTACCGACATCGAAGGTGGCCGTGGTCTCGATTCCTCGGACAAAGGTTCCATGGCCCAATTCGGTTTGAGCATATGCCCCGTTGATTCTCATCTGGTCGATCTCCTGCAGCCAGTACCGCCGTTGCTCCGCGGTGCCCTGCAATTCGATCGTTCTGCGAAACATGAGAAAGTTCATCCCGAACGGAGACGAGTTGCATATTTGATAACGTTCGTTCAACCACTGGAAATGATGATGGCCGTGGGTTATCATGTCGTGCGTGATGACGCGAGCCCGGCGCACGCCTTCCAGGT